CCCAAACAGAACGCTGGCATGAAGTCCGAGAACGATGCAGCTGCGGATGCCAAATGTGCCAAGAAGAAGGAAGCAGTGCCAGTAAAGCAGTCTGCTCGTGCCACGGCAAAGTACGTGTGGCCGTTATTGAACTTGTCGACACCACATCTTACCAAGAATTTTTCACAGGAGTCTCTGTCGAATAGATTGGTGCCAGAACCACACCGAAGGCTCAAACGGACAATTCGAGACATATTGAAAGAAGATCAATGCTTCCGTCAAACAGGTACAGACATTTTTAACCTACGAGTATGATTCTGTAAAATTACTGTCACAGAGCTACAGCGACAAGCCGGCCCTCGTTAAAATAGCCAAGTCAAGTGCCAAGTTGATCCCCCGTTCTGTCACGCCGCCTGTTGCTGGTCCATCGATCCCCCGTTCTGTCACGCCACCTGTTGCTAGCCCGTCGATTTCTGGTACCGTCATGCTGCCTGTTGCTGGCCCGTCGAATGATCGCACTATGGATGCAAGGAGCGAGGCAGCAGATGTAATGATGCTTCTTCAGTCTGTCTCAACGTCCGCTGGTTGATTTCTATTGCTTTCCGCTTTCGTTGTTTTATTGCATAGTCTGTCGTCGTGCATATCCCACGTAAAAAATTGCAATTGCTTTGTTATCGATCCTTATACATGCCCATACATGCCTGCCATATTCGGCGAAATTCGTTACGGTTCGTTACAGACATTGGTTAGAAAATACAGGCGCATACAGGTACTGTTTTGGCCTGTATGGACCTGGAGTGGCCTTTGACTGGGCTTCAAGTTTTGAGACGGCGAAACCAACAATCTTAACACGTGCAGGTGGATTTGCTAATATTGATCACTTACTTGGTATATATTTATCCAATTTTCTAGCTGCCGCAAAGCTCAAACGCGGACGACAATCATCACCGTCCATCGAGATTCTCTCCGACAAAGAACACAAACCACCCGTCAAAAAATTGAAAGGTGCGCATCACATAATCTGCAAAATGACCTATGGCTCAATCATTGTCTAGTAGGCATCATGGTGAAACAGGAAGACTTAGTAACAGATGTCCAAGCACGGACTCGGAGTGTTGTTGACGCAGCCTCACAGCCGAAGAAACGTTAGTTCATATTTCAGTACAACTTTCCTCACTCACCCGGAATTTAGTTATTTTTAGAAAGTTCTAATGCAGATATTGATGAGCTCCCCAATGTTATTCGACAGCTGTCTCTGGTGCCGCAGACCCCACAACAGAACACTTCCACTGGCTCTTTTTCCACCACACCGGCTGGGTCACACTTCGGCACTACTGATTTACTTTCGACGCAGTTTCGTTTTCCCGGCGTTCAACTTCGTCGTATTGCCATGCCGCCTGACTTTGTAGAGCCCCAACCATCTGATATCATCTTGCGTGGTATCCGGGACCCTGATAGCCCATCTGCCCCCCCTCGTATTAATCCTTGGCTCGAAGATTATTTTATTGGCGACGTGGATATCACCATCTAATCTCTCGTGCCCTCCTCTACTTGTGTTCTTTCTAGTACCATACTATGGAGCTTTTATTACCTATACATTGCTACCATACTCATCCTCGCTACGATGTACTCCTTTAATAACAATGCACCCATTACTAGTACCGGCCAGGACTTAAAAAGATTCGAGACTTGGTCGCCAATGCTGCCAGTGGCAACTTTCAGACTTTCAGTTAGCTCTCGGACTCTAGTACTACTTCGTTACGCTTCTAGAATCACTTGAAAATTCCTGATATTGACATCGGATGACTTCAAGGCCTGACGAAAAGATTGTGTCGCGCACTTGATGTTGTGTATCGCGCAATTTATTAAAGTTCGCTTTGGAGCGTCATAGGTATTGGCCAAGGTCCAAATGTGCTCATGGCGTATGTGCTGCGAATTTGCAGCCGAAAAAGGCAAAGACTGCTGAAGGAAAAGTCAGTAACCAGGAAATTGTGAGTTTGGAAGCACTCATGCACCTCATTCCAAAGCTCAACAAATGTTGGGACTGCGAAACGGCTCGACTAGCAGAAAGATCGTTCGTCGTCGTCGGCTATTCTTGAACGCAATTCGATTCAGTCGCAAGATGCGGTTTCACAGTCATCAATGCGACGGTAAGTGTCTCATACAAATGAACCTTGAGCGCTAAATTGACTTGCGTTATACTCATGTGTTATACTTACTACAGGTTTGCTACCAAATCTTTTAGGTTTATTGATGCATAACGAGTCGCTCCATCCAAGCGGAAAAGTTGGTGCCGATACTTGTATGCGATTGAGGCTTGCTGCCGGTTTGTATATAGATTGCAATACTACACAAACTGAGGTGCATGCGATCCGACAGGACACACAGGGTCCGTAGTCACAGGAGGACCTTTTCCGATTTCCAGGCTTCTTTCTTCGCCTGTATTGCTTTAACACGGCGGACGAAGGAGTCCAAGATCGGCGTTGCCAAATCCACTGTAAGCTGCTCCACAGGGAAACGTTGAAGATCTTTCACAAATTCCCCAATGCCCTCCTCAAAGTCCGAGGACAGGGACTTCATCAAGGTTTCCCTGTATGTTTCCAACGATTCAAGCCCCTCAAGATACCTGGTTAAACCCAGATGGATGGGATGCAGCTCCTGTCGTTGGCTTTCCCTCGTCTCTAGCACCTGAACTGTAGTTGTTGTGTTAGCAGGCGGAGGGAGAGCAGGAGGAAGAGCAAGTTTGGGTTTCGTAAAATTGTGCAAGGCAGTAGGATGCGCAAAAGCTGTTGAGTTGGCTGCAGCGGTAGCTCCAGAAGGATGTCCTCCAACACCGTCCGGGTGAGGGCAAGCGTCGCCAGAGCTCTCAGAGTTTTGCTCTCCAAGACCATCAACATTTTCTGCGCGTAGATCAGAGATGACATCTTCACGTCTCATTTCCACATCCTGCACGCATGAACCTTACCCTTTGTAGTTAGATCGCTACCTGAATCGCCTTGTCACATGCTCACCAGATCCACCCTCCTGTTGATCGTGGACCTGCGTTGCAATCTCTGGCGGTGTATCAGCACCCGCATTGCTCTCCTCCTCGTCAGTCTGTTCTGTGGCATTTGTTTCCGCCTGAGAAGATTTCACTAGGAACAACGCAAGATGTGCGCAAGGGATTGGTTGATTGCTCTAACGCTCACCTTGCTGGTATCTAAAATCGCGCCACCAAGCCCCGGCTTTGTTCAACACTTCCGTTAACATGGAGCCATGCAGCTGTATCTCACTTGCGACCCATTTCCATACCGGCAGATGTTCTGGCGGACCGATTTGGTTCAAGACTTCCCACAGGGTGTCGTCCTCGGTGCTCTGAACCTTGGAGTTCATTTTCCCCCGGCGCATGTATCCTTCAAAGATCAAACGAGCCTCCAACGTATTGAAAGGATTTCGGTCATCTAGTATGGGAGAATGGTTAATGAGGCGTTAGAATGAGCGTCCAGAAAAACATACCCCTTGTTTCTGAAGTTGCTGTTTGTTCCTTGGAAAGATTCAAACTTCTCCTCAAACTGCCCACAAACTTCCTCCAGATCATCTTTCCGAGCCAGAGGTCCTTCGCATTCGCCTCGATGTCTTGCCAATTAGGATTGATGGAGATGATGCTGCTGAGGCTGCAGAGGTCGCCCAAGAACTGGCCGACATCGTGGTACGCTGGCTCTGTGACAAGAGCGTAACGCAAGAGGTCAATTGGTGCGTTCCAATAGTCATTCCCTGCGACGCACGAGGTTTTCAGTAGCTAGAAAGGGTTGCATGCAGTGATGAACTCGCCTTCACTGAACCAATCCCACTGCTTGATGCTCCAGAAGAGGGGACGAGGCTCGTGTCCCTCGTGCCAGCGAGACGGTAGCTTGGCCCCTTCCTCATATCGAGTCTCGAAAAATTGGCTGGGCTTGCTCATCTCTTCGAAGGACTGAGGTTTAATTGTTTTTTCAAAGGTGTCGTCGAGCCCTTCGATACGCCCGTGGATCCAGAGATTGGTATCTGCCGGGAGCGACATGATGTCCCGACCCTCCTCCTCTATGTCCCATCTCATTTCTATTCAGGTCAGGCGATGTTGGAAGAGCGGCGAACAGGATGAACACACCGAAAAATGCTTTATTTTCGAGGCTGACGGGATCTGCGTGCAAGAATTCAGGTCCATCAGCCTTGGCCTCCGAGTGAGTCATATAGAACCAATCCCGAACCATCCGGACCTTCCATTCGTTGAGAACTTTCACGCACTCCTCACCAGGCTCCGTGTTATAATTCAAGCCGACCAACTCCTCCACCGCAAGCAGCCTGGCAAACATGTATTGAACAAGCAACGTTCCGGCGTTCTGTCGGCAAGTAGTGGCCATCTTTTTCTCCTTCGAGTTCAAAGCCTTTCCCTCCTCCTTCGACCAAAGCCTCCAGATGTTGATCAATAGTACAATGTTGTAGGATAGCTCGAGCCAAACATCCCGGTACCTCATTGGCAGGGGTACATACCCTCTAAGCTGCCCACCCTCCATCACTGGTACCCGGCAGGTTGTGTGCTCCATCCTCGTGTCAAAATCAACGGCGACCACCTCTTGCGGGGCGGAGTAGGTGATGAGAGTTCCAAGGTTTGTTAGGGACTCATCCATGACTAGTTCTGCACGGATGAGTGGGATTGAGAAACAAGCCATGGACCGCCGGAGTCGGACTGGGGGCACCGGACGAGTTGATTTAACGGACATTACAGCCAGTGCCCGATCCTTTTTGGTCTTCCTTGTGCTTGTGGGATTTCCTTTATTCTCAGGTTTATGAGCCGCAGGGAGATGGCTGCCGAATCTTTGTCCTAAAGATCTACTGCGTGTCATAATTGTTACTCAAATCTCACAGAAGAAGTTGGGGGTGTTTACTAAGTACTTGATGCTTAATCGTGGTTTTAAGCGACCGTATTTGGCAATATTTGGCTGTGGCTCTTCTGACAAACAGAAGACAAGCTTACTCAAGCATTTCCAAAAGCGGAGGAGGCATCTGATGTCGTAGATCACATAATCGAGTTTTGCAGGAAATCCGAACTACCGGCAGTCTCCGTCCGGCTGCGTGCGGTTCTGTGCAGGTCCGTCTGGGCACAACCTGGGTTACCCGCTCGGGAATTGCCGAACATGAGGAAGGGTCGTCCTTGTTGGCGTAACCTTGGGGGTGTCAAAATGCCTCCTGTTGCATTGAAACACTAGTCTGAGCATCAAATATATATTACTGTCACAAAAATAGATTGTCTTAGATTGCGGAAAGAGAATACAGGTATGATAATCGAGCTAATCAACCTAACCGAGACCCAGCGCGCGCTCTGAACACCCCAGCGTGATATCAAAGAAAAAAGCAAAGGCTGCCAAAACGGCTGCACGAAACTCTCTGTAGCGAAATGAGTACTTCTCTGAACCTAATTTTATCAAGATGTCGGTGCTTCTCGCCATTTTGCTTCTTGGAGCCTCGAGCATTGGAAAAACATCAGTGCAGTTAAGAACACGCGAATGCTCACCTCTTTTTCCAGCGGAAAAGTGCAAGTGTACAGGCAGCTGTTCAACCTGTCGCTGGCCCTGCAAAAGCTTGGCAGCCTGTGACTGGCGCTGGCGAGGCCGAAATCGCGAGAGTCACTACTGCGACAGCAGGTGAACAGCTGCTGCTGTCGCCGTGCAACGATGATGTCATTGGCGTTGACGCACTCGGACCAGTCACCCCACCAGGGGAAGAGCTAGCGAACGAGTGGAGACTATGTGACCTTGGGTTACCTGTCTGGAATCTGCGGAATTAGCCAAGGGATTGTTTCTAAATATTCCTGTGGGTGCGAGTGACGAGATCCTATCACGTTTTGGAGGTGATCCCAGGCAAGAGGTCGAGGAAGATCAAGGCCCATTGGAAATGATTAATAGGACACTCGACAATGCTTTGGGGTATGGAAAGACACCTGAAGATCTTGCGAAATGCATGCGCCGTGGATTAACGGAATATGTCGTGAACACGGACATTCAGTTTTACTCGATTTCGTACCTATTGCAGAAGCAGAAACTATTCTGGCTGTTCTACTTGATGGGTTACATGTTGGCGAACGAGAAGAAGATGTCAAAGAGGTGGAAGAACCTTCACACCATCCAGAGAGTGCGGACGGAAGAACACGTGTGCCAGTCAATCGAGAAGTGACCGATATTGATCTCGAGCCTGATCTGGAACATATGGTCAACACAGAATTGTTGTCAGAGGACTCCTCACCAGCGAAATCTGATGCTTGGATTCCCCTTAACAGCACTGGACAGGTTGGAGAGTCACAGGATGGCGCTAAGCGGATTCATAAAGTCTCCATACTGGCATGTACTCTAGTCCGCTAGAAACAACGGGCTCCAAGGATCGTTTGAGAAATCGAGGTTACTCATCCTATGATGATGTCATTTCGACAGCTCAACAATCCAACAGCGATGTCACGTCACATACCGATGTACTGACAATATTGAAGACCCAATAGCCACACTCCTTCGATGCAATCAACAAATACCCACCCTTGGCAGCACTTTGAAGATGTTCCCACGTATTGTCAGACCCTATTATTATATAGGAATTATATGGTCTTACAGACCCCCTCCTCCAGGAGGCTGCTCCCTAATTTTGCAGGGCTGAGTAGATCTCCCTCGAGAGGATAAATGCCGACCCTCGTGGAAGAGGGTGAGTGCGGTCTCCTGGATGTTTCTTATCGAGCCTCAACACAACATCCTCTCCAGATGTTGCCACCTGATGAGGGTCACTATGTCATCATCTCTGTATGTTGCCCCACAATGTTAGCGAGTGTGATCACGATCCGCGGATGTGTTTGGGAGCCTCTGGAGTTCATATGTTTTTCTATATATACTTCCATAGCACAAATTGAATGTTTTTTTTCGCTCTTCCTATCATCTCATGGTCCATGGAACAAAGCCTGATTCAGATAGAAAAGGATGCATTGTATGGTACTATGGTAGATACAAAAGCATACAGCAAATACTACGACAGCAAGAACGACATCGATATAGCGTGTGCGAATGAATCTGTGCACAGGTCAACCACGGCTTTCTCCAGCACGACATCGATGAGATACTAATGATGACTCAGATACATCATGCTCCAGTAGAGCACCCCTGCGCATCCCCAGGCCCATTTCGCGCCATCTGGCCACAATGCGCTGATGAAAAGTGTGCCCATGCTGCATGCAAACTCGGGAACATACCAAAGACGAGCGGTGAACTTGAAAAAGTCCGTCTGTAGCCTTCACCGCCGAATGACTCGTCGATCCTTGCTAAGCCGCCTGCAGACCCTGGCATGTCATATACTGTGGGTGTGGGAACATATATGATTTCATACCAGGGTGCTGCGTAGGGGAGAATAATCTGTGTGAATATGAATATGCCGATGCAATTCTGGTGTCCGAATGCCTTTGCGAGTATACGTAGAGCTGGTGGGCGGAAAAGCCAAAGGAGTGCGGCTAGAACGAGGGGGAAGGTATAACAGACGACTCCGTAGGGAAGCCATGCGATGATGTCAAGAAGGGGTGTGTGAAGCGCGTGAGGATGTGGCTGATGTTTGCACCGTACAGTACCGATTCGAGCATGGGCAAAAAGACTACATGCACGGCCGGTCGATGGTCTGCGGGTAGAAACTGATTGGAGTAGAACATGACATCGCCACCAAAACCGAACCGGTGGATGAAACATCTCCTCAACTGTAGGCTGTATCTCGATGCACGACTTCCCCTTATTTGCGCGGAAAGTAGGCATAGTGAACATCACATCTGAACAGGCGACATCCTCAACCGATGATTCTTCATCTGCAATCAGGCGAGGAATAAAACTCCTACAAGAACATAAAACATTGTCTATGGACTGAGTATTAATGATAACAGCATCTAGAATGGTCCGAACGGCAGCATGGCACTCCCTACATATAGCAACACCACCATTAAGTGCTGCTATAAGGTAAATGACCCATAACACTGCACTTTTTATGCAAAGTGCCGTATTGTGGGTCATTTACTTTACAAGATTCTACCAAGCCTGGTAGGACTGAAACTCATCTCACTCCCGTCACTCGCTCAAGCCTCGACCCGCTTCAATTCCTTCACTCTCTCACTCAGGTATGTTCTGTGGCTCTCTGTCACAAGCATAGATTGTGTCAGTGTACATGGTAGGTATTTTACTATCTAGCTGTTTCCTCTGTGCAACTTCCCAGCTGTATTCCGGCATGCAGACGATGTGTTATAACTGCTGCTGTCCGCGCCCAATATGCTGCCGTCCTCTTAACTAATCGAGGTCTTTGATTCGGAGCCTGATGCCTTACTCTTGACACATTCAGTGTCGTGGCCTATCCTTCTTCAACGCTGGTTTCGTGGAAGAAATTCCACTCAAGGCCAGTGCCCAGACAGTGTATTCAGTACGATGCGCAATCCGGCTGGTGCCCATTGACTTCCCAATGAAATATTACATCGTCTGAACCCTGAGCGCAGAATATCAGCTGGTCGTGCTAAGAAACGCAGGGGGCAGGAGCACCCACATGATTCTCGCACCACTTGGGGTGTGTATTCAGTCCCATGGATCTGTATCGGCGTGGCCATGCAAGCCTCCACGCGGTGGTCGTAGTGCGATGGAACATTCACCAGTCAGGCAGTGTACTCTTGAGTGTCGTATGATGTGCAAAACATATTCAATCGTAAGCGTTCTTCTTCTTCGCACCTCTGCCTCTGCTCCACTTCACGTTTGTGTTCTTCCGCTTCCCTCTCCCATTGTTGGCGGAGACAGATTCTTTCCTTGTCTTCAAGTCCCCATTGCTGTTTGGTATCAGCGTGCTTGAGTACATCTTCCTCGTGGTGGCGGAGCTCGATATCCCATTTCTTGCAAATGCGCTCTCGAACATTTGGATCCAAGAGGTTGTTGCAAGCGTTAAACACTGATGCAAATATGACAACCGTGATTACAGCAGTCGAGATAGCAATCAATCCTGTGCAGATACAACTGCTCAGGGATCGATGACGATTGGAAGGCCTGTTGGGCATCAGAGGTTCTGCCTCTGACAAGCTGCAAGGCTTGCCATCATTCATCAAGTATGAACCGAGCATCACACACATAATAGTTACCTTACTTGCGGTATTGCTGAGTTATCAATTGTTGGCTAACCATATCGCAATACACCAGTTATCAATGTCAAGTTTCCGTTGAAGAAGTGCGGGAGTAGTGGATGTGGTTGGGTGCTGAGGAAGAGTTGAGCGGTGGAAGTTGACCTTGCGAGTGGAACAGCGGATGAACGACGCACATGATCCGAAGCGGCTTGAGACTCGGTGCGATCGATGGAGATATCAGTTAGCAAAAACGGAAAGAACATTTGATAGACACACATACAGTACGCAAACCCAAACTATACAAACCATTCACATGATATTCCGCGTGAAGCTAAAGTTAGTATGACAGCACAAGCTACACGAGGAAGGAGAAACAGAATGAACAGTCGGCCAAGACGGGGGCGTGCGTTTTTAGGACTTACAAAGTGATGTCGTCAACTGAATGCCTTCTGCACCAATGCCGCTCATAGCCTTGGTCTAGATCCGTCACCCAAGACTCGAGCATCGCAACTCTACATGCCTCTTCCACTTCTCCTCTGGTAACATCCTCCGTTCGTTTGCCTCTTCCTACGGTGGCAAGGGCCACGTTCTCGTGGAGGCTTCCATGGAAGACAAGTGCAGATGCTGCGCCCTGAGCCACACCAGCGCTGTGACACGACATGTACGAGGAGTCAATGTATTGCACATCCTGCTCGTTCAAAAGCACACAGCCAGAGGTTGGATTGTAAACCCCTCATTAAGATTGCACCGAGCGTGGACTTGCCGGAACCGCTTGAGCCAACGATGAATGTTGTCTCGTGCGCGGGAAGATACATGGCTACGTCGCAGAGTACTTGGACGTCCGGTCATGCGGGATATGTGAGGCTGGCGTCAGTCTGAAGCTAAGTTCGCCACTGAACGATTTTGTTTGGATTTTCCGAATTCTTGTGGACGGTTGGTGTGCTTCCTGGGAGCTCTGCAGCATCAACCTTGCCATTGACGAACGTGATGAGAAGGGGTATGACCACTTGGAGGTTGCTGGTTGCAATAAGACAAGCCCAGAACTCGCAGAAATTGGCTGGACAGTGGATGCCACAGTAGAGAATAGCAGGCGCCATGATGGTAGTTAGAGTGTGACTTGAAGATCAAAAAAGGACAATTCATCATGATTTAGTGTCGGGACTGTTAGTCACAGTGCAGAGGGTCTGCATCTCGCAGGCGCGCCATGGACCCTACACAGATGTTCAACGATGCGGGACATGATGTTGTAGATGATCGCGGGTTATCCAGAGGGTCCTGGGAGGCGCTGCACGAGCATCCAGGAGGAAGCAAGATCATTTAGGTGTGTGCTATATTTAGATCCTCCGCGAGGTCAGGTCTCTCAGACCCATATAACCCTAACATAATAATGGGGTCTGAGAGACCTTTAATACTCCCGAGAAGTGCTGCCTGAGGTGCAAATACCCCTTGCTATCGGACCGATCATTGACATGCGATCGGGAAGCAACGCTGTCTAGATTATTCCTGTTGATGAGCTACAAGAGCCAAATGTGCACGTTCGTGTGCAGAACATGCAGCTAGCCACTCTTGCACTGGAGGCTAACTCTGAGGGACACCGCAACAACAATGTCATCCTCGATTGGGAATGGACAGGTGCTTTGAGCAGCTGCCTGTTACGTCTGCAGCACGTGAGCGTGATGGACGATGTATTGAACCTGTCAATGCTGACGTCCGTCTCTCAGACCAAGGCACATCAACGTACCGTTTTTCCACTGAAATACTTCGCGGACTTGCCTTGTTGCTATTCGAACGCCTCAAGAATGACGTCCCAGGCATCCCTAATGTCCCGCTTACCTCAACCTTTCCCTACCGCTCTGCTAATGGTAAGGATCCTGGATGGTTCATCAAATGTTCAACTTGACTGACATTCTTCTTACCAGGGGCCGCATGCTTTGTTTGCGAGGTGGATGGAGAAGCTCGCGGAGCATTCCACGAGCGTTATCGCTGTGTTCGCTTCCCCGCCGTTGCATTTGAGGAGCTCGGCCCCAAACTTATTGAGCACATGGCGGGACATGTTTTATTTAATGAGGACTTACGGGACAAGCGCAACGTCTATGGTCTCTGCCTCAGCATTAGACTATGCGAAATTCAGCTCGCGAGAGGTGTTGGAGGCTCAGACCCAGTCAAAGGTCACTCCAGGCCCATACAGGCCAAAACAGTGCCCGTATGTATCTTCCAACCAACGTCCGTAACAAACTATAACGAATTTCGCCGAATATGGCACGCACGTATGGGCATGTATAAGGATCGATAACAAAGAAATTGCAATTTTTTTACATGGGATATACGCGACGACAGACTATGCAACAAAACAACGAGCGTTGTAGGTATCGTGTGAGAGCCTGGCATACAAAGAGACGGAAAACCATGGAAATCAAACAAAGCAATTGCAATTTTTTACGTGGGATATGCACGACGACAGACTATGCAATAAAACAACGAAAACGGAAAGCAATAGAAATCAACCAGCGGACGTTGAGACAGACTGAAGTAGCATCGTTACATCTGCTACCTCGCTCCTTGCACCCACAGTGCGATCATTCGACGGGCCGGCATGGCAGTACTAAAAGTCGACGGGCTAGCAACAGGTGGCGTGACAGAACGGGGAATCGACGGACCAGCAATGGCAGGTGGCACGACAGTACCGGAAATCGACGGGCCAGCAGCAAGCGGCATGACAGTACCAGAGATCGACGGGCTAGCAACAGGCGGCGTGACAGAACGGGGGATCAACTTGGCACTTGACTTGGCTATTTTAACGAGGGCCAGCTTGTCACTGTAGCCCTGCGAGAGTAATTTTACAGAATCATACTTGTAGGTTAAAAAAACGACTGTACCTGTTTAACTGAAGCATCGAGCTTCTTCCAATATGCCTCGAACTGTGCATTCGAGCCTTCAGTGTGGTCCTTGCACTACCAACCCATTCAGCAGAGACTCCTATGAAAATTCCTTTGTGAGGTGCAGTGTCGATGAGATCAACAACAGCTCGTACCTTGTCGTTTCCCGAGTAGATTGCTTTACTGGGACTGGTTTCTTCTACTTGGTTCCTTTGGAAGTCTCTGCACTAACAGTTGCGCTATGATTCTCTGACTTCGCATCAGTATTCTGTGCGGGTAGCACTGGGACGTTTGCAGGAGTCATTGTGGCATTGACGTGCATCACTGTCGATAAGTAATGTATGAAAGACGGGGCCTGGGGCAGTGCATGCACGATGCCAGGACCCACGTCACAAACAGAAGTACTTGTTGTATGTGCCACAGCGGTGCTGGAAGGTGCGGAGATAGGATGTGCAGAATGGCTGTCTGATTCGCCTGGAAACAGACCCTCGAGTGGATTAACAATCTAATGTCGTTACTGATGTTAGACCATAGAATAATGTCAACAACAAGAGACTTTCCTGAACTTCGAGCCTTGGTGGGTGTGGAGACTCAGGCAACCGAACATCGACGTCCGAAGTAAGTTTAATTGGCTCATTGAGAGCAGTGGGTTCAAAAGTGATAGGGCCATCAAGAGCTACTTAAAAGGGTTTGAACACCACGGCCATTTTGATACTCTTTCTGCCATTCATCCTTTGTCCAATAATACGTGCCGTGGTAATCTTCTCGTTCATATGTAGGTAGTGTCTTGTCAGCATCGCGCGCTATGCGATAAAAGCTCGAGGAAGGGGTCTTGTGAGCCACTGGTCGCAGGTAATGCGTCCATACACTTGAGAAGCTGTTGGTATAATATCCTTGAGATTTGTATATAAGCTAACAACCCATAGTAGTGTGCAATGTATGAGACTTACTCGGTCTGTGTAAGTCTTGATGTGAGGATTGCAACTTCGATATCACACTTGCTCTTTATTCTTCAAAGTCTGACTTTCTTTCCGTAGCACTTCCACCTCCTTCTTGAGTTCTTTGTTCTCCAGATAAAGCGACTCGTGTTAGAGCCCTGCGACGGTACCTCCTTCGTTGGTGGACTTGAGCATGTGCATGGCTGCTTGACGAGGAGGTGAATCTTCAGGATAGCTTTGTAAACTGTACGTGTAGAATAAAAGATTGAAGCGTAAGGATGTCAATTCATCTGTGATCTCACTCACCAGTCTTCCAATCTCACATGTCGATTGGAACCCACGGAAAATTATCGTTTCGAGGCCGCCATTTGCGTGATTGTTTGTCTTGAATGGTTTGAACATGCCTTATTGAGATGCTCAGATAAGATTGACCAAAAGTTGTGTAGGGGGCCAAGACTGCGACAACAAGCACCGACATGGGTAGGGAAATGATGATGATTTTTGATGGCACCAGAGCCGTAAAGCTGTATGCAATCTTATGAGCAACAGGCAAATGAGCCTCAGCAACTTACATGTATTAGCTCCACGTTATACTCTCGTATCAAAGCATCTGCGCGATCAATATCATCATCTGATAAATCTCGTCGAATCAAGATACGAAGTGCTGCAGAAAGCTTCAGAAAATGAGCGGTGTCATGAGGGTGAAGCGAAATTTTTGGGTCTTGAGGCATGTAGACCATCAGCTTCAACTGCTTGAGTAGTTGTACGCGTTTCCAAATTTGTATACATAGACTGACTTGCCTGACTAGATAATGCTCCAATTGCAGCAAGTAGAAGATGTGTTGCCTTGTGTTGCCCACTACTCGAGCGTGCGTGTGGACTGACCGGTAACCAATTGACTCTGCTCGAAACACTTCCCAGACAGGTAGAGCAAGTATTTGTTGTTCCGCGGAAGAGCGAAAGCATTACACTCAATTATGCTAGTCGCAAGTTCGGGCTTGGAACTCGTTCCTCCTGCAGCTGTGGGTCACGAAAATATCTACCCAGCCTCCGGCAGACTGGTCAAATCATCGATAAAAGGAAGTCTGTACTGTTTGTTCCTCCTTCAGTATAGAAAATACCTTGAATGCATCAGCCATGTCATCATGATACGGTGATTGGAATCATTGGATGTCGTCACAAGATTCCTAGAGCCCCACATTGTTGGCACATCTGGGCGGTTAGGCGCCTAAAGCTATGACCTGTATAACGTTCGATGCACATGAAGCTTGAAGCTGGCAAAGATGCACGCACCCACTTCCAATACTGTAGAATCGCGATGGTTGGCATCTGGATACGGACGCTTTAACGTCAGCAGTTCTGGAAGCCATCTTATATGGCGAGTATCGCAATGTGTTTGTCTGTCTGGTGCCCAACAAGCTAGAACCAGGCGTTTCAGCCCTCATGTTTATGGGTACCATCTAGGCTTTGACCTACAAATGTTGCATGCAGGGTATCAATTGCTATGGTAGTCATCCTGCTGTCTGTTAGTGAGTTCCCTAGCAATTGTCGAAGACGCTTAAGGCTGTCTTGATCGTGCATTCCTTTCCCCTCACCGAAACGTCTATGCTGATGGATTTTGAGCGAGGAAAATCGAGACAACTTGGCAGGCGATTTTTGTAAGCATCGCAAGAGACATCAATCAGATATTTCATTGAAGAAGCCATGTAGAAACCAATGTTAGTTCAGACAGCCTGAAAGAAGCTGAGGAGACTGGATTGAACGCACCAGAATACAGACTCGAGTATCTTGCGATGTTAAGCCATCGTGGAGTGTGTAACCTCTGGCTAGAAAAGGGATTGGTGAGAAACGGGCGTGTGCATGTCGAGAAAGAGATAATGTGATGGGTGAGTTTTTTGGATGGTAAGAGGTGATGTGGGATTTGAGTGAGATAGGTTGGGGGATTATAAGGAGAGAGGGAGAAAGAAGGTGTTGTGGGGGGTAAAAAGAGAAGGATTTGAGGAGGTGTGGGGAAAAAGATAGGATTAAGATGAGGGTTAGATTAGAAGTAGCAGGGCGTGTCATTGGACGGCTCGGGCCTGGAGGTCGTGATAGATGGTCTGACTCAGTATTCACTGTGGCGACTACGAGAAGTCCAAGGAGACGCAGACGCAAGTACTGTTACAAAAATGCGTCGGAAGATTGCGGGATGAAGGTGCAAATAAGGATCTCCCCCGGCGCACGAAAACAGCGAGGAAACGGTACGCCATTTCGTGATGATGTGCCCTGCAAACCGCACGCAGCGGGACGCCCTCAAACGCCAATCGCGGGTTCGATATTGGTCGTCTGCTAAAGCAACGAGAAATATACCTCAGATCTGTTCAAGCACATCGCGGCAACCAGACAACTAGAACGCGCATTTTGGCCTTTGGATGTCCCCTGTGGCTTCACCTTGGACTTTGAGGCGAGGATTGGGCAATTTGTGAAAGATCTCTTGTGAACAGCTTGCGGGTGGAGGTGGCAACCGAGTTAAAGCAACTCAGGCGAAGAAAGAAGCCCGGGAGTCGCAAAATGCTTTGCCCTCTCGGATCGCACGCGCCTCGGCCTGTGTAGTATTGCAACCTGTATACCCACCCAACGGCAATGAGCGGTAATCACACACGAGTATATCAGCGCCGACTTTTCCGCTTGGATAGAGCGGTCAGGGTTGCAAACGAGTGACTTTCCTGCAGTATCTGAAATCCTAGAATTCGACAGTAGGAAATGCACAAGAAAGGCAGAAGGCAGCAGCCAGGCAGGAGCCTGCTGGTGTGTGGCTGAGTACAACGTGGTACGGAGACAAGAGCAGCCACGTGCTGCACTGACGCTGGCACAAAGTCCTTACCCGTTGTATTTGCTTTTGTTTGTCCACAGTTGGCTTACTTGTGCCTCTTTCTTCTTCTTTCTTTCTCTCTCCATCCAACATGCGTATTCGACTCTTCCCAACCGCCTGGCATACCCTCCCCGTAGTGGGAGGTCACCTCTTGTGTATGCTGGAGATATGCTAGCTGGGGCGGTGCACCCTCTACCCTGTACAGGGCAGGGGTTCTCATGGGCCACTGTTACATCTTCCTAACCGCACAGCATCAGCCTATCTGGCATATGCTGGAGTCATGCTGGACGGACAACACCTTCCTCTTCCCTGTACAGGGCATAGTACTTTTGGGCTGTAATGCCTGAGATGGATCAGTGTCAGGACTGTGTGATGTGCCCATGTGGCCGCACGAGACGATGTCATGCTCCCTCGACATTCTCTGTATCATTTGTCTTGAACAACATAGGAGGTGAAGGGGCAGCATTCATGCTTCATGCGGCGTATGTCCGCCTGTGTACATCCTATTTCAACAACAGTTCCAACGCCACGATAAAGGTATAAAGATCAAAGCCATTGACAGGCAATCTTGACGTTGCACGATCCCCTTGCTTTGACCCCTCATTCTCCTTCACCATACGCTCCCTATGCTCATTCTGGCCTAGTCAACCATTCGAAAACATATATGTACAGCACATGTACGCTCATACCCCTTCGATGGTCCTGACGAGAGCTTTCGCAGGCTCGAAACTGCTGCCCTAGCGCTTTACTAGCCTCTCAATGCCCTACCTACCAGCGCTTTATCTTAGGAGACAGTGTTTTGCAGCTCTGGGTGTTGGAGGTGTTCTGAGTTCTGCCTAGTACACTAATCCAAAGCCATAGCCCTTTTCCCTCGCTGCGCTTCGGGCTGAGAACGGCAACATTGGCCTTCAGCTAAGTTCTCCAGCATATTTGTTGTGGTGCATTTGAACTCTATTTTTCACCAGAGGTCGTACGACTTCTTCTCGATCCCTCTTTCCCGTCACAGCAATTACAACGACAAACCAGAAAAAAGTCAAAAAGAAACGGAAGAGATACATGAGCAGACTGTGAACATGATCATATCAGAATGGCCAGTAGGCTCGAGCTAGTCATCGGCGCCTTGTTCTTTGTTCAGTCTGTTCTATCGCGGCAGTCTCAGAGCCCAGCATCTTGACCTTTTTGCTCCCGTCGTGAAGGCACACCGACAGGGATCTCAGGATCATGGCAGTGAAAGAAGAAAAGGTGGTAGGAGCGAGCAGCAAGATGATCTGAGACGGCAGGTGAAAAGATGTCCCATGTAACGTTGATCAACTGTATTTCTACTACAGTTGATATGCTCACATTGCATATCGTAACATTGCATATATGTCGTAATGCACAGATGTTTGAGGATCCCAACATGGGCGGGCTGAAAATGCAGACATAATGCATAACACATAATGCATTGCTATTGTATGAATGATATGCATTATAAGAGGGTCGTAGTTAGGGCAATGGAACATGAGTAGCACCCAAACCATTGTTCTCTAGCATTGTCCTGCTCAGCTATGTAAGTGTGGAATGGATATGATATCCTGTATTCATAAAAATGTCCCTAAACCTGAAACGCAAGCCACGTGATAAGCCCGCCGCATACACTCGACCTGCAAAGAAGCAGAAGATCACAAACGACACTCCTTCAAGGAACGGAAACGTATTTTTGGTACTTCACTAACTATCGATGAGATTCTAGACCCTGCCGAGGAGAGAGATAATGGAGATTTCCTGAACTTCGAAGGTGGTAACCAGGCTATTGCTGATGAAGTCCGTCACGAGATTGCAGTTGCGAATGGCGAAATTGTCGGGATAAATTCGGATGACGAGTCAGAAGAAGATGGGCCATCATTCACGCGCACAGAACTCCTCAATCTGTGTCAGCAGCTTGAGACTGGATGCATGCAACATGGTGATCCTCAGTTTTCCCTGAATTTGTCATCACAGCTCCGCTTATTTCGTGCTCGATTACGACGAGAGGAGCTACTTAATGCCAAGCAGACCTCTATAGATCGTTACTTCAAAGCATAATATACATAGGCATTGTGGAGACTGTACTTTTTTCATGTCACAACTTTGGCAGAGGTCACATGTGTCACACGGGTGTGACATATGTGGTTGTGCATGTGTCATAATGCATCAAGTTTTTGCCACCCAACGGTATGCATTATGAGCATATCAACTGCGCCGAGAAAGCGTGAAGTATCCACGCAAGATGTACATATAGCGAGAGAATAAAAAGAGAAGTGAAAATATGTGCGTCGGGGATGGGTGCTGGCACTGTTACTGATTACTATTACGAGCTTTCTTGACCGTGTACACGTTAATGGCGACAACCATTGTTCAACGCGAATTTCAGCTTGAAGCCGTTCTCGCGACTCTGAACAGTCAATATGGCATGATAACTGCAGATGCAGGGAGTAGGGAGGTTATATATCATTATTCCGCCCTGCCACACGGCATTAGCAAGGCATTTCAACTCGTTTAACAGAACGGTCGAAAATAAAAAATTCAAGGATTCTGAGGATGAACGGCGCAGGGCTAATGAAACGGAGAGGACATGCGTACGGAGAGCTAGTGGTAGGTTACGGAGACAGAATTCAGAGTCCACACGTCCTTCTGGTCATTCATCAACCTCCATGTGGGGTGAATGTTCTGATTGCGTCAGATCCAGCATCTGCGTATCTTGCTGATATGTCTTCTTCTGAAGCTTCTTTTTACCTTGCCCTCTACCTCTCTTCCTGCCTTTTTGAATTATTCGAGTGGCTGTGTCGTTCTGGCGCTCCGTGAGATCCACAAAGAAGTTTTGCAAGTCAGGTGAGGGGGGGAAATAGTGCCAGAATAGTTGAGGCGCGGCGAGTGCATTTACCCTCTTGAAGTGTTTATTGTCCCTGTCGGTCCTTGCCCATGATGACTGCCAATGGCACCTCAAACATCGAACACGGACCCTCTCCTTGTGATTGAAAACGCGGAGGTCTGCTGGACATGGAGTGCACCCAGGCTTGCCACAAGACTTGAATTCATAGCCAAAGGCACGCAATCCAGGGGCGTCTTTCGCGATTTGGCGACATTCGATCTGTCGGGAGCCATTGACAGTGGTTGCGTACACCACCACCGCAGTTGTGTAGTCCAAGACGTCGTGGTTTGAGGTAAGCATGTGGCAGATTGCTGACCAAGGGTCCGTTCGTCCGAATACTCCAGTCTCCACTATAAAAGAGCGCACGGTATGGGAGACCATGGAGGGTAGCGTTCCGGACCCTCCAAAACCAACCACGACTTCGAACTGGTTGCTGAAGCACAGTGAATGAGGACAGTGTATATGGCACAAGAAACATACCTTTTGACTAGCTGTAACACAGATTCGAAGTGGTGGGAGACCCTGATCGCAGGTCCACAGCTGACCAGTAAGAGCCCCCTCCACCCCCCTCTGGCTTTGGCGGTGAGGTCGCACCACGGCTTCGTCGATTTTGCTGTGGTGAGGGTAGAGTCGTCACTCCTTGCGGCATCTGAAGCTTCTCCCATGCATTTCAAGAAGTCTGTGCCAAGGTAGGCCTCGACAATCTCGGTAATGGTGGTGTTGGTGCCTCCCGTATGTCCTCCGGTATGCTGTAGCATTCCTGTGAACTCGTCTGAATGTGTATCGACGATGATGAATGTATTAGGTGGAAATCCGCGACTGATGTTACCACGCATGAATTCCAAACCGTTTGCAAGCTTCCTAGACTCAGACACATGAGCCGAACCGCGCATGTGTAAGGTTTGTATGAATAGCTGTCTACAACGTTATATTCATCATAGCAAAGAATATGGGTTAGTTCCACGTACGTTGTGGGGATGCATGCGATAGTAATCCTCCAACTCGACCTTGACCGTTGTTGCAAGGTAATCATCTTTCATGGATTCGAGGTTGAGGTTGACAATGGCCATGGGCCAGTCCATCTTCACCCTCTTTCTTCGCCCAAAGCCAACGTAGGCATACTGCAAGGGTTGGTCCTTCTTGTCTCCCGTCCTGGAGCATACTGGGCACATAAAATCATCTTTGTTCTCCACGGATCCGAGATATATACAACCCCTGCTTTTCTGAGCCGCCTGTTCACACATGATGGCACCACACTCAATGCACTGATGTCGGTATCCCGGTTGTGCTGCCTCACAGCAGAAGTGACAATACACACCCACTATATCGGATGAGGCAGTTAATGAGGGGATAGGCTCCGCGTGAACGCTCTCTTGACCCGACTGTCTGTCTGTAGGTAGCTTCAAAGCCATTGAGGGAGCCACCCGCGGTACCATGCTTCCAATGTCCACCCTCCCTGGCCCTGCTCGCGATATCCCGCTCAGAATCGCCCCCGGTTTGGCTTGTCTCGTTCTCTTGGGAGGCATGTTTCGGACAAATGGGAGGAAGGAAGTAAGGTCGTGTGGTAGATTGTGAGACTTTATTCCTGACTCCCACGTTTAGTGGCAGTCTCTACATCAACATCGTGTGAACATATTACATCAGCTTTTGTTGAACTGGAGTTATCGCGTTGTGGATATCGTTCGCGCAGAAGAATATGTTTGGTCTGACAGGCCTGTTCGTCCATTTTGGTATCGTGTCACCAGTCACACAGCACTGCAAGCACAGTACTTACTGACACCTGAGGCAGGACGGAATCTTGTCTGGCAGACAGATTGGTATCGTATCTGCAAAAATATTTGCATTCATGATGGAATCTGTACTGCAACGGTATTGGATATCAAATTTTTCCATATATTTATGATATGACATTTAAACTTTGAAATAAAATCTCTATCTACAATTGATATGTATCATATGTAGAGTTTAAGCATGAACATGGTGGCTGATCAAAAATTACAAAGTTTAAATATGAACCCTACATATCCGGTATGGAACTTTCTTATTGGTCAGTTATCGGACAAATTTAGAATAATACAAACACTGTAGGTCTACTGTAGCGGGAGTTAATAGGGAGCATGGCGTAATCTTTTCCTGAGTTGACAGGAAAAATCGCAAATCTCGAAAAATTACTTATTTTTGCTTGTTTCCTTATAGAAGTTTCATTGGGCAAAAAAAATCCGTACCATAGAGCTCCCTACGGAGACAGTGCTTCCTGCACTGTAGTTAGTCTGCTGATTTGCACAAGCTCTTAAACTCGGCAGACGTTGGAGATCCTGCCGGAGATTCAAAATGAGAGATAGGTCATCTTCAACTACACCGCAACGATATAACTGCTATCTGCCCTGCGCTAACCAACCATGGCTGCTTGTTGGGCTACTTGATTCGAGATTAACGACCGGCTTTGAATTGAAACGAATAACCTACTGAAGCATGTTGTTCGCTTACTACAGTCGTTTGCATTAGGGGGAGTCAGAGTTGGCGATCCACGCTCGATTCAAGAGCTGTTCCACATCGCGATCCATCATCGGTTTTTTCGTTGATGGATCGTGGGAACAGTGAATCGCAGCTGGATCGTTGGAACGCCTCCTGAGCCGCTCCACCTTTTGAGTCGTGTTCGATTCTCCCCATCCCAGTAATTAATTTTGTTTTTATTTAAATAAATACATATGACAAGTCACTACTGCAAAATAACACGCGTCTCTGAGTCCTACTCTCAACTTAACCAATGGCGAAAAAGGCCGCTGAGCAAGCTCCAGATCAAGCACCGAAGGCACCCACTGGCAAGAACTCGAGGAAAGGTCCGTCGAAGGCCAAAGGTAGTAAAAAGGCCAGCAAGAAACAAGGAAATGCAAGTGATAGCGAGCTGCCGGTGGATAGTGATCATGATGGTCAGCCCGAACTTGAAGATAAGACTGATATCGAGTACGTACCTCCGAGTCTGGGCCAATTTTTACCTTCGTTTACCTTAGGAAACTCATTCAAGTCCAGCTGGACCCCAGGATCTCCTGTGAGAAGCAACACTGTGCTAGCTTTAACGGCCCATATGATGGGCTTCGCGTCTTGCGTAGGTTGAACTAGAAATCCGTGTCAGCATAAACTTGACCGCATATCTAAGATCACGCACCTAGCAAGAAGATTCCATGCCCATCATTATTACTCGCTACGTCGTGTGGACAGGCAAACATTAGAATAGTCAGCTAACACTCAGGGACAAAAGACGTTACTGAGCATTGGATAATCGATATCGATAATCGACTATAGGGGCCCGCGTTGCTGACTATTTACCTTGCTCCGGGTGATTCCGCAACTGTCGAGTTTTGCAAGAGAACGGTTGTGTGGATTCAATACATATCTTATTCACCAAAGATTAGGTAGAGACGGCTACAAGATACCATGCCATCGAAGTCCTGACGATGGCAGAGTCGAAGCGAAGAAAATAAGATACGGCAAGGTGTAAGAACCTAGTAGCGAAGTTCCGAACGAGATGATGTTGGTAGCGTCACGTATCCGTGTGAACGGTACTTCCCGGATTTATGATGACGTGTTTCCTTCGCAGTGTGAGGTTCCTTCGACTTCCATAAAAGGTCTTTATTTGTTGTTATTCCGAATCTGCAAATCACGCAACATTCTAAGTGACCTTGCTCCGCACGGTAATGCAAATTCTAGCTCGAACCAGCACAGCTTTCGGCCGTAGCCGCCGATGATATCTTCATAGTTCGCACAGTTTTGCATATGACACGCCCTCGTTTGGCTCCAAACGTAATGCCCAGTGAAAACTGACTGTGACGGGAGGAGTCGTCACATGCTTAGAAGTGATTTTCCTTTTTAGTTACATGTTCGGATATGCTCGTTTATCATAATCTGACTCTTTGCACACGTCGTGCTTGCAACATTGCATTGTAAAGTGTTAACTTCGCGTATTTCCCTTTGTTCCCTTTAAGTTCTCTTTGCTTTGCTTTGCTTCTCTCGCAAATTCCATATCACAAAGTGCAAACTATGCATCGCAAACACAAACTTTGCATCGCGAAGTCCATTATTATATCCGAGTCCGAGTCATTGCAAGCTACATAAATTGCTTGCCCCACCTTTCTTCCTCCGCGTACTTCCTTCCTGCGCCTTTCTTCCTCCATCCCCACCTTTTCCTCTCCCCACCATCTTCCCACCTCCAAGTTAAAGGTCCAGCCACTCTCCTCCACTGGTTCTGTCACGGTGTTGTGAGTGTCTCATGTGTTGTCTATCCGAAGGTATGATTACACTAACCACACGAGTTTAGGACAGTGTAGTCTGTATCACAGGGATCCTACTGTACTGGGACAGTGTAAGACTGCAGTATGTCATAATATCATTTTCACGCGCATATATTCATGTCTATTGCAGAAATATGACGAGGAGATGACAGAACTTGTAGGACACTGTTTTTAACAGAAACCTAGTGTCAGATCAGTAGTTTGTGACGGTCAACTCTATTAGATCTCCGAGTCACTTTATTTCAATCCCTCCCATGTCTTTCCTTTCTGTTCTCTTCATCCGAGTCTCGCATTCATCGTCATTATGGCAATCTGACACTAGAGCAAAAGGTAAGTGATATAGTCTCTTGTTTTTTCTTGTATTGATTCTTTTACACTGACTGACAGGGATATGACAAGTCGCTATGCTCGTAAGCTCTTCACTCCCTTAATAGACACCTTTCTAAATCATTATCTAGGTTGCCAGCAACACGTGGAACAAATCCGTCTGCGAAGGACGGCGTTATTAGATTCCCGCACCTGCATGATCCGATACACTGTCATTTCCTATGATGTTTCCGAGTCGTTGCCTGTGTTTTGGAGCTCGTTTTGTACCGTTTCTGTACCCCTGTCACCTGCAGCGCCTAATATTATTCGAGCATATTTGCGCACATTTTCAACTATCTGGCAAGGAGCGCGAGTATATGCGTTCAAATGCGCAAATATGTTTTACATTAAAAAAAAGCACCTATGTGCATGAGGAAACCCGCCCCCGCATATATTGAAATGTGCGGATTCGCTCACTACGTGTCATAGCATGTTCTCTTATGTTTTTCCACCGAGCTGCTGACAAAATCACTTATCGTCACACCACACCTCCTCCCGTCACAGTCAGTTTTCACTGGGCGTAATGTTTTGACATAGAGCATTGTGCGCATCTGCTCATGTCCTACAAAATGCATAGCAGCTCCTGAAAGTGTGGAGTAGAAATTTGAAAATGGCTAGTGAAAGTAGGAAGTAAGAGGGACATCGTGTATACCTCATGACAGCCCAGGGAACATCTCTCCCATGCATTACAACCCAAGGAGTGGGCTACACACGAACCCCAGCCTCAGCAATGTCTCCCAGGCATTACAGCCCAAGCACACACTGCTTGGCTCCGGTATAAACCAGAGGCATCTGCAAATATAAGCAGGCTTATGCTAGACTCGTGACCAGCCCCTCTATGAGGCAACCCGTCGATAGAGGGACTGGTAAAACTAGCACGAGTCGAACGTTGATAAGAAACTCCAAGTACGAGACTTAACAGACTTTGCAAGGCCTTAGCAAAAGCTCACGTGGTCTTTGATATCCCAAAAAAGGATTATCCATCACGTTACCCTGGGAATCCGCTCAGCATCCAAATTCAAAGCCAGTTTTACCAGTCCCTCTATCGACGGTTTGCCTCATAGAGGGGCTGGCCACGAGTCTAGGCTTATGCCAGGCGAGCTGGGACTGTAGACAGAGCACAGTGACAAGGTGACTGCAGCTGTATAAGTTGAATCAAAGCAAACGAACAGAATGCAAGTTAACTCACTGCGGGAGAAAAAGGTCGTTATAAAGACACGGCTGCTTGCCAAAGCACTCGAGAGTGACTTCTCGCAAGTCGTCGAAGCTAGGGGCTCCTGAATTGGAGGGCAGTTCAGGCATGTGGCAAAATAGAACTTGCAAGGTTAAGCAATTGGCTTATTTAACGTATACATTCCTTCCAGGTAGGGTTTTTTTACGCTCCGCACTATGTCGGCAGTGTTTAGCCGCCGTGGCTGACGATGTTTACAAAGGTAAGGTTTGTCTCCGAATGGAAAATATATGGCTGTTAATCGTGGTTCAACTTGTTTGACCGAGTTGAATCAGTTCGCGACGCCGGTCAAATCATTCGTGACTCAGCTTTTGAATGCGAGGCCCCTCTTCGTTTAGGTATATATGAGGGTTACAGACGAAAGTCATCCTTCCGTCTCTATTCACTGAGCACTTCTGCTCCGTGCACGTCTGCACCTCAATTTGAACTACCCAGATTGCTCCCTGTAGTACATTCTGTTGGAGTATCCGTCTCTGGTCTTCAATCTCTCGAGCCTCCATCTCTCATATTAGTTTCTTCTATCTCTTTCCTGAGTCCCCGATTGTTCACAGCTCTCGCTATTGTGCTCTGCGACTCTCTCTGATCGCAATAAAATGTGACCGAGTCCCCCGAGTATGGAGCTGGGGGACTCCGCTTGCTCACAAACATGAGACCTATCCTAAGTGTAGACTGATTCATATTTGGAATTTGAAAGGAAGCCTTTGTTTTACCTCTAGATCCATGCTCATCGAAATTATGACAATAATATCTTGTGCTGTGCAGTGGGTTTTGTGGCGTCATCGACCAAATTTTTTGGTGAAAAATGCATTCCTGTCTTAAAATGGTGCTTTATTCGCACGGTCATGTGAGACTGTTTTTCTACTAAACATATGTTGGTTCTGTGTATATCGATCTTGCTTAGTAGTTCACTATGTCTTCTACTATTGGTTACCACTTGCTCGTGCACACCACATTTCGTGCATCCCTCAAAAACAACACTTTTCCTACTACAAAATGTTCAAACTACTACATCTATTTTAAATAATAATACACAAGAACGTCTTACGAGCTTAGACATATGCATTTGGACAAGAAACAAGAGAGATAGATGTTTGGTTGTGACAAAGGCTTTTGTCACTTCCCTTGTCACCTGCCGTCCGCTGCCGCAGCGGAGTTTTAACTCAACGCGTTAGTGGCAACGCGTCTCGACGCGTCTACTCGCTGCACGGATGGCGCGCACTCGAGTCGGTGGGAAGCAGAAAGGTCCCCGAGATCCCACCAAAGAAGCTTGCATTCAGGCTGCCATCCGTGATACCTTGACTGGTGTTCATGCCAGTTTTCGCAGTGCTGCCATAGCTCACAATGTAAGCACTCCCTCAACAATTTTGTTGCAACTCAATTTTCCTTCAGGTAACCCCACCGACTGCGAGATCGTGCGGCAGGCAAACACCATACTCGACGCTCGTTCCTCAACGAATCCCAAGAAAGAGTACTGGTGGACTGGTGCCACCATAACTCGAATTCAGCAACCCCTTTACATCCTCGAAAACTCCGCGCTCAAATACTGGAGATGGTCAACAGCATCACGACAAGAACATTTGACAGTCCCTTCACATCATATAAACGGAAAGAAGATCTGGAAGCACTCGCTGGAGCACTTGGACTCTCAAGAGATGGAAAAATTGCTGATCTTTCAGCACGGATCAAAGCTCACTTGGAAGATCCTGACACTCGCGCAGCTCTTGCAGATAACCCTCGATTTTCAGCGCTATATGGTTCGAAGCGACGCACCGGCAGGCCTGTTGCCATTACCAACCTGACTTCGAGTGAAAGCTCAACACCTTCAGCCAGTACTTCTCTCCCCACGGCAGCCAACAATATGTTCCACCCACAACCACCTTTGTTTCCGCAAATGCAAGGATTTCCGAGTCTCCCCGTTATGTATCCAAACCGGTCACATCATGTTCAAGCTGGCCCCGCTGTACTCTCAACAACCACCCCTGTCGTATCACAGCCATTGCTGTCTGGGCATCCTAATAGTCACAGTTCATATTACTCCGGCAATCCGCAATACATATTCAATAAGATTACTACATACTAGCTACTGGTACACTCGTATATATCTTCCTAATGTCTAATCCACAGCGTGTCGAGCGGACTGCGAAATCGGCCAATGTGACTACACCGTGACTTTCCGTTACAATTATGTGACTGCACGAAATGTGGTGTGCACGAGCAAGTGGTAACCAATAGTATTTGTCACAAAGTCCTTGGATCATTCGCTGATGTTCCTGCTCTTATTCGTGTGGACGGCGCGAGATCTGATTTCACCATGACCTTGTCTTTTGTGCACAGTTACAATGTGCCGCGTTCCATTTTCAATCATAATGGGGTGGCTGTCTGCGACACTCATGTATACAACATGGTGCAAAGCGACTAGCCAATCAATGTACGTACCAAACAACATCGTTCAAAACGCACACTAACGGACCCTTTCAGACTTTGCAGCTCGGCGTGTAAGCCATAAAGGCCCTGCATCCATCTGATGAACCTGTCGAAGAACAATTTATCCCAATACTCTCCACGACCTCCACTGACATGTCGAAAGACGATTCAGCCATTGCAGGCTTTTCAACATTCGATGTCGCGACCAACCCCACCAAGAAAAACAAGCACACGAACGGACGGAAGAACAAGGGAGGGAAAGGAAAAGAGAAAGTGGACTGACCGCCTCCGTTTCGCGACTCGTCTGATTGTATTAATACTTGTGGCATTCGAGGACCAGCAGAAAAAAGACAGAAATCGCTTCAATTTCACTGTCTGGTTGTATTTGTAGCCCTCGCCTCCATCTCGCGACTCGTCTGGGTTGATCTTTACGATATTTGTATCTGTAACGCCAATCGATTCACATTAATGATGACTCGAAAAAGCGACCGTAGCCGCGAGCGTCCTTTCGCGTTATAAATAAGGCAATGTGCAATCGGCGATGGATGCGGCATACATCATTCATCAACGTCCATCGCAAGGGAATGTCCTGAGTCCAAGTTCAGCATCTGCACATCTTCCAGCTGCTGAGAGGTGGTTGTCTCTCTCCTCCCCTCCGCGACTCCACCTTTCACCCCCTTGTCTCCTCCTTCTGGTTCGCGTGGCTCGAGTTTGATGAAAAACTGTTGAAGTTCTTTTGAGGGGGGGAAATGGTGCCAGAATATCTGAGGCGCAGTGAGTGCGTTCACCCTCTTGAAGTGTTCGTTGTCCTCATCGGTCCTTACCCATGGAGACCTCCAGTGGCACAAGGTACACCGAAGCCGGACTTTCTCCCTCTGGTTGTAGACCTGCATGCCTTTTAGCCCTGGATCGCATCCAGCTGTTCCGCACAGCTTGAACTCGTAGCCAAATGCATGCGATGCAGGGATGTCCTTCCCAATCTGACGACATTCGATTTGGCGGGAGACACCGGTGTCGGTCGCGTACAACACCACAACAGTTGTGTAGTCTAAGACTTGGTGGTTCGACGCGAGGATGTCCCTCAATGCAGACCATGGATCGGTTTGTCCGAACACTCCAGTCTCCACAATGAGGGAGCGCACGGTATGAGATATTTGAGATGTGGAGCTACCAGAACCGCCAAAACCAAGAACGAAGTCGAAACTGTCACTGAAGCGTTGTGAGTGAGGGCTATTCGTGTATTATAGGAGAGTGGCTTACTTCTTCACCAACGCCACAAGTGATTCAAAGTGATGACGGAGCCTGATAGCAGGATGGCTGCCGACCAGGAGGAGAACCCTCCGTCCTCCTCTGGACTTGGCAGTGAGATCGCACCACGGCTTGTTCCCGGTTGCCGTGACATTGACAGCTGTGTCACCCCTTGCAGCAGAAGAGGCTGCTCCCATGCACTCCATGAATTCTTTACCAAGGGATTTTGCGACAACGTCTGAGACTACGGCGTTTCCTTTGGCAAACTCATCCGAGTCCGTGTCAATCACGACAAAATAATTCGGGGGACATCCAGCCTTTATGGCCTTATGCATAAGCTCGATCCCACCCCCAAGGTTCTTGGACTCGGACGCGCGCACACCCTGAGCTATCGGCAAGGTGTGAATGAACAGCTGGAAGGGATCTTCAGTATTACACACAACAAGAAGGTAGGTTCTACCTACGTTTGATGCGTGTGACCTGTAATGATTGATTAGTTCAACCTTGGTGGTCTTTGCAAGGAAGCCTTCCTCCAACGACTCCGCATTGAGGTTCACAAGGCACATCGGCCATTCCATCTTCACCTTTTTTCGCCTTCCAAAGCCAGAATATCCGTACGGCAAAGGGGAATCTTTCTTCTGTCCAGTCCTTGCACAAATTGGGCACAGGAACTCCTCCTTGCTGCACACTACAGATCCGTGAACAATGCAACCGCTGCTCCGAGGAACGGATTGTTCGCAAATGAGAGCGCTGCAGTTGATGCACTGGTGTTGGAATCCAGGCTGTATCCCATCACAGCACAAGTGGCAATACATCCCAAGCATATTGGATAAGGTAGTGGATGGATATTGAAGTAGCTCCTCGTGGTTTCTGGAGTGGTTGGATGAATCCTGTGGCACCATGCTTCCGATATCTGCCTCCCCTGGGCCAGCACGTGAGATGCCGCTCAGGATCGCACCTGCTTTTGCTTGTCTGGGTCTTTTGGGAGGCATTCTAGAGAAGGAAGGAATGAAGGCAGAGTATTGGCTATGGTACACTATATACTTGATGTGCGCTTCTCCAGAAGCACCATTTTCAAGAGGCGTGCATTCGGAGAATCCCGAACACCAACACCTTTTGGCACCCCTGGTGCATGGGGTCCCGATCAGACACACCTTTGCGAAGATGCAGGCTGAACGGAGTTTTTGTATATGGCCAGTTCAAACCTCACTAAAATTTTAGGCTGTCTATAGCAAGTTGTATCAAATTCACTGTAAGCACACTCTGAGACATTCACATTAAAAAAATACCTTTCGCTGGTGTGAAAGAAGCACATCCTGATATCGAAAATTAGTAACCAATAAGTTCATGCTCGCTGCAATATACCTTCCAGCAAGCCTAATACCAGAAGTCATTTGGGGATCCTGTCCATCAACTACGAACGGCAATGGGCAAGCCCATCGCAGTGCAAAATCGTGATGGTGTTAATCTTACCCTTCTTGGTGGTGTCATGCGGGGTCGTGACTTTGATGAGCGCGCTGCACAAAGCATGGAAATCCATAATTTGTTAGGCATCAATACTCGTGATCAAGATTCGCCGCGCGACGAGATCCATCGCTCGACAAGGTAATATTATATTATTGGTTGCGGTTCTATTCAAATCTGACATGCTGTTAGCTCTTATTAGACCCAGAAACAATACGAATTCTGTCTCGACGTCGGAGAACCATGATATAGTGCCAAGTGCATTGCGTTCTGATGTGACCGGAGCTCCAGAACTTTGGCCGAGATGGACTACCGCTATACCAACACCACGCAGGGGGCAAACTTCCGCTGAGTCATTTCAGCACCCTCGCAGGTGCAATCAATGATGACACCATAGCAACAGGAAGGGGTCAGGAACCATAGTGCCGCCACCCTCGACATATGTCAGCACGCTCCAGCATGCACTGACACCTGCAAAAGATCATTGATTACTGGCCACAGCCGGAAGTCATCTCGACTGCAGGAACATGCAATAACAACTCACGGAATCTGTGTGGCACCCCATTCAAATTCCGCTCTCTCGATTCAACACTTTTGGTGGAGCTCTCGATGAAGGTCCGCTATACCATCGAAAAGGTGCCAAACGACAGCGCTGCAGGATGGTCCAAGGTGTAATTGACGAGGTAGCGCTGAATGGAAGGGCAAAGTTGTTTAGTATAGTCTATACCTTATTGACAATAATCACAACCATCAATGTTCTACAGTTAATCATTATAGCGTGTGTTGAAATTTCAACACCTTAGCGACAGCCATAAACGTCCTACAGTTGATCATCTACCAGGGCACCCAACTTACGCATCTCAACAGCAAAGTCACACAGAAGGAACAAACAAGTTAATGTATTGCATGTAGAGGTACATGTCATCAAGGTGATACGAAGCACAGCACGAACTGAATGACAATGACAAGCAGAGACGGACCGATTCGGAAAGAAAGCGACGAGCGAGGACAATCGTGAACCGAAGGACAATGACACGAAAAGCTAAGGAGAGAGGGGACAGAATACGATGAGAGGGCTTGAAGGACGGCGAGGCCGTTGAAGGAGGATCCACAGCGATCGTGACAAAGACGATGCAGAAAGAACAGGAGAGAAACAAGATGGGTAGTGACTGGTGATCATCGCGGTGATGGGCGTGGTTAAGGTATATATCCACGTAGGCGATGCCGTCAACTGTTCCTTGAAGCGAACTGAAGCGAACATCCCAGGAGTGTCATGGGTCTTTGAACCCTGTGAATGCCGTGGGGTGTTCGGACTTTTTTTTCGAGGAAAGTCTGGCAACCGAGCCAGCTCGAAGTCATAACAGAGTGCTACAAACTCGTTTTGTTAGGTTTGAATTCGTGCAGGCACCTGTATGCTGAACGTAATAATTTATCAGCAACGCCGCTTACGCGCCAAGTTCCCGAATTCTCACCTGGCACAATCGTTCAATTCGTTGCGTCGTCATGAGCTTCAGTTTTCGACTTTCGAGCTGCACGCTGTACACTGTTTATGGTACAATAATCAAGACATCAGCCACTACTACGTTTCCCCGTGTCTTTACCTCCAGAGGACTGATAATTGTTTGATTGATACGCCTGTTCTGTGGTCAGCTGAGATCTTGTATGCGTATCATCATGCTCATGTTTGTAAGCTGGTGGTACATCCGAAAATTGATGGCGCATCGTTAATGTTGGCGTAATACTACGGAACAAGTGACATGACAGAATTTTCAACTCGTCAGAAGAAAAACATGATCGTTGGGATAATTTAGAGATCACAAGATAAATGGTAGCATGAATAACCATCGTGCATTCGGGAGAAGCAACGCTGAAAACAGTATGGAAAAGTCATTCGGGATTTACCAGTGTTTGTGCGAGATTATTGAGATGGCATATGGCCTTGCAAGTGGTGTTGTTGGCAAAACTTGGTAGAACTCCAGGATATCCGAGACTCGCGGGGATGTAATTTAGATCTTTGATAACATAGTTTGAATTCAAGAGAAAGTCAGTATGAGGGGTACCGCTGGACAAAATTAAACAAATAGTTGCACGGTGAAATTCAAAAATTTCGAGTGAAAACCAATCGTTTCTAGCTAAATTTTTTCACTTCACAATTGCAATGTACAGGTGGCAGGTGATGCAGCCTGTGGCCGGACTATCCCGATACCATGCGTCCAGCTGAGCAGTTGTGTTGCTCACTTCCTTCATTGAAGTTCATTCGTTTTTCACTCCGCCACAACGTCGAGTTCGTAGTTCATTGCCCTCATCAATACTTCATTGGTCGAGTATCTTATCGTTTGCCGCATCAATTTATATTTTGCCGCTCCAAAGCTACTCGAAGAGTCATATGGGATGATCGAATTCATAAGCAGGCGTCGCTCCACCTGCTTGCGTCCCACCCCGAGCTAACGCTTGGTCCAGCCCACCTAATTTAGATCGTGTCAGCGACTCTCGAGCCAGACGATGCTGGAAACTCTACCCAGTACCGACCACCACTTCTGCCTCGGCCGGAGGCGGTGCTGATGTAGTGCTTTAGGCGAATGCCTGTACTTCCATCCATCTCTCTTGCTTGCTGAACCAACATACATGCTTATTTTATCCGATGAGCTTGGACAAAGTGCTGCAGACGAACGATTCGAGTTTCTTTCGCACAATAGGGATGTACCCAGTAATGTGAACTTCATGTTTGAGCCAACATTAATGTCATTTTCTGCTCCATACAATGTCACAAAGCTCCCAACCCTTTCATGTGGAACGCCCCATGCACGTCGAGTGGCACTCGTTCAGGAAAAATCACATAGGCTTGTTGACTCACCAACGATATTGGTATCTGAAAGACAACCAAAACCGGCTCGAAGGCTCCAACGAGCTTCTCTGAGACGTATAGTCCATATTATCCTTAGTTGAGAACCCCTGAGCGCCGACCATGTCTTCCACAGCTGCTAAGACCAAAAGGCGTCAATAATAAAGACCCGAAAGATGATGCGAGGCCACACCAAGCTGGTCCGAAGCGTTGCGCACCTGCCCGGTGGGCAGCGCATCATCACATGTTTGAGAGACAGCTCACTTCGAACGTAAGACCTAGGGAGATGTACACATGTAGGCGAAGGTTGGCAAAGTGAGGGGGGTGTAATAGCAGTATAGAACATGACATTGTCTCCAAGCAGCAGAGCTGTTGCCAGCCGCTATCTTGATGGCACAGTGAGGTGGAAAGAGCCCAGCGAAGACGTCAACTCGATATGTTGGAGTCCAGATGACGTGCAGGTTGTGATCGGATCCACGAACGGGACAGCAGCAACAAAGATTGCAACAGGAGGATACAATCTCGAGGGAATTAAAACCTGGGATGCGCTGATAATGATCGCACAAAATTTCCCTTCCTGATTCGACCGCTCGAAAAGTTGGAATCTAATGGACCTCGCACGATTTAGGGAGGCGAACGAACGGTCCCTTGATGCGCAGAGGGGACCGGCTGTAATTGCTGACTAATAGTACGACGCGGCAAATAAGTAGTACAGCCTCTGAACACTAAGAAACTGAAGGCATGAACGCTAGACGCTAAATACAAAGACGGTGGGTGTGGTGTGTGATCAAAAAATCAGCTAGCGAGGCGACGGGAAAGGTAAGAGAGAGCTTTGCCAGACAAACTAATAAACGAGCTCACCAAGCGAGGCGACGGGAAAGAGGGCAAACTCAATGTAACACGGAGTCGCCCGCTAAGTAAGCCTAGCTCCACCATAGGAGGACCGAGCCTGAAAAAAGGATCAAGCAAATTCTGAAGAACACGTGAAAGGCGCATTGACCACGGCAAGCAGGTATCAACGCCGCACACGCCCACTTTGAGCGGAGGAAACATTTGAGTCAGACTCAAACCAGAGGTACGTCGTCCGCAACTACGTTAGTTTTTCACGCGACCCATTAGCTTAGTATAAATAAAATTAAACCCAATTCACCGTGCAAATATTTGTTTAATTTTGTCCGGCGGTGCCCCTCATAAGTAGGAGTTGATCAAATTTTATTATTTCGGTTTTTGGTTGCTCAACAACCAATCATTGGTGATATGACTGAGCCATGAAGATATGAGTGCCTTCACAGATACGGATATACAGTCGCAGACAACTATGAAGCTTTGGTCGCTCGGATACAAATACAAGTTGATCCAACGGATCTTTTCGTCCTTCCTTACCCTTTAGATGAACCTGCTTCTCCGTTAACTCAAGCTTTCTTGGTCTCCGGTTGTCCTTAAGCTTCAGGTTCTTCATCGGGATTGGCGCGTTTGTCGTGCGATCGAACGGATGGTGGAACGGGCACGGCCTGCATCTCAGTCAGCATCAAGCAGATATACCGTGAAGTCCAAGCGGTTAAACGCCTATCACCGTGAGGACCGGGATACGCACGGAGTCGACCGAAGTGCAATCACTGTCGCGCTCGTAAGGGGACTTACTCCTGGCGGATCGTGATGGTCCGGAACGCATTATGCTCAATTTGCCTTTGGACAAGTATATGCCCAAAAAACTCCATGACGCCCATTATGGCACGAATCCCCAGCTTCGTTATCTTAGGACTGAGCGAGGAAGAAGCTGACAGGACTCGGGGATAAAGGACTTCTATGGCTAACTGAGGGGGTAATGGAATTCTGATTGACCGACGGCGGGTTATTGCGCCGCTTCCTTTGTTATATGCATCGAGGCAAATAAATGCACGACGGGCAGCAATAGTCCTGTGCGCTGTTATAAAAAACGACCATAAGAACACAACAAAGCATGTACGAGGCTGTAGCAGCGGGCGCCTCAAATAGAGAGTTCGCACAGAACAATGAAGCCGCCATGCAACTTACCATCGCGATGCCACGCCCACCATTTATTTCAGCCTGGTAAAACGGAACGTAATCGTGGAAGTCACTCACAGATTCATCTCGCCTAAGAGTCCCGATGCAAATCGGTGATCATAAAGGCATTGCAGCATGACTGGCTCACCGTTGAGGTTGAGAGCAGCTAAGACCCGTGTGGATGTCAGCTTGAGTGGGAGCATATTTGAGAAGAGGGCTCAACGCTGGAGCGGTGTTGCGGGTCAATGTGATAGGGAAGTAAACCAGGCCATCGTAACGGAGAAGGCACGAAAGATCCTCATGACTGAAACGTTTTCTCAGAACGAATGGCCTCGTCAAAAAATCACGAAGTCAAATGGCATCGTTGGTAGACGTTGCCAATGAGCTGCGAAATGTAGCGGAGAACTTGGTCACTTGCTTTAGGCATAGCTATGTGATTTGTCCTGACAACCGCGCAGGCCCTGTACAGTGCCAGCATCGACAGAGCTGAGAACGTTGTCCATTCCCAAAGCGCCATGCTTCGAAAGTGAGATCAGTGGCTTACAATAAATGATATAAAGCGAGACGGTACCTATGTTCTTATCATCAGCGAAGTAGAGGCATGCTGTCACGGTACAGAAAGAAGAAAGCTTTAGACCGCAGTCGTCGGAAAATTGCCGATGGCTAATACACATGCTCTATGACCGTTAAGGTCAGCCACGATCGATCATAGATGAGAGAGAGAAGCAACAAAGGCCAAGCCAGCTTGCGCCTACCCAAGAATATGAATAACTCGAATCTGCCAGTCGAGCAGATTTCCAATATGTAGATTCCAAACAGCACATGGACTACATTGGTTGGTGAAAGGGACCACATGGGAAAGATGATCAGAGTAGGAAATTCAGCATAATGCTCACTGCCTTCTGCCTCTATTTCCTTCGGGGTTTTCCAGCCAACCATTACAGATATGTGTAAGACATTCAGGAATTACTCTTGTCAGAATCCACGCCAACTTTTTCAATGGTTCTTCCTTTATATGAGTTACTCCTCAAAAACTGGACAATTCCTTTGACAAACACACTCCCTGAGCTGTCAAATCTCATTAATGTGACAGCTAACGAGATACGTGGCTATGTGGCTCAGGCAAGAAAGACAAGGCGTATGCCCTGTCGTTGAGTGAGCCAATATACCATGTTTCCACCTTTAATTGTTATTAATGACATGCTCCCGAAATTGAGTGGTGGATGCTTTCCGGTCTAGTGCGCACTAAATCGTGTGGCATTTGTGACGATAATGAAGGAATTCGAGAAGGAATCCTGCGGTGTACCGATTCAATGTCTTGCGGGGAGCGTGGGGTCGCAGACTTTCCGATGCGATGAAGGGCCAAGGTTCTTGTTGAGAGGGATAGAAAGCTGTGGCCGAGCTGATGAAGACTGTGGTAACGAGGGGATTTCTCCCAAATGCAGGGCCATCTTGCATGAGTGAGTCAGCAGCGTTCTTGGAGCTAGGCGAAGAAAACTGAGGGGGATGGTCTGGTGTTGAAGGAGGCTGGGTAGGAGTGCTCTAGCGCTGTTGCTGCCTCCGCTTTCTGCTGTTTTCTCCCCTGATTTGTCGACCTCTTCGTTGCTGTGCACTCACCTGCAGCCTGGTAACAATGAGATGGTGACGTTGAGGTTTGGGTGTTCGTTTGCGAGGTCTGTCATCATGTATCCAAACTTATTGGCTAAACAGATTCTTTAGTGTATATACAAGCTCTCACAGGATTCGATATCTGCCTGATTGTCTATTGAAATGGAAAGCGGGAAGATGCAGCCTTGTTCCGTGGCAATAAAATGGGCTGTGAGAGACAGACCGATTTACTCTGCATGATATGCTCTGTGAAGTTCTTTCTCCGTTCTAAGGGGATGCCTTAGCATTGACACCTAAAGCAAGGACTTGTGGCCCCTTTCCGTTGGTTATCGCAGAGCCAAAGCTACTTCCTGTTTACTAAAGATAAAAAAGGTCAGCTACATGCCTCGCACATGAGCGTCAGCATGGACTGGTAGTACCGCTTGATGAGTCGTTCTTGAATTGACAAGGCATGATGAGCAGCGAGGTTGCGAGTGCGAATTGATTGTCGCTCAACATCAACATGCTTGGATTGATGTGCCAGTCCTCGCTACCCAAAATGCAGGCTTGAGCACGATGGTCAGATTCATTCACCAAAGTAAAATGAGAGTTAATGTATTCAACAGACTAAGCGGACGCAAGAACGTTCAGTTCACACTCTTGAAAGGATTCAGACACACGGCTTGAAGACGGTTCAGAGGTAAACATAGGTCAAAACTGCTGCGCTACTCGTAGAGGTGGCTTCGTGGACTGACGCAGTACTATGATGCGGTTGTAAATTGGTGGTCAATGGTTTATTTTATTTATTTCCTAATGCATTCAAATCACGCGCGTACTGTCAACCTTTTTGCACACAGCTGTAAGTTGTCAACTGCTCTGGGAGTAGCAGGTCCAGATATTGTGTAGTCCCGCTCGTCAACCGCCAGGTCTTCTGTAAAATCGAGGCGGTCTTGCTTGTAAATAAACCTCAGGACTTGGAGTGCTTCAATTGTGGTCCGAGATATGTTGCTGCGCCATAGAGTGAAGGTCTCTTTGCTGGATGAAAATATGCGCTCGGAAGGCACAGATGAAGCTTGAGCAGGCAGGACATCCATAGCGACGCGGAATAGAAGCAGAAATGTATGTTCTTTTTGCTAATATGATACCGGTACCCGTTAATCTTATGAATTGCAGACAGAGATATACCACACATACCTCCCAGAAACGAACGATATCTGCTGTACGTTCAGCTGTTTTAAGTAGTATACCTGCATCTTCGTAACGAGAAAGCTCGCATTCAGCATCCTTCCTGTCGAGTTCGAGCTCCTTGCGGAAGCGTTCCTCCATGTTTTCAGTGTCGGTGAGCGTACCGCTGGTTCAGAGACAATGATGGTAGGAGTTGGAGGGATAGCGCTATTAGTAGCAGAAAAGATGAGCGCCGCACATTTACTTGGAGGTTGTTCATGCGGCCAAATCTAGCCGATAAGGATCGCGAGGCGATTGCCGTCAAGTTGGTGAGCACCTGCTGTGATACTGAGGGTGTGGATAGTTCCAGCTAGGTCTTAGTCTTGCCGATTCTAATGGACATACGAAACGAAGTCATCTGCAACCAAAAATCATGACATCCATAACATGCACAAAAAACGACGAACCACTTGTAGCATCCATTCTCAAGCATTGTCAACACCCTCAACCTCCCTGTGCTCCTGTGCAAGTCGGGAGGAGGTGCAGTCGAACCCACCATTAGACGGGCTGGGGAGAAATAGAATGGGTGAAGAAACCTAAACGTTAGCCACTCCTGTAACCACTCAAGCTTGATGCCTGGGTTAACAAATATGGTTCGACCTATGAAAAGTCACTTGATAGGTGAAAAAAAAATTGAAACGCACCCATCGAAGGTGCGTATATGCGCGTTTTCCTTCCTTCATTGATGTACTGCTTCGGGTCTCAATTCAATGAATAGCCGAGCGAAAATCTAGACTTCGATGTTGGATTAATACTGCCTGCTGCGGCCTGCCCACCTGGTCCTCGCCTGCTGCCCCTTGGTCCTCGCCAGAAGCCCACCTGATATCAACCTCGCGGCGTATGCCGACTAGTATAAGGTGCCGGAAGATATTTTGCTGATGACGTCGATTGTATTGCCGAGTCGCCACAGGATTGGAGACAGTGGATTCGCGTTTTCTCTCAGCGAGCTTCGCATTACATGTACCCAAATCAGTGCCAGCTTGAACAAGGTTTTTGAAGACTTACAGAAGGGGTGACAGCTATGTCGAGTCCACTGCAGCTCATTGTACCGATATTCGTATTATAGGGCCTGAGGCCATTCACAGGGGATTACGATGTATGGGTATGAAGTACATCAAATCGATTGTAAATCTCGAACCCAACGAGTTGAAACAATTTTGGTTGTTTTCGAACCGAATCGATTTCGCATCGAGTTTAACTCGCCTCGACGGCAACACTATCCAGACGGTTGTGGGCGAGACACACGTAACATATTTGTACCAAAAACACGACCAAACATATCGTTGGTTGTACGGAACATTATGCCAAGGACTGTAAATTAATCTCTCGGTGCAATCGCTTCATCTTGCAGCAGGTATGGCAAATGACAGTCTTGGATCACCCGGGGTCTTGGATCAGGACGTACGGCATTGTCTCTATTTCATCATTCAAATAGACACTCATCACCATACTGCAGGTCCGTGCCAGCATCCAGCCGTCTGTAAATATAACAACCGTCCAACTGTGCACCGAGGGGGACATAATACCGCTCATCCATAGGGCTTTGAATGATGAAGATGCACAGGTTGCCGACCCGTCAAGAGGGTGGGAGGGAGGGAAAGTAATTGCCGTTCCCATCGGTGGAGGGTCTGCAGGTGTGCCAGACGAGCAAGACATGCTGGATGGGCACAGTCAAGAGCACTTGAGTGGTGCGACACATCATGGATCAGGGGAACGCGCAGAACAACACCGGCAGCCACAAACAGAAAGGGAAACGAGAGCGTCGTCGCCGTAAGAAGCTCGCTAAGGACGCGAGTATGTGTCAGACAAAGGCCAAGCTTGCCATCAAACATCTTCCAACGTCGATTGCTACTACTCTCTCAGTAGACCAGTTACATATCGCCCAGGGAGCTTATGTTGGGAAGCGTGTTCAAGCTAACAATAAAGGCGCTCAGGAGCTTGACAGCCTGCTCCAGAAGGGATTTAAACTCGTGAAATGGGATGGATGGTAGGTTATTTTTGCGTATTCAAACCAGAGACCTTATGTAGGGATATGTCAGCACACCTCATGTTTTGTTGGACAACGGCAAACGCATCATCGGCGTATTGGCAGGACGGCCTAAAGATGATTCTTGGAAAGATACTGCAGAGGCAGCCTGCGACGCAATGGAGGAGGCAAGAGGACGGTGCGTCTTCAGAGATGTTGACAAGGAACACCGGAGAGGACGCTATCCATGCCTTGCAGTGGGAGTTTCATATGGTGGCGGACAACAGGTAATGCCAAACATCCATTGAGCTTTCAATGACTGTGAGCTGAACAAGAGTAGATTCCAGGAAACCTTTTACATTCCAAGAGCAACCGAACGGCCGTCCAATCCCTCCTCGGAAACAAGGCCATCCAAAGACTTGCCGGATTTGGAAGCAGTACGCACTTCATTTCGAGATCAGTCCATGCGATGACTGAATTCCAAAGGTATATTGCACCACTACTCGCCAAAAGTACACCAGCTGTATGTCAACGCCAGAACTTCTCTTTTGGAAAAGCATCCCAGTTTGAAATGGAACTTTCGAAACAGTGCGTTCGCCGCAGCAACGTTCAACTTCGGCCCTGCCACAGTGACCTATGGCCACACGGACAATGGAAATTTCGCCAGTGGTATGTGCAGCATCACTGCTCTAGGAAACTATGACCCAACCCAGGGTGGACATTTGGTTCTTTTTGACCTAGGGCTGGTCATTGAGTTTCCCCCTGGTTCAACCATCCTCATACCTTCAGCAATTCTACGACATGGCAATGTGTCGATCTCATCCAGGGAAAAACGCCTTTCCTTCACTCAATATTTTGCGGGAGGATTGATAAGGTGGGTTAGATATGGCTTCCGGACTGCAGATGATTTGAGGAAAGAAAGTCCTGAAGACTGGCAGGCAGCAAAAGCCGAACGTGAAATTCGGGTTCAGGAGGCAGCATTATATTTCTCCACTTTGTAGACTAGAGTAGAGTCTCAGCGAGATGTGGAACAACGCTGATATTAGTGAGCACCTAGAGTAGAGTCTAGGTACGAGTCAGTGAATGTAACTACTATGAACTGTACTAACATACCTCAGCGAGATGTAGAACAACGCTGAGGTAGGTACGAGGACGAGACGCACGCCATGTATCGTACATTATGTAACGATCAGTGGCTTGATGCGAGACGAGTAGGTACTGTATAGTACAAGATGCCAATTAGGTGAGGAAGGTGCAAGATATGGATATAGTAGCCAACACACTTCTGGAGACTTGTATAAGGGTGTCAACACAAATACAGAGTAGAACGCGTTAGTAGTTGAGAAATACAAAACTACCCTCGCCTTTGGTAGCCACGGACCGCTCATCTAGGTGCTGTCATAGGTGAGAAGCTCTCCTTTTCGCAGAAGAGAGCTTTTGAAACGTTCACGTCAGCAATGTGCGATGAAGGGAAAACTAGAATTCTTGACGAAGTGGAATTCGGACAGTATATGGCGGTCCAAACGCAACAAGTGCACGCACACAGAAAAAATCGCCCACACACTCAACCACTGTTTCGAGATGCTCCTTTATCATACCCTAATTGCCAATTGGCAACACCTGTAATGGTCGGTGTTAGAGCTATTACAGCTGTTCTCATTGGTCGACATCTTGTGCGCAATGGTATTATGGGAACGCGGGCAGCAGACTTGTGGGTAAAGGGTGCTTTTAAAGCGAAAATGGATCGCAAGGAGGATATTGCAATCCTTGGGCTATGGTTTGCACTGTTAGCACATTCTATCATCTAGCATCTCATGACATTACGTTTTGGAATGGATGACATGTGCGTGGCTCAACATGTGCTCAATTACGTTGTACACGTGTAGTATTAGTGGCCAGGTGAAGCGACCCCATCTTGTCAATTACTAGCCATACACACCACCTTTTCACTCGAAATATACAGTCTCCCTTCATAAGAAAGGAAGCTGTCTTGCCGCTGGATCGACTGGGCCGCAAAATGCTCCCTGTATTAAGTGAGGGGAGAGCTGCACAGGAATCAAACTCAAGCAATCGCCATATCAAGTTGGGTTTTATAAGTATCTTCGTAGGAAGGCACGGGAATTGGACTCGAATGGAGGCGAGAGAAAACGGAGGAGGGCACAAGTGGAGTATGACCGAAAGCTGATTGAAAAGAACCACGAGATTGACAAGCGGAGGAAGGAACAGAGGGACGCCGCCACTGCAAAGCTCGATGCCGTTGTGCCTTGTCTTGTGGATGCAGACTTGGCCAAGATGCGTGTTGCTGACATTGTTCTACAGCTTCGTTGGCATCGTGAGGTTGACTTACATGTACCACGAAACAAAGACATGCCAAAGCGGAAGGAGGACAAATTGAAGGTCCTGAGGGAAGCTATCGCACGTTACACGAGTGGGGAGGTTACACACCGAGAAACCACACAGGAGGTTCCTTTGGAGACAGGCGAGAGTGAAGATGAGGACGAGCCTTGAATTTTTTGAGTAGAATAAGCTTACTAATTACTTTGACTTGCTATAATATTCTACAGCTGTTTTGGTGTTGTACGGGCGTCGTAGTTCAATATAAGTTATAACGTTCGAACGGTCGTGTCGTTTGACCGCATTTCTTGCTTACATAATGCCACACTTTCTTTGGCTGAGTTTCCGCTCCCCATTATTAGATGAGGGAAATTACGACACGTGGCACACGTGTGAGTACATATATAATCCTAGGCAAATTAGAGCCCCAGATCACGTCCAAATCCCATCTGCCGTACTTCATCTTCAATTTTAACACTCCTAAAGGTACTTGCAGCGATGCCTAGGGTACAGAAAAACAACGATATTTCTACTATCCCGGAGGAGTTATGTTGTCGGATCATTGGCCTATTAAGCCCACGTGATATTGTTGCATGTTCATTGGTGTGTTGCGCTGAGTGTTGTAGATCAGTGTACTGAAGATTTATCATGTAAAGACATGTAGGGCGATATATAATGCAGTGGAATGCTCCGCCGAGCTGCAATATGCTATTGAACTAGGAAGGCAAAGACTAATCGAGGTGCATCCACGGTCATTGGCATCGACATGGGCGATGTGCCTTCTCAAGCTCAGGGAGAAATCAGCTGCATGGGGTACTCTCAGCCCGCAGACGACGAAATACTTTTCTGTCATGTCGCATTTCGACCACGCATCCTTTTACCACGATACGCTGTACCTTACCAGATGGATCCGGCGCTTTGAATCACCATCCACAGTGATATCTCAAGCCATCGATCTCCACGGCGCCATGATACCCATAACAAACACACATCCTGTTGATCCAACATTTCACCTCGCATGTGTCGACGCATCGCAAGACTTGAGGGTCTATGTGTCTTATCACAACGGTCAAACTCACAGTTTCTTTTACCTGTTATTCGAATCCATGTCCACGGACACGGTGCACCCCTTGGTACATAACTCTAGTATAATCTCAAGCCGGAACGAGTTCCCATGCGAGTTCCAGAGGGATTTTATGAGCGTCGCAGTCTTCTGTGATCGTGTTGCCTCCTCAATATCACTTTACAAATCCCACCCCTTCGACCCCATAACCGGCAGACCGCCAGTGTTTGTGCGATCGTTCGTGGAAATCCTTAATTGGCAGGAAAATCACGGTGATGTGAGCATACCAAGTCACATATAGTTAGTTATTCAACATGCTGACGTGAGTGCTTGTCATCAGGCATGCACTGTAGATGGAGATTATCCACTGACAGGTGTACAATTCCTCAACGCAGAGAGGCTGTTGGTCATGGCAGGGCTTGGTTATATCGAAGTCTACGACATCAAGGACCTGTGTCAAGTCCCAAAACGGCTGGCGATATTTGAACTCCCTTGCGGGGGGCTATCCATTGTATCCTCAACTGCGTCATACCTCTCACCAAGTTATGTGCGCCATGTATCAGCAGATAATCAATGGATCTGGAAAACAAACACGATGGATCGTTTGATATGTGTGAAGACCAGGTTCACTCCGCGCTTCATTGTCATATCCCCAAGGGCGTTCGATGCATATATGACACCCCTGTGGATGGATTCTGATCCAGTTGCCTGGGAAATGTGGGGTCCGACAAACTGTCGTTGCTTCCTTCTTGACAAGCGTCACGACATTTTTGCTGTTGGGGGAACGAGGTTTGCATGGTCTGCGCCAATCTCAAACACACAAGATACATCAATACAGCTACATGTCGCCGACTTCAATCCATCCACTGTTGTGCGTGGCATCGGGCGGGTTATACATGATCCTGTAACAACCAGTGTATTCACTGACGATGCTGTAACTACCTCTCTTCCATATGTGGAGGTTGTAAGCAGTCAAGTCTATCCAACCGGCTGCATATCTCGTATCATGCTAGATGAGGAGCGACTGCTGCTGTTCACTTCCAGTGTGAGTATTTGTCAATCCGCATGTGTTATAAGACAATGCATTGAGTGTTACACACAGAAAACTGATACGTTGGACCTTCAGGTGATGGAAATGTAGCCCCTCTGCAGTGGGTCTCGGAGATGCACGTTTATGACGGTCTAATCCTGTTGTGTAGTACTGCATGTATGTTTTCATTGGTGATGAACCAGTCAGACGTACTCGAGGTACATTGTCCATCCACTTTCAATGAATTGTAGTGACATTTTGCAACACGTCAGTGGTGAAAGGGGGACCGGGAACCGCCCATACAGGCTATGCTTCAACGTTCAAGAATAAAGCACACATGAGTACTTTTGTGTGTCCACCCATTCAAACGCCCTTCAGCTTCAATTTGCATCCAACCTGTATTTGCGTATAAGCAATTGAAGGCAGGAGATAGGTCAATTCAATTCAAGAAAACGCGTGTAACCGTGTCATAGTGACCAAATTCGGCACAGCCACGCCTGCTTTGTTCTTATCATCTCATGGTGGTTGTCAGTATTGGAGCTATCACAGCTACTCTCCCCGGTCCACATCTTGTGCGCAGCGGTATTGTTGGAAAGCGGGCAGCAGGCCAGTGGGTAACAGGTGGTTTCAAAGCAAAAATGGATCGCAAGGAGGCTATTGAAATGCTCTGGCTAAAGTCTGCACATTGGACACGCTCTATCACCTAGTATCTGACGGCGATACCTTTTGCAGAGACGGCATGACACCACGCAACGCGTTAGACACAATCGTCATGCCGCGCGACGCGCGGGGCGGTGGTAAAGGGACAGTCCCGAGTAAGAGAGGAGATGCGGGAAGGCCTGAGGAACGAGTCTGCTAAGCCTTGAGCACGCTTGTCCAATCACCCTGGTATAAATAAAGTTAAACTTGAATGGACTCCAGAGCCGATTCGACAATTCAAGACTCCGCCTGATTCTGACGCTCGAAAATCGACATCAGAATCGATGTCCGAATCGGCACGTGAATCGACGTGTTTGACATCCTCTATTCCTACCTTTACATGATACTTCACGTACAAATTGATTTGTAGGTTGTGTTTCATACATCCGTGATCTCGCACTGGCTTCAGTATTCCCGCACCACATCCACCATATTTTTTTCGCTCAACCCCCACATCCGAGTCACTTCACAATCAACCAATGTATCAATACCCACATCCACATGCTACATTCCATCAGCAAATTTTACACAGCGTTAATGATTTGCATCTACTAGCTCTATATAATTCTCCGTACTCACAGTTTTCCTAGCAGCGTCCTAACCAATCGTGCCGAAGTTCATCTGCCGGGCGGACTGTAAATTCGGCCAGTGTGTCTATCCGTTACTATTGGTGACATGAGTGTAACTCACGAAGTATTTGTTGAATCTGTAATGTATGAACGAGCGCCAGTTCGCATTCACTTGCACGCAAGCGTGTTGTGTGAGATCGCTGCAAATCTGAGGGAGACATGCCGTCGTGTTTGCACATATCTTGGTGGTGTAACATTGCCAAAAAAAATCAAGATTTTGTGAGTAGGTTGCTTCTAGCTACAATTTGCGCTAATTTTTAAAGTTCTATGCGTTGTGGTTGAGCCGTGAAACACTCGTGCAAATCAATTTGCATCATTGGGCCATCAATAGTAACAGGTTTGTGCTTTTGAATTGAAATGACTTATATGGCTAAATTACATGATCGGTCACGCTGTCACGGTAGGAAGTTCCGCGTCTTGAACTTCTCTTGTGATCACCCAGTGTTATTATTTGGCAACCAAGAAAATACAAAATGATTTAGAGTCCCATTCAATATGACACCTCTGATCACTCCTGAAATGCGCGAGAACATCGTAACATCGACTCACAAGAAGCAGGCGAATCAAGCCAGCGAAAGGAATGATTAAGGACAACATGGCAAGTACGTAGGTAGATATATTACTTTGTCGAGTGTAGACGACAAATGCTAATCATCGAGTTGCACCAACTCGTTCTGTGCAAGGCCTACTAGTATCGACGGAGGGAATGCCTTGAAGATATGAGTGTCAGAGTGATTGATCCTGCATGAGGCAAAGGAGAACGTGACGGCTTGAATACCCTCGATTCATTGATGTGACCGAAAGTTACGTATGGTTTGTTCTCTCGAATTATCGTACAAACACCGAGCTCGCAAAGAGACTCTTGTGCACCTCTAAAGTCATTTACAACATACCGCATGGCTCTCACAAGATGTGACGAGGCACATGACAAGCGTGAGAATATGAATGTGTTGACACATATAAACATCAGATATGATGGCCTCTCCCTTATCTCCACTATTATGTATCGACAACCAGGACCGGACCCGAACAGCAGATTTGACGCCCCCACGCTTGATTGGCCCCTAGAGCCGGTATCCCGAACCAATCGCAACTTCCTACCGACACCACCCAGAAGCAACCGCACGTCGCTCGAGGAGTCCCAGGGTCCACCAGAACCTTCGCGCGCTATCCAAACTCTTGCACCAGTCGTATCACCCACGAAAGTGGACATACCGCCTGGTCATTTGACTCCTCCAACGTCCCCATCCAGTCCAGGGCAAGAAACCCCCGACTCTATTTTGAAGTCTCTTAAGAACGTTGCAAACAGAGTAGTATCCAGCGTTGTATTGGAAAATGTGTCAGCCCCTATGTATGAAGCAGTTGTCGCAGAAGCCACAAAAAATGGGGATTGGCAAGATGTAAGGTAGGTTCCACAATGTGATCGGTTTGAACTCAGTGTTGAGGAAGATGCAGAGTTGATTACAACGGGAGTTTGCTCATTGTACACTGCCCAAGCCTCGGCCACGAATTTCCTGGGGATCTCTTTGATTTGATGGGTCGTACAGGGAGGTCCTACCCAAGGAAATATCATAGCAGCCGCATTACCCAGGGCGGGTCAACCACCATTGATCTGGTGGTCGGATCAAAGTCACCGGACTTTAGCCTTTATGAAGTGAAAGAAGGAAGTGGGCTGGATCAGAAAGGTGGGAATGTAATGCCTACAGTTGCCTTGGAGGTAGGATATTACGGGGAAAAGGAAAGGAAATTGACCCTGGATGCTGGCCGACTTATATGCCTGTCCAAAGGCATGATACAGTTGGTGGCAACTATCGACATAGATCACGAGGTGGAAAAGAAAAACAATGGAAAACGCAAACTGAAATCCGTCATCTGGACCCATTGGGAGATGGATCCAGAGTATCCGAAGTTGGTTGAAGAGCATGAAAGGTATGAGCTGAATGAGCTCATTCCTGAAACAGACGGCGAGCTTCTGAAGAACAAAGAGACCGTCCAGCCAATCCCTGACGCCTATCGAGCGGTAGTGACATTTGCTGGAACTTCCCATTGGGTTAGAGCCTACAAGTCCAACGTTTATAAGGTACGTAACCTTGTTCTTTTCAGACTTCAATTGCTTGAACTTGGGAATCTTTAGCTCTTTCCACCCACAGGGATCAACTCTATCCCAATTCTTTATCGTCATTTGTTCCGTGACCCACAAGAGGGTGACCAGGAAAACCCTGCATTTACCATTCAGACAGCGGATATCATGGCTACCATTCACAGCTTTGAGGAAGTTCAGAGGGAGATCGATGGCACAAAGAAGAGGAAGCCAGAGGATGTAGACTTGATTGACAACGAGTTGCTTGCAAGATTCAAAAGGCGACGTGCCAACTAGTACTGGTTAGAAACATGATGTAACATAATCATGCTCAAGTGGTGCCACTCTAGCAGCAGTCTGTTTCCGCGCAGGCAAGGCCTGGGGCAGAACCCTACCATACCACTTAGGAACCGAGAAAGAGCATACTGTGTTTGAAGTGAAAGAACTGGGTCTAACTCCCGCTGCAAAGCTGATAGCCACCGAACGCAATCTCTCATTTCCCCTGTCCATCTCGGTCAAAAATCAGGCCTCGATCTAAGCCGGTGAGCTTCCATTCACGTCCCGGTTCTTATCTGGCAGATCATTGTCGCAGGATGATGCAAAGCATCACAGAGGACTTCAACGCAACAGTGCGGTGGGTTCTGGGGCACTCTGATGTCCATAGCACTGCTCAACAAGTTGTGCACTTTGAGTTGGACATGCTGAACCGCATGCAGTACGATTGCAGCATTGAGCACGTACTGCTCAAATCGTACACATGCTGTTCAACGTTTGTTTGCACAAGTTAGATTTCCATCGATCTAGTTCTACCGACTACTCCAAACTTACAAACCTGTCAATCTCCGTGCGAGGGCATCCGACCGATTTTCACTGGAGGTCAGTGCTGAGATCGATCAGCATTCAGCGTTGGTTATCGAGAAGGTCCTGCCCTGCACAAACGAGAATAGTCGTTTGTTGGTACTTGTATTTGGTTGTTTGGTCACTGTTGATTTTCTTCGATTGTCTCTTGCTCTTTTTCTCTTTACTCTCTTGTTCCATTCATCCCAACTGCCTAGCGCGCGCCTTTCGGTGCATCTTGTTTATTCAACAGCCGCGCTAGGTGGGGCGGCACTCCCTCTGTCCTTACAGTTACAGGCAGAGTATTCCTGGGCTGTAATGCCTGGGAGGGGTCGCTGCTGGGATTGGATTTACCTCTTGCGCCCTTTTGGCACAAACGGGGTGACCTTGTTTATGTCTTACTTACAGGGTGCCCTCTCACATACCATGTGAGGGTATTCTGTTCGTTTGTTTTCTGTGGCACCCTTTGTGTACAGTTTGATGTGTCTTTTCCGCCCTGCCACCTTATTTCTCACCTTGTAGGGCGGAACTTCCGCTCCTTGCTCTGGCGCATCTCTTTGTAGACAGGTTGTGCCGACTCTTTCTGTCTTGTAGCCTTACCTACTGCGTCCGCCTAGCATACGCCTCCCCTTAGTGGGAGGCACACCTGTGGCAACCTATTTTACTCGTTGCTCCTTTTATCCCAGCCGCCTGGCATAGTCCTCACTGTCTTGTGAGGCAAATCTGGAGCATGCTGCAGTCGTGCTGGGCGTTGCTGCACGACGTTATTCCCTGTACAGGGCATAGGATGGGGACTGATAAGCTGGATTGCGACCACATCAATAAATGCCTTGAGTTCTCTTGGCGTTGTTCTTGAACTGCATCATGCGAATGTTCACTGAAATATCTATTATAACCTACTATCCCCTATGCTCTGTTCGTGACGGTACGCTATTTCGTGAGTCACACTCATGTCACGAATAGTAATGGACAGTCACACTGGCCGAATTTACAGTCCGCTCGGCAGACGGTTAGATTCATGATTCGTGATTTATGAGCTACTTGGATGTGGGTGTTGAGTGAAAGAATATGGTGGATGTGGAATACAGAAACCAGTGTGAGAAGAGGGATGTGCAAACCGTGGCGATGGCAAGTGCCCAGGCTGGGAGTTTGCAGGAAGTTCTGTTGGCAAATTCTGTGGTTGGCTCGAGGTTGAAGCTGCCGACGCCATAGCAACGGCACTCGTTCGTTTGCGCCCATGAAGTCCCGCGAGCCTTGGCTGACTGGCACAGCCAGGATTTCCTGCAAGATGTTCCTCGATTCGTGCAGTCAGTTCAATTATTGTCCCATCTCTGAGTAGCGGAAGAGCGCCGGCGATAGTGACGAAATCGTCCTTGCGCTTGTATGATGATAACGAGCCGTCGAATACCTTCGTTTTGATGTCTTCCTCGATGCGCGAGAGCCGAACATTGTTTTCGGCTTTTTTCTGGGCTGCAACCTGTCGACGCCGTTGATGAGTAGATCCCTAAGCAGTCCCGGGAGGTTTTCCCGTAGAAAATCGTTAACCAGCTTTCCGGTGGCGCTCGAGACCGCGTCAGCTATGGATGGGTGGTCCAGTGAAGACGATGCAAGACTGTTCTGAGATTACACCGATCCCCCACGCATCCTGGTCCTTCGAATGGGCTCCTGGGGCTCAAAGGGACCGAGGCCGCAAAACGAGTGCTACTCCTTTCCCAACCAGCGATGCTTCTCCACAGAATTATTTGACAGTTCAGGAATGGACTCGCGGAGGTTCCTATAGTGGGAATGGTCTATTTCAGTCGAGTGATCTGCGCCCTCCGCCAGTAGGTCGTCTGCTAGAGAGAATGCATGTTTGGCGGAGATGAATTCCCTGGCCATGGCGATGGCACCTTGTCGGAAGTCACGGACGCCCCAAGCACATTGGAAAACCTCTCTGTTCGTCTGCTTAAAGACGGCATACCACTGATCTTTGTTGATCCTACTGCCGTTGTCCAAGACCAAGAAGCTGACACGAACCAGTGAGAACCGCCGTCATTGTGAGGCATGACGATGGGACTCACGTTTTATAATCGTGCTGTGCTGAGTCTCCATATGCCACCTGTGCCAGAATAGACTCTGCTTCTCTAAGCCCTCCAGCAAGGAATTCTACCAACCATCTTGCCACCTTGGGGTTGACAAAGGCGGGAGTGCAGGAATCTCGGTCCGTGATGTGGGTGGTCTTGCTGTAGCCGGACAAGAAGAAAACTTCCTGAGCCTCGACAAAGATATTCCGGTGCCGATCGGCGTTAGAGATATGGTGCTGTAAGAACTGGACTGATCGCGTGGATATTTGCGAGGTTACGTATAGAAGATGATACAGGGGCTTCCATACCTCCCCGCTTTGGCGTAGGATGTCTTTTACAGCTGGTATATCCCAAGAAAGCACACCGCTCCCGTCCAACATAGCGAGGTGATGTTTCTCCACCAGGTCGCGGAATAGCTTGAGTCTTAGTGGGTGGAAGCTCTCTCGTGCATCGCAAAGGAATGTCCCCTGGTTGTGTTGGTCATGTCATCGTAGATGCCGTCAGGCATGTCCTCCAACATGATGCGTCCGTGCGTCAGCTTGAGATACCTGTCTTCTACCTTTTGCAGGAGGATTTGAATCCCTTGGCGAAAGTTGGAGAGGTTCATGGTCTCCGTTCCAATGGAAAACCAGGAAAACTGGGGATCGACATAGACTTTTGGCTCGCGTTTCTGACCGAATGCCAATGCCGAGGCATATTGCTGATATTCATGGACCATGTTAAATGTTGTAAGGCGTCCCACACGCAAGACCTCGTCGTGTACCGCAATGACTCGTCTGAAATAAATAATAGAGGGATGAGCGATACACGAAGGGCACAAGGGGAGGGTGCTTACTCGAGTTCGTCCACTTCATCCCCCTTCTGATACCATAGCGCATGGACGATGCACGTACTGTTGAGGAAGTATTTCAACTTCGCGAGGTCCGGGGTGTAGTCAGTGGCTTCATAGAAGTTCCCATCTTGCCGCAGCGCCCTCAACCAAATAAAACGCTGGATAACGTTTTCCCAGGGCTCGCCCTTATGAAAACTTTCTGCATTCATCAAAGACCACAAAAACTCGTGCAACCTGGTGATGGCTGTCTCATCCAGAGAATTGTTAGAGTCGTTCATATGCGTTATAAGGGCGACCAAGGTTTGTTCCTGAGCGGGATCAAGCTGAAAACTGAACTTTGAGGGATGATCGTTCTGGAAACGAAGCCTGACAATCGCCCGAAGAAACTGGACGATCGTATCGCAGTAGGAAGTATTGTTATCAGAGATCGGAACCCAGTAAACTCTACAAAGCAGAGGGTGACGTGAATCAGAGGCCGCGCAGACGTTGTATTAGGTAGGACAGACTCACGATTTGTCCGTCACATTGCTGCCGTTCAAGAGGGCCTTGGCCAGCGTCAGCTTGTGGGGATTTCCATCCAGGATGGTAGCAGCCATGTCCATGTGCGCCTGCATCAAATCCTTCAAGGCGGACAACACACCATGGCATTCTGCAGGGCTGTGCTTCTCCTTCAGCTTTTGGATCGCCTTAACCTGAGCTGGATCAGAACGGAGATTTGGCATGAATACATCCCAGGACATGGCCTTGATGAGGGGCCTTCGCTCTTCAGGCGACAAGGACGGCTGTACTACTGGAACGTAGAGCGAGGGAACAAATGTGTCGTTGAGCACTTTTGCCAGGTCCTTGTTCTGGAGGGAATCATTGGGATCCACCATGAAGTAAGTTCTTCCCACAGAATCAAAGAGCTGCTGCGCATGAATTTCTTTGCATCGTAGAAGATCCTTACTGCTTTGAGAATGGACATTTTTAGCATGTTTTTGCATGGTGGCCTTGTCGCAAACCACACAATCGCAGTCTGGGGAACTCAAACATAAGAATGCTTTGCGGGGAGAGGCAATGAGCTGGACGGGAGGTCCTCCAGAACCGGGGATTATGACTTGCTCTTGCCGGTGATAGATCTTGTTTTCTTCTACATATGTGGCTAGTGAGGAACGCTGGGACACTGTCAGAGATTGTTTGTGTTTCTCTTTGCGGTGGCCAGCGACCATGTCAGCTGTCAGGCACTAACTGGGGTGGGATGTGCGCGCGAGTGCACAGGGTTTTCGTTGGCAGGAGTTCTCAGAGGTGCGCTGGCGGTGTACGGGTCTGACTGTGTGGCGGGGAGCGAGTTGGCTCAATTCCTTTTAGCCGTCATCTGCTATGTTGCAGAATGCGTGTTCTAGTCATCTGGCTGCCGCGATGTGCTTGAATAGATCTGAAGTATATTTCTCGTTGCTGTAGCAGACGACCAATATCGAACCCGCGATTGGCGTTTGAGGGCGTCCCGCTGCGTGCGGCAGTACCGTTTCCTTCATCTTTTCGTGCCCCGGGGGAGATCCTTAACAGTACTTGCGTCTGCGTCTCCTTGGACTTCTCGTAGTCGCCACAGTGAATACTGAGTCAGACCATCCCTCATCTATCACAACTTCCAGGCCCGAGCCGTCCAACAACACGTCCTGCTACTTCTAATCTAACCCTCATCTTGATCCTATATTTTTCCCCACACTTCCTCAAATCCCTCTTTTTTTTCCCGCGCTCCGCGCCCCTTCTCCTCTCACTCCCCACAACACCTTCTTTCTCCCTCTATCCTTATAACACCCCAACCTATCTCACTCAAATCCCCCATCACCTCATACCATCCAAAAAAATTTCACCCATCACACTATCTCTTTCTCCTCCTTCACTTCACTTATCATATCTCCTTTCCCTTACTTTCATTTACCCCCGTCCTTGTCCCTCACTGTCCCTTCCCTTCCACCTTCCAATGTCTGTTCCACCGTCCCGCATATCGCTGGTTTCAAACTCACCTCACTCAATCCCATCCCCTAACCTTGCTGCCCCCCACCCTCCGCCCTTTCTAGCGTGAGTGCCAAAATCCTATATCTCACCCAAGTCCTTCATCGCACCTTTCAGCGTGTTTCACTCCATATCCTTGCATTTATTGCTCCTTCTCCGTTCAAATCCCTTGCCATCGTCCCGATGTTCAAACCACATCCTACCACATCCATCCCCCCAGCCGCTCTTGTGAATTTCTCTATCTCTTTCAACCCTCAGCTCATCATCAAACTCTCCCGCACAGTCCTACTTTTCGTCCCCAGTATCATGCTGCCAACCTCTTCGTCTTTCATTATAAGGACTCCCCTTCCGTCGGCTCTACGACAATATCATGTCGTGTTTACAGTACCAACTCAGCAAATCCCATATCAACCTCGTCTCTGCAAATCGATGCCGTCTCTTCGCGTTCTTACTTCCCACAACCCCGTGCACAATCGACCGTGAGCGAGCGCATCAGTCCGGAGCTCGAGCTCCGTTTCCGTGGCTGTCAATCCTTGTCGTCCTTTTACATGATGTCGTTGCATATCCGCGTCGCAGACGAAGCTGTCTTCCGTTCACTGTCCACCCTTTGTATGCAATGCGGGGGATGCCGTGGCTTTCAATCGTTTTCAGATGTTGGACATTGTTCGAGGATCCGATAATCCTGCACGACATGCACACGCCCGTTTCTCACCAATCCCTTTTCTAGCCAGAGGTTACACACTCCACGATGGCTTAACATCGCAAGATACTCGAGTCTGTATTCTGGTGCGTTCAATCCAGTCTCCTCAGCTTCTTTCAGCCTGTCTGAACTATAATTCGTTTCTACATGGCTTCTTCAATGATATGTCTGATTGATGTCTCCTGCGATGCTTACAAAAATCCCCTGCCAAGTTGTCTCCTTTTTCCTCGCTCAAAATCCATCAGCATAGACGTTTCGGTGAGGGGAAAGGAATGCACGATCAACGCAGCTTTCAGCGTCTTCGACAATTGCTAGGAAGTCCACGTCAATCATGTCGTCCAAGTTTCTGCTCCAACATCCCCATGAAATGATGCAGAGGGCCCCATAGTACTGAGCAAAGAGCTGTAAAAAAAATTACTTGAACCTTAAGAGGAGACAGAGCCCAACAACACAGCATGACGTGGTGGACGCAATGGCACCCGATGCCAGCCCTATCTCTTGCTTAATACCTGTAGATATCTGGTCAGTCGCAAGCTTGGCAGGATTTCCACAGCCCGTAACTGAGTCCTCCTCCACAGCTGCATATACATAGACGCCAATCATCGTGTTTGATATCTCCTGCCTTCAACGATGATGGCGTTCAACTACAGGGAGACTGATGGTTTATTGGTGTTTATTATTGTTTATTACTCGCTCAGATTTCGTCGCGTGCCATCATCACCTTGCAAGCAACGCGATACCACCTCGACATTTCGAACGCAGCCTCGCCTCGCATCATCATCTTCACTGCGTAACCAGCCCAAATTTATCCTGTTGGACGTCCGGGCCGGCAGCCATTGACATCGCTGTCCACCGACCCCATCGATAGGTCTTTCTCAATCCTAGATTGGCGTAGTTTGTTGAGACGTATGCCGCCTGGCCGCCGCATCAAGGCTCACGCTACCTGTTGGGACACCTGGGGTCCCACAGGCACACTCTTTTTGAAGTTCCCGCCACACTCTCATATCTGGACCGGATGTGTGTTTGTAAGCAAATTTGTTTCCCTCATCGCATCACCCAAACCCACTGCAGGTCAACTCTCACAGACCATACAAATGTGGGTTTTCAACCAACTTGCCATAAAGGGAGCCGCGGCATTGGACCTTGGAAAGGGACACATGCATCCTGTAGATGACACCGCAGTCGTGTAGGATGGGGTGTTTGTTAAGACAATCCACGTAGGCCTTCCTTACTATATTTTTTTCCCCTGGTTTATTGTCGGTTGGGGCTGTGCCCTATGGTAGACAATACCTACTGTATATATACTTATCTCCTACTACCTGGATACTTCCTCCTCCCTCCCCTGAGGAACTGACATTTATGAATGCTATGTGTGGGGAACTCTCCATTTTTCTTGTCGGTCTGAGTCACCCAAACTTCACCCTGTGTCCTTCACTAACCGCCCTTTTTCCACTGCAGTCTGAGTGCAGTTTTCTTAGCATTCTGATTTTTGGTGAACACCAGGAAGAGTCCAGTGGATTTTAGGCGATTCTTGTGCTCAAATTGGTTTGACTAGAGAAGAGAACATAGTGTTTTTCAATGTGCTTGGGAAATTTCCATCGAATCTAACCACAGCACTCACCGACAGACAGCAGGATGACCACCATAGCAATTGAGCGATTGATATCCTGCATGCGACATCAGTAGGTCAAAGCCTAGATGGTACCCATAAACATCAGGGCCGAAACGCCTGGCTCTACCTTGTTGGGCACCAGACGGACAAACACATTGTGATACTCGCCATATAAGATGGCTTCCAGAACTGCTGACATTATCGCAGGGCTCACAGACTTAACTCAGGATCTCGACAACACGAGCTCTGATGTTCAGTTTTCTATATGGTCGTGGCTAATTCAACAGCTTCTAGTTTATGTTTCCATTACCTAGTCAGACGTATGCTATAAGCCCTCGTCACCAGACAAAGCAAACGTCATCAGACACATATCGACTGCTGACCCGCACTATTTGCATTAGGTTTCCTCTCACACTTGTTCACTGCCGCTATGATGCTCCCTTTTTCCTTCACTGCATTCCCTTGGATCACATGGCCGCCTTCTTCCACTATGTTGTCATCCGTGGCAAGCGCTACAATGCATCTCGTACCACCGGTTCAAATTTCTTCATTTGTGCCTGCCCTCACCCCACAGATTAGAAGTGCTCCGATACATGCATATGGCGAGGTCCTAGAAAGTTTTCAGTACACCCTGAACTTCCGTGGTGTTGATAGTCCGATGTGGTTTGGTCGTTGCCCAGGATGGCCTGTGATGGGGAGCGCGGATCCCATAGAAAACGCGACTGTAACCCTACTTTAATCAGACTTCTTTTGCCTAATATTCAGAAGCAAAGCAGCTTCGCTTGCACTAATTTCCAGATGCAAAGCAGACCACAGAGCTAATATTCAGATGTGATTCGCACGTCGGGTTAGATGCAAGGGCGGCTATCTAACGCAAGCCCACATTGCCTAACCCACCTCGGCATTTGGTCTCAAATCGGCCACCATTCTACACCTTAACCGGTGGAGTTGACACGTTTGCCACTCTTAGTGTTACCGTCGAAGCAAAGTGACCTCGAGGTAACTACACCTCGCTTCGAAAACGTGGGACTTCGGTTGACTTCATTGTGCCGAAGTTGGTCGAAGTGACACTTCATTCACTTCGAGAGTTGAATCGAAGCTATCAAATAGATCAATCATTATCGCTACAAGTCTAAAGCCCCTTATGCGTCTCCTGTCTCTATCATATTTTAATGGTAAAACATCACTGTGCGTCCTAGAACATTCAACATGAGCCTTTCGCACACTGTGATCTCGATTCTCGAACATTCGTCAAGTCGGCTCCATCATTGGATTGAAATTTGCAAGAATGGTCTAAAACTTAAAAGCGCGTGCACATTACTAGCTGTCTGCCGTATCGAAACGAATTTTTTACTGCTCTCCATGTACCATCCAACAGCGGGTTTTCTTCCCAGCAGCCGATCACAGCTTCCTTCGTACTCACCTCCAGCACTGGGCATCCCAAGGTCTAGCGAGAGCTCTGGCAGTCACAATACACAGATTTCTCCATTAATAACGCCAAATGGTTCTTTCGATACTTTGCGAAACCTCTCTCCACCTCTGCATGCCCCAATCTCAAATCCACTATTGCATCATGCACCTGTACCCAGTCACAGCAACACGGCCTATCCACAGTATATGATGCCCATGCAGCATGTCGAGCCGCTACAGCAGATGTGGGGCCCTGCACAGCCTGCTTCGACTCCACCTATATTTATGCAGCAAGATCATGGTGTTCTGCAAGATTCGACTGCTCCTGTCGTTAATGCAGGAACGACGGCAAAAAGGGCCCAGGTGGCTGGAAACGTAAAAAGCCTATGGAAGATGCAGATCGTCAGAACAACACTCAGGCTCGGAGCAAGAAGAGATGGACCACTTCGGGTGCAGTGCAGCCACCCGAAGCTGCAGCTGTTTGTGGTGTTGGTCTAGTTGCCAACCCTGTGCCTGTGCAGCCAGAGACTGCACCTGCAGCCCCCGGGCCGACGCTGTCATATATCCCTCTGCCTCGAAATGTCAACGAAGGTGGATCGCGCCAGCCACGGGTGTCAAGGACAGTTGCCACTGATGTTTGGTACTTTTTGTGGGCCTTGAATGGCAAGGAAAGGCCAGATAAGATGCCGGAAAATCAACCACGACTGATGGCGAAGCCAGATTGCAAATATGTAGCATGCCGTCTCTGCGGGCGAGTCCTATATGCATTACATCAGTTGTCTGATTGAAATTGAACTATGTGAGCTAGTGACGACGAGAAAAACCCACGATGGAAGGCGTGGCAGCTTAGGGATGGGATGGCGTCGTGCTACCGTAGCCGCTTTGAATACCAGGATCAACAGCTTTGGAAGCAAATTTGCAAGAACATGGGGCTTAAAACGAGGCATCGATCAAATAATTATATAGGTGGTGAACGTCAAATATTCACAGTAGAGAGGTTTCGTTACTTGTTTGTGCGTTGGGTGGCTGTCGATGATCAAGTATGTTTGTGGACTGATGTTTCGGGATAATCTCACCAGCTATTTTGTGTACAGAGCTTTAATGTCGTGGAATGCCCGGAGTTTCAAGGGCTTCTCCGGTGCCGATGCGGGGTGAAAAAAATAGACTAAAGTACAAGAGTCACCTTATTGCCCTTCGTTATATTGGGGGTTCTCATAGTGGTGCTAATCTCGCTCGAGAGTTCTTGAAAATAACTGACGAACTTGAAATCACGAACGATGTAAATGATTCTAGTACTGCTCTAGTTTGGTCAGATTACTATGGACAATGCATCCAACAACGATACATTCACGTCGGAGCTTGAGATGGAGCTAGATAAGAGAAGCATTCCATTTCACTGTGCTGGCAATCATTTAAGGTGATATTCAGTGCTTATTTTCGGGGGGGTAGAAGGCTAAATGATCGTTAGATGTTTTCCTCGCGTCGTGAACCAATAAACCCTCAAGTTGTACCTGTGTCAGAAGCACCTCCCAGCTCTGCCACTTCAACAGACCTTCAACTTTACGCTGACTCTTTTTCAAATGATCCCGTTCCTGAATGTCGCGAGATTGTCAATGCTTACAGACACTCGGATCAGCGTCATCGTCGTCTCCAAGCTGTTATCTAAGAATGGAACAACAATGTATATTGGAGGGGTAGGCTTCCTGACGACAAGGATAAACTGCCTGTGCTCCGCCTTCTGCGAGATTGCTCAACTCGCTGGCCATCAACATTCAGAATGATTGATCGTGTTCTGACTCTGCATCCGGTAATTTGTTCTCAATCTCAATTTCTTTCCTTTAATGCTTACGTCGTCAACAGGCTATTCAGCCATTGCTGCAGGAAATTCAAAACGCAGACATTGCCCACCTTTCCATAGACTCAAAGGATCTCGATGTCCTCCGCGACATTCATCATATCATCGAGATCCCACACGCAGCGCAAGAGCTACTCGCATCAGAGCGCACTCCTACTCTCTCAATGGCCCTTCCTGCATACGAACTTTTGCAGACCAGATGGACCGAGCTGAAGGGTTCCATTTGGGAGCTTTCCCATTATATTGAAGTCGGCCTCGACAAGCTCACCAACTACATTCGGGAAGGCAGGAGAACACGGATATATGCACTAGCAATGAGTAAGTTTGCGATTCCTTTTTGTATTTTACCTTTTACTAAACTCTTGATAGTTATCAATCCGAGCTTGAAACTTCAGTGGATGAAGGTCCACTGGAACGAGAATGATGCAAAAAAAGCACGGGAATGGATGTTAGAAGCGGTATGTTCCTTTCGTTGTCTTCCAGTCAATGTCGCTGACCTTTGTCTACAGATGATGTCGTATCGGACAGCAATACGCTTGCAACGGGAAACAGTACCTAAACCGTGCCTATCAGCATCACAGCCTTCCTACTACACAAGTACTAATTCTACATCCGTGCCTGCGAAATCATTGATGGCGGGATTCGGGCGCTTGACAAGGATCAATACCAGTGTTCGACGTTCGACAACCTCGTCACCGACCACCACCCGTCTAGATGTGCTACTTCCCCCGAGCCCTTCCTTATCATTCGGCCGCCAGTCAATGCCAACTTTAACGTCAGAAGAGCAATTGCAATGGGACCTAGAGGAAGACAAGAAAGCTGCTGAGCGAGAACTGGAACGCTATGAAGAAGCACTAGCAAAAAGAGTACATATTCCCGCTGCTTTCCATGTCACAATCTAACCGCGCAGGCCTCATCTGTCCCTTCCGAACAAGTCTTCTCTTCCAGCAAAGAGATATGCGCACTTCAGTGTGCCAACCTCTCACCATCAGTTCTCGAGGCCTTACAAATGCTCAAGTTCTCTTACAAGCAAGACCGGTTGAATTTCACGTCCCATTTCATTGCTGAAGAAGCGGGTTACAATATTTCGGGACCTGTATCTAGGAATGCCATAGACGAGCTTGTGGAGGCAGGCAAGCTAGATGAACTTGCTGAGCATTCCGCGAATGAGATTGAGGATGAGACTTAGTCTCTTAGATTATACTGTATCTATTTTGGTCAATCTATTATCTCCATCTACTTTCTCGCCTATTGCCGACTTCGGTCCAATGCATTCAAACCCTGCTCAGGCTACGCACACGGAAAACAGGAACTTGAAATGACGCCATTCTTCTTTTGAAGAGAGCTGAGGCGTGCTGCTGATGGAGGAATCATGATAATCTGACGAGTGCTTGGCAAAGAAGGTACATCCTGGCTATCACTCGTGTCAGACAAGCTTCAGATCTTCAGGTGTCTTTCCATACCCCAAAGCATTGTCGAGTGTCCTATTAACCATTTCCAATGGGCCTTGATCTTCCTCGACCTCTTGCCTGGGATCACCTCCAAAACGCGATAGGATCTCGTCACTCGCACCCACCGGAATATTTAGAGGTGATCCCTTGGCTAATTTGCGCTAGTCTCGACTCGTTCACTAGCTCGTCCCCTGGTGGGATGACTGGGAGCACAACGGCGAGAAGCACCGACATCTTGATAAAATTATGTTCAGAGAAGTGCTCATTTCGCTACAGAGAGTTTCGTACAGCCGTTTTGGCAGTCTTTGCTTTTTTCTTCGACATCACGCAGAGCGCGCGTTGGGTCTCGGTCAAGTTGATTAGCTCGATTATCATACCTGTATTCTCTTTCCGCAGTCTGAGACAATCTATTTTTGTGACAGTAATAAATATTTGATGCTTAGACTGGTGTTTCAACGCAACAGGAGGCATTTTGAGACCCCCAAGGTTACGCCAACAAGGACAACCCCTTCCTCATGTTCGGCATTTCCCGAGCGAACCCAGGTTGTGCCGTCCTGGACAGAACCGCACGCAGCCGGACGGAGACTGCCGGTAATGCGGGCTTCCTGCAAAACTCGATCATGTAATCTACGACATCAGATGCCTTCGCCGCTTTTGGAAATGCTTGAGTAAGCTTGTCTTCTGTTTGTCAGAAGAGCCACAGCCAAATATTGCCAAAGACGGTCGCTTAAAACCACGATTGTACTTAGTAAACACCCCCAGCTTCTTCTGTGAGATTTGAGTAACAATTATGACACGCAGTAGATCTCGAGGACGCAGATTCGGCAGCCATCCCCCTGCGGCCCATAAACCCGAGAGTAAAGGAAATCCCACAAGCAAAAGGAAGACCAAAAAGGATCGGGCACTGGCTGTAATGTCCGTTAAATCAACTCGACCGGTGCCCCCAGTGCGACTCCGGCGGTCCATAGCCTGTTTCTCAATCCCACTCATCCGTGCAGAACTAGTCATGGATGAGTCCCTAACAAACCTTGGAACTCTCATCACCTACTCCGCCCCGCAAGAGGTGGTCGCCGTTGATTTTGACACGAGGATGGAGCACACAACCTGCCGGGTACCAGTGATGGAGGGTGGGCAGCTTAGAGGGTATGTACCCCTGCCAATGAGGTACCGTGATGTTTGGCTCGAGCTATCCTACAACATTGTACTATTGATCAACATCTGGAGGCTTTGGTCGAAGGAGGAGGGAAAGGCTTTGAACTCGAAGGAGAAAAGGATGGCCACTGCTTGCCGACAGAACGCCGGGACGTTGCTTGTTCAATACATGCTTGCCAGGCTGCTTGCGGTGGAGGAGTTGGTCGGCTTGAATTATAACACGGAGCCTGGTGAGGAGTGCGTGAAAGTTCTCAACGAATGGAAGGTCCGGATGGTTCGGGATTGGTTCTATACGACTCACTCGGAGGCCAAGGCTGATGGACCTGAATTCTTGCACGCAGATCCCGTCAGCCTCGAAAATAAAGCATTTTTCGGTGTGTTCATCCTGTTCGCCGCTCTTCCAACATCGCCTGACCTGAATAGAAATGAGATGGGACATAGAGGAGGAGGGTCGGGACATCATGTCGCTCCCGGCAGATACCAATCTCTGGATCCACGGGCGTATCGAAGGGTTCGACGACGCCTTTGAAAAAACAATTAAACCTCAGTCCTTCGAAGAGATGAGCAAGCCCAGCCAATTTTTCGAGACTCGATATGAGGAAGGGGCCAAGCTACCGTCTCGCTGGCACGAGGGACACGAGCCTCGTCCCCTCTTCTGGAGCATCAAGCAGTGGGATTGGTTCAGTGAAGGCGAGTTCATCACTGCATGGCAACCCTTTCTAGCTACTGAAAACCTCGTGCGTCGCAGGGAATGACTATTGGAACGCACCAATTGACCTCTTGCGTTACGTTCTTGTCACAGAGCCAGCGTACCACGATGTCGGCCAGTTCTTGAGCGACCTCCGCAGCCTCAGCAGCATCATCTCCATCAATCCTAATTGGCAAGACATCGAGGCGAATGCGAAGGACCTCTGGCTCGGAAAGATGATCTGGAGGAAGTTTGTGGGCAGTTTGAGGAGAAGTTTGAATCTTTCCAAGGAACAAACAGCAACTTCAGAAACAAGGGGTATGTTTTTCTGGACGCTCATTCTAACGCCTCATTAACCATTCTCCCATACTAGATGACCGAAATCCTTTCAATACGTTGGAGGCTCGTTTGATCTTTGAAGGATACATGCGCCGGGGGAAAATGAACTCCAAGGTTCAGAGCACCGAGGACGACACCCTGTGGGAAGTCTTGAACCAAATCGGTCCGCCAGAACATCTGCCGGTATGGAAATGGGTCGCAAGTGAGATACAGCTGCATGGCTCCATGTTAACGGAAGTGTTGAACAAAGCCGGGGCTTGGTGGCGCGATTTTAGATACAAGCAAGGTGAGGGCGTTTGAGTGATGGAACTCTCGCACCAATCATTTCCTGTTCCCAGCGAAATCTTCCCATGTGGAAACACATAGCACAGAACAGACTGACGAGGAGGAGAGCAATGCGGGTGTTGATACGCCGCCAGAGATTGCAACGCAGGTCCACGATCAACAGGAGGGTGGATCTGGTGAGCGTGTGATAAGGCGATTCAGGTAGCGATCTAACTACAAAGGGTAAGGTCCATGCGTGCAGGATGTGGAAATGAGACGTGAAGATGTCATCCCTGATCTACGCGCAGAAAATGTTGATGCTCTTGAAGAGCAAAACTCTGAGAGCTCTGGCGACGCTTGCCCTCACCCGGACGGAGGACATCCTTCTGGAGCTACCTCTGCAGACAACTCAACAGCTTCTGCGCATCCTACTGCCTTGCACAATTTTACGAAACCCAAACTTGCTCTTCCTCCTGCTCTCCCTGCGACTGCTAACACAACAACTACAGTTCAGGTGCTAGAGACGAGGGAAAGCCAACGGCAGGAGCTGCATCCCATCCATCTGGTATCTTGAGGGTCTTGAATCGTTGGAAACATACAGAGAAACCTTGATGAAGTCCCTATCCTCGGACTTTGAGGAGGGCGTTGGGGAATTTGTGAAAGATCTTCAACGTTTCCCTGTGGAGCAGCTTACAGTGGATTTGGCAACGCCGATCTTGGACTCCTTCGTCCGCCGTGTTAAAGCAATACAGGCGAAGAAAGAAGCCTGGAAATCGGAAAAGGTCCTCCTGTGACTACGGACACCGTGCGCCCTCTCGGATCGCATGCACCTCAGTTTGTGTAGCATTGCAATCTATATACAAACCGGCAGCAAGCCTTAATCACATACAAGCATCAGCACCAACTTTTCCGCTTGGATGGAGGGACTCGTTATGCATCAATAAACTTAAAAGATTTGGTAGCAAACCTGTAGTAAGTATGACACATGAGTATAACACAAGTCAATTTTAGCCTTGCTGCTCAAGGTTCGTTTGTATGAGACACTTACCGTCGCATTGATGACTGTGGAACTATGACGCTCCAAAGCGAACTTTAATAAATTGCGCGATACAACATCTGGTGCGCGATACAACATCAAGTGCACGATACACCAGCTACTCTAGCTAACTGGACGGCCGAAATCTTCGAAACTGGGTTCGACAATCAGGTATTTTATGAGATCATCAGCCGTCCGAGCGATAAGCTTTCGCTCGTGATCAAAAGCACTTTGAGCCTTCACGATATTTAATACGGCCCTCCAGCAGTCTAGGTTGATCTTTCCAACATCGAGCGTTCGACAGCATCCTTGTAAGGTTGAGGATTTCGTCCGTCCAGCAAAAATCTACCCATTCCGTTCCACCACAGCTGCCTCCAGCCCTCCTCACATCTCTTTTGCTTCGTACAAGTTCCCGCATGCACCATAGGTGGGGCTTCACATGCAATGATCCGACGGTGCGAAACGTTCCTTGACTTTGAACATCGTGTTCCACACAACGGACCCAACAGCGTGACATTCCTCGTCAGAGATATCATTGATGCGAGCTGAAATGAGTCACTCGAAAGCATGCAGCAAGAATTCTTTGACATTGTACTTAAATGCGAGCGAGACAAGCTGTGTTGGTTCAAGCGAGTAGCGTTGCCGCTGGAGATGGTGAACAGCATAGACACGTGCATCGTGCATCTTTACAAATATACATATCGCTAAGCTCCAGTAGTTGAATGACAGCTTTGTTGGGTATTTGAGGACATCTGGCCTCCATCTGCATGGTATCAGCTGTCAGACTCGGAGACCATCGTTGTGAAACAAACTCAAAATGACTCGCTTATACAGACAGAAAGAAACAATTCGAACGCACTTTCGCTTACTTGCGACGGCACACAAATAGGCTTGTCGTCAGCACTACCGTCAACTTGTTTGAGTTGGGCACCCTGGCTTGCAGCAAACATATCCCGGAAAGCAAGTGATTTATCTCCGAGAATGCTTGCGTGCACCCTGAAGAGCGAGCTTCCTGCCTACTAGTACATCAGTCCACCATAAATCTATTCAGATGATCAAGCGGTGCACGAACCTGGAAGACGTGAGTGCCATCTGAGAAGTAGAGCATTTGATAGTGTCGAATAGTGATTGAATCACTGCGATAATTTGAAGGATGACTAGAATATAGCGTGAACACGAAGATCAGCTTTGAAGAAATGGGCTGATTGAGTGGTTAGTGATAAAACAAGACACGGAAAGCAATGCCTTGAACCTGGCGCAAACCACGTCACCTGTAAATTACGCCCACGGAGCTCTTGAATGATAACCTTTCTAACGGACGTCGACTTGGAGTACAAAAATGATGGACGCTAACTTCAGTCCTTTTTTGTTTTTTATTCGAATTTCATGTCCTATGGAGAGACGTGCTCTAAAGAGGACAGTACAATCTAGTCTAGGGGACCCCCAGTGTCCCCAACGCATCTCTGGGCGCGCGAATGCCCTGATGCGAGGCGTACCACCATCAGTCCGCCGTTCCCGCCGGCCGTTTTAGACGCGCCACCCAACTTCAGTCCTTCATTGCTGTTGTCACTCCCACTTCTCCCTGAAACCAAAAATTGGTCGGCGCAAATCCAAATTGCCTATGAGGATATCAAACACGCTTACAATCATGCCATCCAAGTTCTTCGAGCAGACGGAGCTGACCCTACCCGTATTGCTTTCCATGTGGATGTTATCTCGTCAAATGCACTTCCAATCCTCAAAGCACTCGTACTAGACGGTGACACTAACTTGGATGATATATCGGAGTCTCTCCCAGTCAAATGGCTAGCTGATGTAGCCACAATACTTGGCTGTGTAGTTTCACGTCTGGAACACCTAGGGACAGCTGTAAATGAAGAGTAAGTCAAATTTTCGATAGATATATGGATACTGACACAGGATCTTACAGAGAGCAGCATGATGTTCAGATACCAGAATTAACTGGAATCGAGAACACAGGAAAACGAGGGCGGCCAAAAAAACAATAGATCTTGATTTCTTGATGGAGGACACCTCTGCTCAACATCACATAAGTCATGTCGAGCTAGCAAAGGTTGTCGATGTTCATCCAGTTCGCCAATGCTGCCAGTGGCAACCTGCAGACCTTCAGTTAGCTCTCGGACTCTAGTACTACTTCGTTACGCTTTTAGAATCGCTTGAAAATTCCTGATATTGACATCGGATGGCTTCAAACTCGCCTCCTATCAAGCCACTGATCGTTACATAGTGCATCTCTCGTCGTCACCTTTACCTCAGCGTTGTTCCATCACTCGCTGAGGTATGTCATCTCGTAGTCATAGTAGTTACATGTACTGACTCGTACCTAGACTCTACTCTAGGTACTCACTAATATTAGCGTTGTTCCATCACTCGCTGAGACTCTACTCTAGCGTCTACAACAGTGAGTCCAGCACACTCCAACAGGTGTCTCAGTGGAGGGGGTGTGTTGGTGCTACCGCCTATTTCATCACCTTCGTCACCTTGTCGTATGTACTGTATAGTTTTTTGCTTCCTCAGCCATCACAAACCGCTGATCCTTACATAACTATCTCATACTTATTGCGGCAGGGCTCATCATATATACCTCAGGATCGTACTCATTCGAGTCGCTGAGGTATGTATTATTACTTCGTACCTATACTTCGTACTAACGTAGCCTACTAGCCATTTGCTCCAGGTAGCTACTAATTATAGCATTGTACTCATTCGAGTCGCTGAGCCATTTGTTCTAGCCTACATCCCCAGGGACAGTCAAGTACGCGCTTCAGTTTACAAAAACACCACGTATCAGATACTTACAAACGCGATAAGAAGAGAGCAGTCAAACCCATCTTCGCTTGGATTGCGCGTCTAAAACGGCCGGCGAGAACGGCGGACTAGCGCAGGGCAGCCTCACGTCGTGACATTCGTGAATCCAGATATGTAGATAGGGCATGGACCCTTTAGATTAGATAGTTCCATCCAACATAGGGTACGTTACCCCAATGGACAGAGATTGAAACTAAGAAAAACAGTCTGTGCCAAAACTCTCTGACACACGACCCAAACGTATTTCTTCGCGCGCTCGTCGAACTCGGACCATGGTGAAGACGAAGACAAATGTGTCAAGTCTGTGCCGGAACACCAGCGCTTAGGAGGCTCAGCTAAGAGCATACGTCAGTTGTTCACGGAACGGTACTCGGCCTGAGCCGAGCCCCAGCGTTGATTCAACTTGTTTAAGCCAATTAAAACTCGATTAAAATCCTGCACAAGGCTAAGACACAAGCAGTCCGAAAAGAACCCAAGGAGTGCAGCGTTAAAGGAATTCCTTATGCAACACTTCAGCTTCTTTCTTCGCCTGTATTGCGTTAACACGGCGGACGAAGGAGTCCAATATGGGCTCTGCAACGTCCACTGTGAACTGTTCCACAGTGAAAGGCTGAAGGTCATTCACAAACTGCCTTATGCTCGCCTCGTATTCCGAGGGGAAGGATTTGATCAAGCTGTCTCCGAATGTTTCTAATGAATCGTACCCGTCAAGATACCTGGATAATCCCAGGTGGATAGGACGGAGAATTTGGGAAACACCATTTATCATGGGAGAATAGATGGGAAGGGGAGGGTGGGTGGAGTCTGCGTATTCGTTGGAATCGTTGGAGTCAGCTGCAGCCGTAGATTCAGGAGGCCTGTCTCCAACACCGCCCGGGCGAGGGTAATGGAAGGTGTCGCCAGAGTCCTCAGAATTACCATCTGCCAAGCGTTGACGACCTTCCTGGCGCATTGGTACATCCTGCACGCGTGGAGCTTTCCCTTTGGTTAGATCTCCAGTTCAATAGAGATGCTACATCTGCTTACTAGATCCACCTTGCCATCGATCCCGTTCTTCTTCATCATACTGTTCCGTGCTATGTGTTTCCACATGGGAAGATTTCGCTGGGAACAGGAAATGATTGGTGCGAGAGTTCCATCACTCTAACGCCCTCACCTTGCTTGTGCCTGAACTCGCGCCACCAATCTCCCGCTTGCTTCAACATGCACGTTACTTTGACTCCATCCGACTCCATCTCACTGGCGACCCATTCCCATACCGGCCGATGCTCTGGTGGGCTGATTCGATCTAGGCTTTGCCACAAGACGTTGTCCTCGGCTACCTGATCCTTCGAGTTAGGTTTCTCCCGGTGCACATATCCCTCGAATATCAAACGAGCCTCCAAGGTGTTGAAAGGGTTTCGGTCATCTGTTGTGGGATCAATATGAGACGACCGCATAAACATCCAAAAACTATACCTCTTTTTTCCGAAGTCAGAGTCTCTGCCTCAGACAGACTCAAACTAATGCTCAAGCTATCCACAAACTCCCTCCAGATCATCTTTCCGAGCCAGAGGTCCTTCGCGTTCGCCTCGATGTCTTGCCAATTAGGATTGAGGGAGATGATGCCGCTGAGGCTGCGGAGGTCGCCCAAGAACTGGCCGACATCGTGGTACGCTGGCTCTGTGACAAGAGCGTAACGCAAGAAGTCAATTGGTGCGTTCCAATAGTCATTCCCTGCGACGCACGAGGTTTTCAGTAGCTAGAAAGGGTTGCATGCAGTGATGAACTCGCCTTCACTGAACCAATCCCACTGCTTGATGCTCCAGAAGAGGGGACGAGGCTCGTGTCCCTCGTGCCAGCGAGACGGTAGCTTGGCCCCTTCCTCATATCGAGTCTCGAAAAATTGGCTGGGCTTGCTCATCTCTTCGAAGGACTGAGGTTTAATTGTTTTTTCAAAGGCGTCGTCGAACCCTTCGATACGCCCGTGGATCCAGAGATTGGTATCTGCCGGGAGCGACATGATGTCCCGACCCTCCTCCTCTATGTCCCATTTCCTTTCTATTCAGGTCAGGCGATGTTGGAAGAGCGGCGAACAGGATGAACACACCGAAAAATGCTTTATTTTCGAGGTTGACGGGATCTGCGTGCAAGAATTCAGGTCCATCAGCCTCGGCCTCCGAGTAAGTCATATAGAACCAATCCCGAACCATCCGGACCTTCCATTCGTTGAGAACTTTCACGCGCTCCTCACCAGGATCCGTGTTATAATTCAAGCCGACCAACTCCTCCACCGCAAGAAGTCTGGCGAGCATGTATTGAACAAGCAATGTTCCGGCGTTCTGTCGGCAAGTAGTGGCCATCTTTTTCTCCTTCGAGTTCAAAGCCTTTCCCTCCTCCTTCGACCAAAGCCTCCAGATGTTGATCAATAGTACAATGTTGTAGGATAGCTCGAGCCAAACATCCCGGTACCCTCATTGGCAGGGGTACATACCCTCTAAGCTGCCCACCCTCCATCACTGGTACCCGGCAGGTTGTGTGCTCCATCCTCGTGTCAAAATCAACGGCGACCACCTCTTGCGGGGCGGAGTAGGTGATGAGAGTTCCAAGGTTTGTTAGGGACTCATCCATGACTAGTTCTGCACGGATGAGTGGGATTGAGAAACAGGCTATGGACCGCCGGAGTCGCACTGGGGGCACCGGTCGAGTTGATTTAACGGACATTACAGCTAGCTCCCGATTCCTCTTGGTCTTGGCGTTTTTGGTCCTCTCGTGTTGATGGGCCGCAGAGGGTTGACTACTGAATCTGCGTGCGAGAGAATTTGAATTTGTGCGTGCAATCTTTGGCACCTAAGCCTTACAGAAGAAGTTGAGGTTGTTTCCCAAGGGTTTTTTCGCTTGTTTTTTGAGGTATAGTGTTTGGCAACATTTGGCTGAGGCTAAGGCTATTAAATAATAGGTCCTGAATGGTACCTACTACCTAGTACCCCCCGGTTCATCAGGATGGAGAATTATTGCTTTGTGCACCATTGGCGATGCTGAGTTCTGTTTCAATCAACCTTCTGTCCAATGGCACCCTCCAGTCTATTTTTGCCACCTCTTGCACTAACACTATTGACGTCGTTTCATATCACCACTGTCCCCTGCCGGCTAGCTCCTTTTTCTTGGTCTGAGAATATGGACGTATCTTCTCGCAGTCTTAGCTGAAAGCTCAAGGATACTATAGACATGCTTCAGTGCACACCCATGCTGGCTTCCCTCGCACACCTGCTGCCATCTGTCTTGCATATGTAAGTTGTCTCTATTATATATATTGTACCAATCTCATGACATTCAGTTTGAGTAGCATTCCACATCCTCTCATACCTTCCTCCACTCTCACATCGCATAGGGCCGTCTCGAAAATTTTCATTCCCTTGCGCCTTCTCGCAACTTATCATATTATAACTCATGTTCCGGCGATATGATGGCGCGTATTTAGCCATCTACGCTATATACAGCTCAGGTATGAATATACCTCGACGGCTCAAGATAGCTAGTAAAACAGAAAGAGAGAAGCGAAGGCGAAAGAAAACGGAGAATTTACGTCAAATGAAGATTATTGCGGTGAGAATGGAGAATGCGAGATGAGGAGGTGGCTCGTATATCTTTTTCAACATCGATCAGTTTGAAACAAAGACTGAGCTCGCGTCCGGCGTTTGTAGCCTCCTATCCTAACTGTCAGGCCTGTCTATGAGGCAGATGGTTCATAGACAGACTGGTGAAACTGAGTTTGAATTCAGATAGGAAACTAAAGGCCGTTCACTTGAAAATTAAATAAATTAAATGAAGCTAATTCAAGGACAGAAGAGGAATTACAAAGAGAGAACAGCAAAAAAAAGTTGATCGGTAGCAGCTACAGTAACAAAACATGTATCTAGACATAATATGCATTAAAATTGAACTGACCCAATGAATCTACGAAGAACAAATAGCTGCTTCGGTATTACAACGTCATGAATCTGATTGAAGGGTGCCGAAAGCTGCAGAACATACTCGGCGATGGCGCCATGGGATTTTGCGTCATGGCTCAAATGCAGATCGTGTTTGGTTCGGCTGGAGGGATGTGCCTGGATTGTTGGAGGCGCTTGGATGCTCGTGAAGGAAGTGCGGCCGCTGTGTTGAGAATGTCGTCAGCATCATACTGATTTGGCAGGTGGAGTGGTGGAACTTGTGGTAGAGGCTGCATCTGTATGCAAGGTGCTATTATGAACGTGTATAATGAAGGCGCAGTGAATGGGTACTTACTGAATGCTATCAGTGGGGTTGCTATAGCACCTAGGACGTGATGGGGCACTCCATATTGAAGTCGGAGCTTGGGCATGCTGGACTGAAGGTTACAGGTTACAAATGGAGTGGGCGCGGTTGGGGAAGGCAGCAGAAAGGAATAGATTTACTCACCCAGGAATTTCGGCGCAGCTTGAAAACAAAAGGAACGACAAAATTGCCATGCTCAAATTCGAAAATTTTGAAAGCTGCTATGCAATTTCCATCGCCAAAGATGTTAAAGAACCCACGAGCCTGTGATGTGTTGGCAGTCAGAAAGAAGATCGCTAGATCTTAGATCAAGACTAGTAAGTTCACTACTGTTGAGGATGGCGTCAAAGACTCACCTTGGAAATCTGAGATATATATGGAGGTGTGATGTTGGGTGTGCTGCATAAAGCACAAAGGTGCAATATTCGCTTCGTTGGCATGCATGACATGGACAGAGACGGCGACTGCAGCGCGGGCAAGTCTAAGTGGTGCCAGGTCTTCTATGTCGTTCGGAACTTTGCCTGTCTTGAGTATCTCGTCAAGTAAAGCGCAGGCCACGCCAATTGAGGCTGTACACCAGCACAAGCAATTAGGCTCTTTGCCCGCTCATCCTCTCTATCAAAGCATTGATGCCCCACCCCCAGCGCCTTCTGGAAGAAAACGCCTTTAGCGGCAACAGCAGTCCCTATACTCTCAATGGAGAGTGCATGTCCACGGGTTGACTTGGGTCTCCACTGCGAGCGACGTTTTTCAAGAGGCTGAATCTGAGTGATTTTGATTCGAGTTAGAAAGCCTGTCTGAATCCAATCATTGAATGGAATTTTTAACTTATGATACTGTTGTGCTCGAAGCCGTTGGAGCGGCGTCACATCCTCGACTGTATACCGGTGTGTCGCCAGCATGGCAAGAGGTAGTGAAGGGCGCTATGGCATGACAGACACCCCATGGATGACTAATCTACGGTGTTAAGTAGCTGCTACTTCGCTTCTGCACCCGGGGGTCTGGAAAAAAACGGCGGCGTCTGTTGGTGTGCTTTGCTTGATTCAACATACCCCCTACAGCTCTTCACAGGAGGTACTAAGCCATGGTGGCATTTTCGACCTCAATGGAGATATGCTTATAGATACAGGTCGTGTAGACGAAGTCCCTCTCCCGTAGTCAGCATCGTCGTCCTCCCCGTCATCATCAGCAGGGCGGAACTCTTCCTCCAGCTTGTGGGAGGCAGTGACCTCTGGGTCAGAGCTGTACGTGTTCTCGGGAGCTTCAAGTTTAAACATGACTTGAATACAGACAGCATCAAATCCGCTACAAAGACATACATACCAAGTGTTGGAGGGATCGTTTATATCACCGCTTCAAGCTTCGTTTATCGCAGACTCGGGTCTCTTACCTACTATCATCTGCTCACTTGTATCACGCTCCGAAATCCACGGCTTTGTCCTGTTACCTATTGTCCGATTCGTTCAGTGTTTCCCGCCGTAACCCCGGCGGGTCTCCACTGGGTACTGCATCTCCACACGTATCACCGTTCTGTTGCCATTTCCATTATTGGGGTGATATAAATTTTGGCCTCAACATCTTATTCCTACGCCATCACACAGCATTTTAGTCCACTTCGATTGTTCAAAAAGTGGAGAATACGGTACCCCGATATCTGTGCCGCCTCTTATTGAACTATTTGGACGTCTGATGCGTGTAGGAATGCACACTCTGTTGCATCTGACCGACTTAACTCCGTACAACTGTGCGTGCATCTTCAAAAAAACAACGGGTGACAAACCGTCATGTTATGACAAAGGCACAATAAAGCAGCACAGTAAAACATACTCCTTGATCAGTTAGCAGTTGACGCGCGCCCTTCAAGAAGTGTACTGTGCCCACGAGTGCGTTTTGCCTTGGAAATTGATTTTCCGACGTTGGTGCCAGTCGGACGGTCTTCACGTTCTTCATACTATTTCAATGACGAGAGTTTGAGCGAGCAGTACTAGCAGGAATAAATATAAAAACTACCCGCTCTGTATCGATAAATAACTCGAGCGAAATAGCACGACCTGACTTATTTCCCTTCAGGGCTCCAGCATGGACCTGGATGTAGGAGGCTTGAGTTTGTGGATGATTGTACTTATTGTACCAGTCACGGAGACTCATCATCCCACCTGAATCCCACAGCACAAGATTTCCTCGCACGCGCAGTTCAGCCTCATTCCTACAGTCTCGCGGTGAGTCAGAGAGCAACGGAATGAATGTCAAGCTTACACGAGCAGGTCGGAGACATGCTTCGATGTTCACTTTGGGTTGACAAGCTTGATGATGCTTTCTTGAAGAGCTGCAAAGTAATTCTACCGAGTTTTCCATTATTCTCTCGCAAGTTTCTCAGCTCCGACTCGGGTGTTGATGGGCCGAGTGGTCGATGCAAGCGTCCTTCAATTTCATGCGCTGCAAGTTTCACCACCATGGCCCGGGGAGTAAGTTCCCGATACACAATCATGTAGAGATGCTGTACTAACCTTTGCGCTGGACGAAAGCCGCCCTATCTAGTTCACAATGGGCGCACCTCATTACATTCATCCACTACACTAAAACCGACTCCTGTACCTGCCCATCAAGTCGTGCAGCATCTGACCCTGCTGACTTGGAGTACAACGTACAGTGCTTCGTACCCCACTAGTTATTGCCTTCGGCGTTTGGCATGCTTCGAGTTTGTCCTGTACACGCAGCGGAGCAGTGGGAATGTGGATTGAATACTAGTACTAGTAGTATAACAATGTACACAGACGATAATAGGTCGGTTCGAACAAGTACGCACACGTGAGCCGCATTCAAATACATCGATGCACTTCCCACCATTCGTAGTCAGGTAGCAGAAGTGCAATTGCAGTTCCATCCAGGGTGTTGGACGTAACGGGTTGAGAAATGACCATCCCTGCAAGCTGTAAATGCCCATGATTGAGACACTGCATACCCATCGACTACAGCATAACTGATGTACTCCTTAGGGAGCACTGAATCAAACCATCGACCATCGAGTGCTAACATAGATTTGATGGCCCTTCAGTAGTGCATTCCATCTCACAACAATACGTGTTCCTTTGCCAGCTACATACGTCTTGCGAAACACTCATTTGGTGATCCAGTCATTCTGCAGCCACTTGAGGCGCGCGCCATCACCAGCTTTCTTGAACAGCAGGGGCAAAAAAACAAGGAGGGAGTCCAGAAGTTTGATGACACCGCTTTCAAGAAATGGAGCAGTCTGAACGCACACACACACATGTAGAGCAAGAAATTCGACACTGACTAGTCCACTAGTCCGTGGATTCCTCCTGTCCATTGTTGTCCAGTGGTTCATGACGATATTAAAGCGATGGTTGACCAGATAGCCGCTGCCCAAATCGAGGACGGTCCGCGATCCCTGATGAAATTCAAATTGAGGAAGTTCACTGTGCATGGGGACAGGAATGACATCTTTCAAGAGGGATGGGAGGAACGTTCAAGTTCATTTTGTCTGCTGGGATATTGTTGGTCAAAATGGACTGAACTTCTGGCCATCCAAACTTCATTAGGGTTTTTAAAGAGAAAGAAAAAAACAAATTGGCATATATTGACCGTGTCCCTTTATTGTTGTGAAGAGCATCTATCAAATCTCAGCATCTTCATTCATGACCGTATGAAGTGTAGGGAACAGGGAGTGTGCTGCTCACCCTGCCAAGACTCTTGATAATCTGCGCAACATATGTCGGAAGCTGGAGGAAGATGCTTTAAAATAAAATAAAAGTACCTTAGATTATCATAGAAGCGACGCAAGCATCCTGCGCTCGGTACAAACCCAGCATGGACATCACCGTCACCAAACGAGCTGAATGCTTGCTTGTGAACCCAAAACTGTTTCTGACAGCTTTCGTAGCGATCGATTTTAGGCCCAGGTGATTGGACAAAAGATGTACGAACCTGCCACAAATGGACCTTTGATAGGTGCAGGAAATTGCATTGGAGGCGGGTGTCAGCTATTACACACCCAGCTACTACAGCCTAAGAACACCTTGCCCTGTACAAGGGAGAAGGGCTCTTGCCTGGAGCCCAGCATACACCAGAGTGTAGTTAAAGAGCTGCAGGTTCAGCAAAATTTATACACAGGACCAAATGTTGAAGACATCAAGTCAAGGACATACCCCCTCCCAGGCAATACAGCCTGAGAATTTCAGCCTTCCCTGTACAGGATGGTGGGGCACCTCACCTAGCATCAGACCAGCATATGCTGGATGCACCTCCCAATTCAGAAAGGTGTATGCTAGGCGGTTGAGAACAGGGACAAAGCACAACAAACATGAAAACACCCTTACAGAGATAGTACAATGAAATACATTAAAACCATGGATCACGGCTAATATTGAGCCAAAGAGTACACAGAGTGGCGGCATCACCCTCTACAGGGAGAAACATGCCAAGCAGTTGACAGCAGCCAAAAGGGTGAGCCTGAGCTTGTCTGCAAATTTAGAGTGCGCTCTACAGAATGTTTGTAGTAGTGCAGTGAATTCCCAGCAGTTGGTCCCCTCAAAGCATTACTGCCCAAGAGCATCCTGCCTTGTACAAGGCAGAGAGAGGGAGCACAGCACCTCCTGTCCTTTACAACCGTCACCCCACAGAAGTCACCAGGTCACACTCCCGTGGGAAAGCGTGACCAATCAGTCACAGTACATCAAACGCTGCTGCCCTGTGAGCAAGCCATTGACTTCTGGAGGTGCAGATTGCAGGGGACAGGATAGTAAGGGAAGTGTATGTCAGGCATTGGGTAAAGCGGAGTAATGTATGATAAAACGGGCTTCAAGTACTGACTGAGCATGGGTGGATGGATGGATGGATGGATGGATGGAACAAGAAGATCAAACAAATAGAAACATAAATCAACCAGACAAACAAGAGCAAGTACGGCACGCACAAACCAAATGCCATTACGTGAGCATATGTCACCTTGCAAGCGTGTGAACTTGGATGATTCGCAGCGGTAGGGTTCTCTCGTTTCGCCTGTTGGCGTCGGGGAGGGATTCTTTCGACTTTCTTCCATCCTTGGGGGCGCCTTCTGCCCTTCTTTTGGTGGGTGCTGGGCGCTGGAGACATTGATTTTGGTCGTCATTGGCGTTCTGCCATTCTTCGTTCTGTCCTGGGTATGTGTCCCATGTGAGCGGGTCCTCTGTGGGAAGTAGAGGGTGGTTATTGAGGACTGGGGTGCCACTTGGTGAGGGACTCGGATTCTCCGGTAAGTTAGATGGATAGCACCGCGCTACATACAAACTGTCGAAATACGTGGCCAACAAAAGCAAGGAGGTGAATCACACACTGTGCATGGCGGCGCTCGAGAGCGTTGCTCGCAGCTGGTTCTTGTCCGATCAGATCAGCCTCATCCGAGTAGACATGAAATGCAATTGTACTGCCCGCATTCACCTTGTTTGAATCGCTCCCGAGGTAAAGTGAGCCAACGTGAACAATCAACGAAAAATGTATCATGGAGAGATAATAAATTCTCCTCTACAACGCTCTCGTTGTAGTAACTTATGTAAAAGAGACTTTGATAGAGTTTTAAATAATTATAAATTTTCAAGCACAACCATCAACTTTCCCACGAACGCAGATTCATTTTCCGGAGCCTGACTGAACGTTTCAGTCCTTGAAAACCCTCCCCAATAAGGTGGAGTCGGGGATCGCTCCCCGCAGGATAGGTGAGATGAGCCGTTGGAGTAGGAGGAGAGGGAGTCGCGAGGATCCGTGTCCTGGGGCTGCGGTGGAGGACGCAACGGTCAAAATTTCTTCACTTCGGGCAAGCATATGCAACTGACAAGGACGTCGACAGCGGCGCTGTGACAGGCTATTTATACACCTCCGTATTCTAGGCCACATACCCCGATAGGGCGAATGCCCGTGGAGCGTACAGGAACCAGCGAACAGCAGGCCATCTTTCATGATGCAGGAATAGCAATAAAATCAACAATGTGCGATATGTCGTGAACTCTCATACGGTGATTACATCGTCTCGTCTTTCGTCATCTGCCTCCATACTGTAGCCGATATCCTCTATCTAATGCCTGCTTTGCTACCTATCATACCTATGGTTCGTGGATATCCTACTCGCACAGATACCATTTTCACTACATACTCACCGCTTAATCGCTTAGCAGCTAAATGACTCTGCCACTGACGAATTTAGTCAGCATCGACTGACACGGTCAAATCAGGTCAGACTGGTCAATGCCAAAACTGATTATTATTAGTCGGAAAACTACAGACTTATTTGCTGTTGGGCGTTTTTGTGTCCCTGACTCGACATAACAGGTTTCTTTATTTGGTGATTGTTAAGCATTACCTTCGCTGCTTTGAAATTCATCTCAATAATCAAGTTGTAATTGAATTCGAGATAGTCAGGACACACAGAAAAACAGACAGTCGTGTTAATTTTGCAATCAGTCGGCACCTGAGTTACTTTATGGATGTAGGAATTATCTCGACATCGCCCTTGGATCAGTCACCGCATGGCATAATGCCTTCCATCTACACAAACCTGCAACTCCATTGAACAAGGCTAAGTTAGATAAATTCTTCTCATTCCCCCATCAGGCATCGCAAAACCGATGGAAAGCCCTGAATCTCAACTCAACCAACCTCTCAGAGCTCTACCAACGGTCAGTATCATTTTGCTTTACATTCCGTTATAATATTTACCAGGGTAACGCCGCTATTTACATTCAATTACAATTTACCACAGGACTCTCCACATCTTTCAACAGATTCAAACCCGAATTTTCGAAGAGTAACGCGTTCCCAGACAACAAGTCGCCTAACTGTTCGTTGGAGAAAGCATCGCAGAGGTGACCGCCCAGACACGCCATACAGTGGATCTCGTGCTTCTCTCAAACGATCCTTCGACCCGCGGAAGGTCAACGACGAAAGTGACGTGGAGGAGGATCAAGACCAAAACTACGTGCCGTCGAAGCTTCTACAAATGGAATATACCACGTTGATCCCGGAGTGGTCTCCCATTGCAATGGTGGAGGATACCCCTCAGTTAAAGGAAGTCACGCCTCCATTCGAACCTAGTGGCAGCATAATACCCGGGAAATATACTTTCCTTGACACCTCGTCTTCCCCGTTTACTTCTGAACGTCGTGGACCGAGGATCCGCACGCCCCTCCCTATTCCCGTTCCGAATTTGACAAAAAAGAGTCGCGGTCGTCGCGTCCCTACCGCCGGCGACGAAGCCATAGTAGAAGGCGAAACAGCTAAGGGACGTAAGGGACGCGATTATGTTTGTGAAGTGGAAGGCTGCGGTAAGTGCTTCAGCCGTGGGCGGCAACTCAGTCGGCACATCCGATCTATCCATACACATGAAAAACGTGAGCCTCTTTTTTGTATTATCGCCTGGCTGGACTTTGTTGATAGCATTCACCACGATCAGCGTTCGACTGTCCTCACCCCTCGTGCAACAAACGTTTCAACCGGAATGATAATTTACTTCAACATCTACGCGTCCACAAGGGTGATAGCTCTTCTCAGACCTCCGTTAATTCCGCACATCCAGCTACTACAGCAGAATCTGCTCCTGATAATGGCAGCTCCCCGGCAGCGGCTCAGCGTGCCTCCTCATCTCAGGCGAGCAGCACTCGCAGAACAGTCCGCCCAGCGCGCAAGGCTAAATCGGCTGCGTCCATCTCACCAATCCATCCGGCACGCCTTGCTGCTTCACGAGTAGCGAGCCGAAATGCCTCTCTTACTCTTCCACACACCTACTCTCTTCCTCCGCTCACCTCTTTGACATCTTCTCATCACAACCACGCTATATTGGTCTTCATGAGCAATACCAACATCGCGTTCTCCTCCCTCCGGACCGCTATGGATGAAGCTGAGGAAACAGAGGTTTCTGAGGACGAAGGTTGCCATAGCCAGAAAATACGCAACCTCAGTGACCCACGCTCAATGTACAACTTCCGCAACCCTTTCAGCTCTGCTCCTCTAGGTGCCTAGGACAAACGGCAACCGTGTACCTGTCTCTGCAGGACTCCAACCGTCTTCCAACCCTTCGCCTCCATCCATGTCCCGCACAGGTCCTGCTCCGCCAACCGGGCAGCCTAAATCCAATGACCACGCTGTTATTCCCGTGCCCTCCTCCATGGAATCGTCACTGTGGATATACATTGATTGTCTCATATGTTGGCCATCCTTATGGGCCGTTGTCTTGTATGTCTTTCTTGCCGCCTGACCTTCATTGATGCATTACATTTACAAAATCGATTTAATATATATTAACCTTGCCCCCCTCTATCCTCTGCAGTTAAAGCTTGTCTTTGCGTTTGTTCCGCGATCAATTGAATCAGCTTTCGATTTCCTCCTCTCGCGGCTTCACATGCTTTTTTATCTAGGTCTCTATAGCCATAATTGCAGGTACGATTCGTTTATGGCATCGCCTATGTTGTCTTTGTCTTGTTCTTGTTCTTCTTGCGATACCTGGATGGCCGTAGTACAAATTGTTTGGACAAAACTATAGTTTGGATGCAAGATGACCAGCTAGTTCATTGCGATGAGTACGTCCCTCGCAAGTATATACCTGAGTATTGAGGGAAAGCATGCGTCATACGGCTCCACAGTATTGTATACAATATATGTCAAATAGCTTCCAGACATATCTTCTGGTGGATTGCGCAGACTTTGTCGGGCTTCTTTTTTTTTAATCCAGTTTTTTGTCCATTGAGAGTGATACTCTATGTAGGACAGTACTATCTAGTCTTGGAGCCCCGTGCTCCATGCTCTCCCTCGGAATTCCCAAATGCACTGGTGTAGGGCATACCCCCACCAGTCCGTCGTTCCCGCCGGCCGTTTTAGATGGGCAATTGAATAAGGAGGAGACGACTATAAGTAAGTATTGCGTGAGGAGTGGTCTAACGTGAGAAGGGATAACGCATGCTCGGCCGCTTGCGCGGACCAAACAGAGATCGGGTGAGGTGTGCAACATAAAGGTAAGTAATCCGGGGCAGGGAAGCGCGAACATGCTTCGAGGCCTTGAGACAGGGTTGGCGTGCACTATGTGCGTCAATGGTTACTTTGGTTTGTTGGTTTAGACCCCAGGACAGTGCCGGTGATCTCGTGTGAACGAGCTGATGTTTCGATATTAGGTGGGAGTAGGTTGTTGGGTATATTGAGTGATTATGGCGGATTAATGGGAGTCTAGTGTAGGCGTGTCTTTCGATGATCTATACAGGGATTGTCAAACTGCTTAAGAGGTAGGCATATGAAGTTCACCTAACGCGGATTTCAACCGATGTGTCGCGTTCACATATCTTGCTAGATGGGGTTTGTCGGGCTTGAATGCACTGAAGACAGTGTGAAGCAAACTGCGGTTGTAGAACAAGACGAGCTCGTGTTCCTTCCAATCGTGAGATATGCTGCAAACCCAGGTTCAAGGATCATCCAGGTCTTTGACGCATCTACGTCGAAATAAATCATGTGAGCACTATACAAACCTACTCCGATCGAATAAGCTCTTGAAATTCCTATGATACAACGAGGGTAGTGTCCTCCAGATGTCGGAAAGGATGCTTTGGGTGAACAGCGACTGCATGATCATTCTGGAGGAGCTTCCCTGTAAGGTTGCAAAAGATATAAGCATAGAGAACTGGAGCAAGAGAAATGATACTCATGATGTACAGCACGTTGTCACACCTGCAGGAAAGCTGGTAAGAGCGTCAGCAATGGACCAATGAAGCTCGTACCTGATGAGGACTTTGCCCAGAGCACCATTTGATTTCCCACCTTGGAATTCTTCTATGTTAGACAGCTATCGGTGTATTAGAGATCCACTGGAATACGAATCAAACCTGATGTCCATACCTGCAGGTTCATGTACGCCACCGGAATCTTTTGAACTTGAGCCACTATTTTAGCCTTACAAATCAGAACCGGCTTCCTGGTAAGCTCCTACATGAAGGGATTGCTTTAAAGCTCAAGGTCAAACTATAGAATACGTACTCGTAGACGTTGGTAGAATCACTTGTTTTGCACTGTCTCCTTTCAACGCGTACGTCGCGCTTTCCAGAGGGCATGTTCGCGATTCGATCCGGTTACTCAGAGACTTTGATCATGACTTACGGATAGAAGACGAGAGAATCAGTCAACTTGTAGAAGAAACTGAGAAAATAATCTCAGAATGTCATTGAGTGAGCAGACACGGGCAGCTAGAAATACATTGTGTGCAGTCAAAAATCGATGACGCCGGTAAGGAGAAAAGTAGGCGTTTGGCCGATGCTGTCTCGGACTGGAACGAGCGCGAGAGACGAACGGTAGCACACTGCACCGTTGAATATATAATTCGATTATAACGCCTATAGGGCTTTCAGAAAACGAGTGTTCTGATCAAGGATGACATCCATGCTCACCGGTTTGCAACTTTGTATTTTAGGAGCAAGAACTGGAGGAACAGCGTTTGAAACTAGATTGGTGCATGTAACGCCCCAGATACGCGGGACCCGTGCGCAGCGGCGACATCTCAGACGGAGCTCGAACGGAGTTTTGAACGTGAACATCGACAAGACTATATACTGGAAATAAACAATAAATGTCAGTAAATAAATCGGCCCGAAGGCAGTCGGCGATAAATAAATTTTAAGCTCCGCAAGTTCTGTGTCTGCAACGCCGACCCCTAGTTGATAAGAGATGTAGGCTTCAAAAAAGGCAAAACAAGAAACACTACTACATAAAACACAACCTGTGACATAAACATGTCAGACCGCGAAGGACGCTTTGAAGCTGGGTTGTCGGATGAAGATCTGTCGCTGCTGAAGGAAACGGTCGCAAAGGCGGTTAGTGGCATGTCTCGGAAGCACTTTTCCGACCTCTTGAACTGTTGGTTGTTTTCATTACCTGCCTGGCTATAGAACTACTACCATCTGAGGTTACATGTACGAAGGAGACACAAGATCTAGTCATAGAGTGTTGTGTAGGTGAACACCGTCAATGCTTCCTATACCTCACATTTGGTAGAATTTATTTACTTTTATCTCGCCGGAGGACATGTGTGAGCATCCCGCATCTGCACAGTGACGCAGTATCTTCCCCAATGTATCTGAGTGGCCCCTGTGCCCGCACCGGTCGGTCGGTCCTCCAGTGAGGCTAGTAGACTAACTTCCAATATCCACACCAGCAGTGTCAAGCTGGAATAAGACGTATACGACACCGAGATCAAGTCGATGCGACGCCTGTTATGACTGATGGTGAGAAGGCACAAATTTTTCTTCGACAACTGTGGATATGGGGTGTCTACTCATGATGATGCGCTGGTTTGCTACTGATCGAAGATATGGCTTATATTCAGTGTGAAGTAATATAGACTGGTATACAACGATTCTGCACCTATTAGAGCAATAATATCGAACAATATCAAGATAAAAGCAAAGGTCCACATCAGCAATTGTCTCGTCGACTAATATCAGTGGAAAATAAATATTACGACTATTTATTCCCTAACTTACAAACATTGCTTCTAAACCTCCCACCATTTCTTGCAAACCTTCCACCATGTCCATAAACCGCGTTCGCGTAGCTCGGATGATTCCCTCGCAACCCAGACCCGCAATATTGAACTCCACAAAGTGCAGCGCCTGCATTTCAGATGACGAGCCAGAATGCAGGAGCCAACCTGGGGGTACTTGCTTCAAGTGCATAGAAAAAGAGAATGTGCGCTGCTCATTGAACAGTGAGTTTGACTCTCATACCACTTACTTATTCATGACCCCACCCTGATTTTTCAAAGATCGCTCAAAATCAGAACATGAATCAACTGAGGCTGCTACTGCTGGGCCAAAGAAACGCAAACTAGAGAATAATTTGCAAGTTGAGTTCACAGGGATCAAGCGGAAGAGGATTCAAGAGATGATCGACAACATAAAAGAGGACATACAGGAGTTTGAGAGGTTGGAGGCCGAGTCGTACAAAGTCCGCCTAGCGTTGGCGAATACTTTGCTAGCATTGGAGAATTTTTCGATGCCGGAGACTCAAAGGAATGAGTAGCTTCAGTTATCACGTCGTTTTCTCTGCCTGCATTAGGCTTATTGTGTATCGGCCTGTCCTAGTTCACAGTAGCACTCATCAGAACTCGTGCTCCCGTGCAATGCCGGAAGCTCTCGTCAATTCACAACCATTTTGAGCAGATCCTTGGAGAGGGAGACGAAGCTGTTGGCACGGTACAAGACGTTGCAATGGAGAGGGAGATCGTTGGTGATGGCATGTTGCATTCAATTCGGTTGATGGACCCTAGTGACCTGCTTGCAGAACTACAAAGCCTCCTCCGCATTCAATGTGAACCACCCGTATCAATCATACAGGAGAAACTCTCCGATCCAGCTCGTCTCGCGTTGCTAAGAGCATACAATGCAACACAGCCACAGGTTCACTTCATTCTCGATCGTGGCCCTCCTCCACAAACTGTTCCTCTGCATGACTATGCAGTCTTCTATCGTTACGGACTTCTCGATGGTCGCCGCATCACACCAGCATCTCAAAGCAAGCGCACATCTGCAGGGTCTTCTCTTGTCAAGGTTGATTATGATGGACGTTTGTGGTATGGTGAGATCATAAATATCTTGCGACACCCGGAGCATGGCGTGCCTGGTACAGTGACCGAAACCTTACTTGCGGAGTTTCGCTGGATGAAAGAAGCACTTTCTCCTGTTAACAACGATCCATGGAGTGACTTGCAAGTATCTGCTTTGTTCACCTCATTCAATGCACTCACTTGTCATTTTCAGCCCAGAACTAGATGTTGTTTGTTTCGCGATCAATGAATATTGGCAACCTAATGAGCAAGGTTGTCCACCTATTGTCCTGCCTTTTGATCGGATCATTTGTCACACATATGGATAATGACATCGCTTGATCGTGTACGTGACTTGCTGGTCCTATGAGGAGCTTTATTAACTTGAAACATGAACAGTATCTTTCATAATATACATGTGTATCTAGAGTCCATGATCTCACAGTCCATGCTGATATGCGAACAAGGTATGCGTCCATCACAACAAAAATCTAGCTTACTGGTTCCTCCTCATCATGTCGTGCACCCAACTTCGGCTTGGTCTTGATCACCTTGTCCATTGGTTGCTGTGCCTTCTTCAGCTCCCCCCATGCCATCAGTTTCACGTTCACCACCCCCGTCTGTCGCCATTGCATCTTCCTCGGTGTCTGTGTCTCCCTCCCTAGCTGCAGCACCAGGTTCTTCAACATGGACAGGGTCTCCATATTTGCCCCAGTCTTTGAGCCGTTCTTCAAGGAGACGCTCCTTTCGAGCTTCATTGAGCCACTTGAGATTGATTCCGAAGTCGTATGGTGATACCTTCGGGATGTGACCGGACCCTCTGACTGGAATAGCGAACTTCTCGCGTTCATTTGAGCTCTTGGTTGTCCACCAAATGTCACGTAAGTCGTCGAAATTTTTTGATTGCTGCATGATGTCCTGTTGAGTCATTGTATAGAAGAAGATTTTCAAGCACACCTGAGTGCTCCTCCACTGCGGCTTGACAACTTCAAGAAACTTGAGGTGAGATATTGGGTTCTCTGCTGCAAATCCCGCCGCTGTTGCCATCCTTTGTCATCATACGTTTCCGCATCGTCCTCAGGACCAGAGGCTTCATCGGACATGTGATCTGGAATAACGAAGGGAGATGGATCAGTGCCATCATGTTGCACCTTGAACTGATCGATGACATCTCCTGCTAGCAAATTGCTGGCTTTCTGGATCTTCTCGTCAGCGAGGCTCACAACAAATGTAAGTGGATGTTACCTCTTTTCGACGGTTACTCCGTCGAGTGTTATGCTGATTAGTGGTGTGTGCTAGCACACCTTGAGGATCTGTTTCGGCTTTCGATTTTGACTTGAATCCGCGGAATGTCTCTTTTGCGAAGACAAGGAGGGTCGATCTATTCCAGTGGATGGTCTTTGATTTGAGACATCTTAGCCAATTTTCTGTTCTCATAGTGAGTTGAATTGAAAGCTTCGAACTTGTCATGAAATGCACTAACCTGCATTCCATATCACATCTGCAGCCTTGCGGAAGATTTCGACGTTTGTCGGATCCTGCACGTCGCCAGCAAAATCTGGTGTGTAATATATCTCATCTGTATCTGGGTTTCTTCGTTCACCCTCTGATGGTAAGGGCCACTTGTCCTTCGTCTTCATACCACAAATCCTACGGAAGGTTGTCGTAATGTGCGTCTATGGGAGTTATTTTTTTTGTTCGTTCCAACAATCCTTGGCAGCGTACTCACTTTTAAATATTTTCTAGCATCTTGTCCAGTCTTTGATAGTGAATTCTTTTGACTTCGTGATATCTTCACGGGTCTAGTCTTCATCATCCGTGCCCTCTTCATCGTCAGACTGGGCTGCAGCTCTCCGATACACACCCCGACGTCTTGCAATAGCAGCACCGCCTCTTCCGAAAGCTCCAGTTGGTCTTGTATGACGACTGGGTTGGATTGTACGAGAGCCTTCAAGTGCATCGAGCCTTGCACGGTCTTCAAGCTGATCTTCTCGGCTGCTGCGCAGAAGCTCACTGACATCCAAGTCATCCATTTCCGGTGGATCATAAGTCCGGTTTACACTACTTGACAACGGGCGAGAAAGACTATCATCTGAACTTTGTGACGACGAACGTTCAGAACGCGAGCCTATGTGCGATCGTCTCCCATTTCTTTCCCGTGGAAGAGGGGATCTATAGCATCACTGGTTGATCTGTCTGGAGAGAAATTTGAAGATACACAGATAGGATTTACAACCGGGAATGATGGTTCAGACATGAACTTGTCGAGCCTCATCATGGCCAATTGCACGTTCAAAGTGTAGGTGTCAAATTTCTCGTATTGCCTGCTATGCTTACTAGTGCTCCCAGCGGGGAAGGAATTGGTGTGGGTGCGCAACGTGGGGTTTTTTTCCTTGGCAATCAAAACTGTTCTCGACGACCGTTATATGTGGCAGGTCACTAACAATGAGGGATGCCCTTCAATCATTCATTCCCTTTGCCTCCGACAGTGGAAGGCTCAATCGTTTCAAAATGCATCGAACGTTATGCGCTCTTCATATCCTCCGTCTTTATCTGCCTCCCATGCCATGCTCTACTTTTTTATTATGTTACGCCATCTGGGGTTTTGACGCCCTCGTTGATCCTGCCTTTGTTCAGAAAATTTCTCCAGATACTGCTGCATCCCTTGCCGCCCTACCTCTTGATCTGGCGCAGACTCTGGACCACTCTCTTACAGGTCCTCTGTTTCCACCCCCTTGCGACTTACTCTGACATTCAAGTATGTGTTGCCTCAACTTGTTTATCATTAGTAGCTAACAGCACTACAGCTGACACAGCTGCCTGCTAACATGTCGGTTGAGCAACGCATGGAACTTGTTGGACAAATCTATGCAAATGCGCTCCTTGGTTTCCCTCCCAGAGCCGCACTCCACATGTTAAAGGCGGTATTCTACTTTTGTCAAGGATTTGACGTCTCCTTCAGCAACAATGCGTTGTCGTTTTGTGATGTGAGTGCTAGTCGAACGTTGGTCTCACATAAAACTGACATGTAGCGATACCTTCCGCGAAGGATTTGTTATGTCTACTGTATGATCAGTGCATCACGTCGCCTAGCCAAGTCATAGAGCGTCTGGAATTCGAGACTGCGCTGGTCAGACCATCTGACGGCGCTGAGGTTGACATCGTTGACTCAGACATTGAGAATGCCTTCATCCTACGTCTTACTCGTTACCTGCAAGACAAGGGATATCCTAACCATCCTTTAATTTCAGAATATGTGTCTGAGAGGAACAGTCAGGAAGGTAGCACGACCTTCAGGGATATGCAGATGTTACTCTCTGTGTCTGGGAATTGCTACCTTCCCACTGACACCATGCAGAAAATCATCGTACGTCCCTTTTGACCCACGTATGGTTGCCATATTGATGCTACTGCAACTGCCCCTACGGTCCTCTCATGATCTTCAAAAGTTCGTGCTTGGAACCATCCTGGTCTCTCTCCTTCTCGCTCATGACTTGTTGATCTCTACATCAGTCAGTGAAGGCACTCTTAGGACGTGTGTATTCTTTTGCCTCATAGATCCCGCGATGCTGACTTCCTGTGGCAGGGCCTAAAATCTGTGTGCTGATAGCCATCCTTTCTCTCAGCCTTCTTGCCCATTGCTTGTTGATATTGGTGAAAGCGCTTGTGGTATGTGTGTGTTCTTTTGTCTCTCATATCTCGTAATGCTAACTTCTCATGTGCACTAACATGTCTATGATTTTGACCCGTTGCTTGCAAAGCTGCCTGCCGCACCAAAAAGCACGCCACCACAGTCATATTGGCTGATTTCTTCGATCGGTGTGTCGAGCATTCGCTGATGAATGTTCACTGCTGACGTTTTGTTCACACATTTGTCCAATGCCTCGTTGACTATTGGCTGTGTGCATTTGCGGTGTACAGTGAGCAGGTCGCCTTTGCTCTATGTGGACCGTTGTCTTTCACTGGCATCGCTCATCTCAATGTCGAGGCGACGATGTTTGGATCATCTAGCGATTTGCATCATGCCCTTTGCACTCTGAAGCACACCCTTTTGCGTTCGTCAGTAGCCTGAATGTATGTGTGCCTTGATAGGTACCCGAACTCATCGCAAGCGCTTGCTGACGCTGTGCTTTACAACTCTACCACCATTTTTCCCTTTCTGAGAGAGAAAAGACGGTAACGAGCTCGATGGGACTGACGGCTCACTGCCACTATGGATCTATGTAGTTGCCATGCTAATTTGTCATGTAAAAACGTGCTACGTCGGATATATTGATCTATTGGGCCCATGGCAAGCTGCAATTGTACATGCGTCCACTGAAGTTCCGGAGCTCTTTCACCAACAAGTTTAGCTAGATGAACAGTGGGAGAAATGACAAAGTTGTCGAGCGACAGCTTCAGAGATTTCTCTCTCGCAGTAAGAGAAATTGCTCTTCCAAACCTCAGACACAGCTCCTCTGACCTTCTAACGGCCTTCCTATGATTCGCAAATGCTCCTTCTTGTGCCCCAGTCCAATGAATGACATCCTTGCGCATTATGCCTGCTGATGTGACCGCCATTTGACTTTGTATATCGAGACCAAGAGTATGGCAGGCTTTCTGCACTGTAAGATAACGAGTGTACGCAGTATATGCAGAGCCAAATCCAGGCTCAGATAGCAGTCGAATTTCATGGCGTTCAGTTTGAAACATGGCACTAAGGTATCTGAAGGGATCCTTGTATTGCGAGAACAATCAGTACAAGTGTTATAGCTAGCACATGGAGATTTTCACAGACGTACGACAGATCAACAGTCTTGAGTCTTTTCGGCATCATAGGAAGAGCTCTGGATCATTGCCCGCAAAGACACCATCCGCATGGCTTCTCCGAGGGATCCAGCAGCCACCAGAGGTGCAGACTTGATATAAAATATGGATCCTGTTGAATACTGGTTATTCAGAGCGGTCTCATAGTAGTCTGAGACATGTGGGAGTGTTGACATCGAGGTGTGAGGTCTCTGGTGAGTATAACGCCTGTTTGACAGGTGTACGCAGAGATTCGATTATCAGATATCAAGTTCAAACTTGTATTTTTGCAGCGTGAGACAAGCCTGGCTTCACTTAGAGGTAGACGGCTGAGTTAGACGTCAGCATGAAGTATGTACATAGAAAAAAACACCCACCTAAGAATAAAACAAAATTTCAACGAGATCAGAATTAAATGTAGCATAAGTATGCTGACTTCTGCGGGCTCATAGAGCTCGCACGGAGGCCTCCAGACGTAGCAGGGCTTTCACCTACAGAAGTCAGAAGAAAATAAAAGCGAACGTTCCCAGGGCGCCCTTTGGTGTTCAGGGACCGAGCCGCGCAAGTTAACAGCGGGCGCTCACGAATCAGTGCCTAAGCGACTGAAAGTGTCCACAGAATGCGGAGCCGCGGTGCGTGTATCAGCGGCTCGTATGAGTGGACGCCCAATGGTACTGACTGAGCAAACAAAAAGACCAAGTTCGACATTTTGGTTTCGAATGATCACGTAGTTTATATATAAACATTTAACACAATCAAAGGTAACGAACTATGACGAAATTGACTCAGCATGCCCTTCGGGACGCAAACTCGACGGTGGCATAGTCCGAATCAGCTTTCAGCGCCCATCCCTCATTGACAGGCTATATTTCCAACGGAATTGCCCTCTGCTGAAATGGCTGTGTCCCGGATGCTAGGGCAGCATTTGATGTGTACACGGACCGAGATTCAGAAATCATTCTTTTTCTGCTCTTGATCAAGGTATGTTACGTTTGCCTCCCATACTCTCCGCTTCATTCCATGTTTCGGGCCGTCACTTTTTTCAGTGCAGATCAATATGACCAGGTAAACCTGCTCCTCAAAGAACTCGCTGCTGGTTGTCCGAATTCCGATGCCAGGCACGTTTCCGTCCGTTACTGGTATGCCACAAGTCGAGCACGTCTCGTCCAGATACTAGCCATCTTCTTCTTTTGAACAAGGTAGGCCAAATTCGTCTTGCATACTCTCTGCTTCATTCCGTGTTCCAGGTCATCGCCCTCTTCGACGCAGATCAACGCCAGGAAGCGACGCTCGTGAAAGAACTCGCTGCCGTTTGTTCGTATGCCAATCCTCTCTGGCGTCGTATCGTGGAAGTAAGTATCATGCGGCCATGCTCGGTCATCAAAACTGATCTTTGTCACTCGTATACCAGACATATCTACGCTTTCAACTCAGAACCAAAGTCTTGGATGGCGCGCGTCACGACGAAGCTACTGAACACCTCACTACCGTTGTTGACTCCAGCGTTTTCTCATCAAAAATAATTCAAATACGAGGACTTGACTATGGTACGTCAACACGATGCATACATGACTCTTTTCATAACTGAGCGCTTTGTCCAGCTCTTCGGCTGAGATCTCAGGCCCTTGTTTCTCACAACACGCCAGAAACGGTACCAGGCATTCCTATCGGCAGGTAGTCACAACAAAGCCCTCGGAGCACAAAAACACGATGAACACCATTGACGAATTTATGAAGGCCAACTGCCCTGCTTGGTCCAACGGCAAATTTTCACTAACATCACTCACGGCTACTATACCCATCCCATTTCACTCAGAATTTAAGGAATGATGTAGTGCGCTCTCAGCTCACAACGACCATATTCTTGGTGTATGTGCCCTTCTTCAACTCTTTCGATACTGATCGTTTATGCAGGCAGAGATCCCGGGCAAGATCAGGATGGCTACGATGCAGAACTTAAATTCTTCCATGGAATGCGTCAGTTACAACCTCATGCCCTTCATTTCTCTCTCGCGTCGTTCATTAATTCATTCCCATATTTCCCAGCCAACCTCAACAGTGCCATAGATGTCACGAAAGACTCCGGCTCACTATGATGAGAACCCTTCGTTCAGCTCCCTCACCCATACCACCCACCACCTTACCACACACGCCATCTTGCCACAACCACCCGCCTTACCACCAGTCGCCACCTTACCACCTTCAAGTTCAAAGCTCACCTATGATACGCATTCACCTGGCCGCCCCGTCATGCAACGTCTGTGCAGGGTCTACAGGCGCGCCCGGTCGATTTTTACCACTGTATCTTGGGTGTCTCATACTTAAATTCATCAATATATATGAAACCTGCCTGTTGATTGTGCCATTGTATGTAAAAACCCAGTTTCTGATCCAGCTCGTCCACAACATGGGGCTGAATGTTGTGGGATTTAAGCATGACTCACATGAATTAATAACACCAGGTTTTGACATTGATTCATTCGTCTTGTTGCCAGTTTCAGCAACCATACACTCAAGATCATACTTTGGCTCGAAATCTGGTACGGGCTGGATGATTATGTGGAAGTAGGCAAAAAAAAAGCATCGCCATTGCCCCGGCTGGGCAGAGTTCCACATGGAAATGGCGGAGTGAGCCATGCTTGTCTACACGGCCGTGCTAGTAGGTCTTTGCATTGTCGCCAAGGGCTCCGAGCACCTAACACGAAAGGCAGATTGTGCGTGAGCTACCCAGAAAAAGCAACATGCAGCAGGCTGCTCGATGTGCTTACCGGCACTGTGTGCCCCAGCCGAATGTGGTCAATACAGGCTTCTGACAGGAACAAATCCGATATCTGCAGCATGCGGACCCCTTCACTACGATGGGCCGTTGCTGCAGCCAGTAGCAGCATCGCTCGAACACGCACACAATTGAACACAGCACCCGCCTGAGAATGCTGCAAGGCACGAACCGCCAAGGGCATCGTGTCAGCTCATCTGTGGTGTATGCATCTATTAAAACCAAGATCAGTGGGGCATTCATTGTGAGGGGAAAGGAAGAGCGGTCACCGGATGAGGAGCCTGAGGCCTTGAGGGTCTGTGAGCCTCCTGCACGTATCGGCTCATTGTGCTTGGCAGCTGATTCGAGCGCGCGGATCCTGTTGTCATCCCGGAGACCCATCTGAGCCCCTGCGATGTTCTTGTAGAGGTGGTGGTGGCTCATGCGTCAACATTCGAGGGCACTGATGTCCTGTTGGACAACAGACTTCCCGACATTCGAAACTGGAATTGTTTCGTTTGACCCTGGTCGACGCTGGGCAGATGAGGAGGTGAGTTAGTGGTATAAAAAAATACGAAACAAATCGTGGATGAGCAGCTGACCTTCTCGCGCATTGTCTCGTGGTCAAACGTGGCAACCTTGGCTGCTGTGGCCGGAAATGCTGGGGTGGTGGTGCAGGTCGGATCCTCGGCGACACACTTATCCCGGAAGAGGTCCCGGTATGCACAGTAATTGCGCACATGGGGCACGTACGGACTGCTTGTCACCAGCGGTGCAGAGGTGGACCTGATGCGAGGCTGCATCGAGGAATTAGAGGGAGCTTTCCAAACCTGCGGAGGATGAAGGAGGGATCCCTCCGATTGCCCATGCCAGTGGCGAAGCCTGTACTGACATTTAGGCAGGATCTGGCATGGGGATGAGTCCTTCCGTGAAATCGATGCGGTTTTCAGAGGTGAGACAACAGTCTCAGGGCTGAAATAACTAGTCCAACAAGTTTCCCAAGTTTATAGGAAGCTGACAGAGTGTACACGTTGAGGGTGGCTGGACAGAAGACACGAAAAAAACTGCTCAAAAGCCCCAATGAACAATCGCTCTTAAGAATATGCTATTCCTATCATCAATAGGGAGTTTTTTCCAAGTGATTTATTGAGAAATTTAGTAACTTATGTGCTGTCAATTGTACACTTAAGTGAAGCCACGAATTTTCGACTGACGATTTCGACAAAAGCCCTTACACACTTGAAGAGCGTCGAGTTCAGAAAACCCGCCGAATAACTAGACATGGAGAGATTTCTTCAGCCAGACGTTCTCGGATCCATACGACGTGAAAGAGTACAATGTTCACTGCGGAAACTACCAAATAGCCGGACAGGGATAGCGTGGAGTTGGCAACCTTACGCAGAATTAGATCGCAAGAGACACCTTTTGGAATCCGAGAGATCCGAGACGAGGAAGACCGACGGATCCGAGATAGGGACAGGGGATGAGTGAGAGGTACGAGCTCAAGCCAAAATGGACTAAGGCAAGCGATGTATTGACGTCGACTCGCGTCCTGGATTATTTTATGCCTCGCATTCATATCTAACAGTAGTTAGGCTACTTACTTTAAAGTACCCGTTGTAGCGCCCGAACATCTCAGTTCCTTCAAGAGACTGAGATGTAGGTCTAAATCGTTACCTACATTGTACAACGTCTAACGTATAGTAGCTGCTTGTCCTTATAGGTAGACGAATCGTTAATAAGAGCTCCTTCAAGAGACTGAGATTCACTTGTCCTTATAGACTCCTCGCCCCTCCCGCTCTTATTAGCGTCGCAACACCGTTACAGAGCATATGGCGAATATGATCTATGAGTTTCGAAGGGCCTGCTATGTTGCCTGGGTGCCCAATCTGATGTAGGATCAAATTGGAATCCTTGGATCCTCAGATCTGTTTTTAGTCAAGATTTAAACAAAAGCATGTCTGATTATACTCTAAGTAGACAAATCTTAGATCTACACATGTGTTGACTGCGTTTTGCTACCCAATGCTTTCATATATCACCGAATTATGCCGTGATCGGTTTATTTCTTCTTGGTCATCAGCCTTCTGCTGACACAGAGGCGTCTTGATCAAGACGCCCACCTCCACTGATGGATGTGGCAATCAACAAAGCATACCCTTCGGAGTCGCGCCATCGCTTGCATCAGACTGAACAGAGTTTTTACCTACAGTAGACACCCCACTGCTCATGTTAGATTCCATTTACTGCGCTCCCGGAAGGATCATCCTGTGGGACATCATGCATGCCCTCATCATGCCGTTTTACTTCACGGCCGCTTTCCTTCAGAGCTTGTTCTTTATAACCTCACGTCAGAGCAAGAGGTACAATGATCTTGTAACACTCACCTGTCTGGAGCTGGTATCTGCGCCACCAACCACCAGCCTCCTTCAGCACACGCTTGATAGAGATGCGATCCTCAACGACGGTCTTGCCAACCCAATGCCATACCGGCTTATATTCTTGGGGGCTGATTCTACCCAATGAGTGCCAGAGAATCTGATCGTTCGAATTCCAATCTGCCTCCGTCGTGCTGTGTCGGTGAATATATCCCTGGAAGATCAGCCTGGCCTCCAAGGTGTCGAAAGGATTTCCTTCATCTGGAATGGAAGGTCCTCCGATGTGAGATGTAGGCGACTAGGCATAAATAGGAGTAGGTAAATACCTTTCCTGTCCAAACTGGTGCATTGTTCTTTGTCGAGATGCCATTCCTGCATCAAGTACTCGACGAATTCCCTCCAGGTGCTTTCTCCTAGCCAAAGTTTGCTCACCACCTGCTTCAAATCATCCCACTCGGCTTCGTCAAGAATATTGGCTATGCTCCTCACGTCATTCTCGAAGTCTTCCACCTTGTCATATGTTGGACTTCGCCTAAGAGCAAAATCGAAGAAGGCGATGGGCGTACCCGAAAAATCATGACCTACGTTATGCAACATTATCAGCAGCTTAAAAGCAACCACGCAGAACGGCCGTGTTACCTACGCTGTACCACCGCCATTGCTTTTCGCTCCAGAAGAACGGACAAGGATGATGTCCCTCATACCAGCAATCCGGCAAGTCTTCGTCATCCTTATAACGGGTCTCGAAAAAGTCACTGGGCTCCTCTAATTCCTTGAAGGCCTGGGGTTTGATCGTAGATTCGAAGGTCTCGCGAATGGCATGAACACGTCCGTTGATCCAGAGTTCCATTTCTTGTGGGAGCGACAGCATTGCATGTCCATCATCCTCCACCGCCAAGTCCTGCGCTACACCCCCGTGAGTCATCGTTGAACGCCACGGGATGTAAAGAGCTTACTAAAAAATGTCTCGTTTTGGGGGATGATGGGGTCGGCATCCAAGTATTCTGGCCCATCAATCAATGCCTCGTCATAGGTCACATTCCACCAGCCCCGGAGCATCCGGACTTTGACCTCATTTAGAAGGGAAACGTCCTCCTTGCCAGGATCTGTTATATAATCCAATTTTACTAACTGCAGCACCACCAGCCTTCTGGCGAGCATCAATTGGGTAACCATCGATCCAGTGTTTTGCCGGCAGATCCTCACCATCTGAGCTGTGATTGGTTGCATTGTCTTTTTACCCTCCTGTAGCCAAAGTTCCCAGATGTTGGTGTGCAGAACGATATTGTAGCAAAGCTCGAGCCATACGTCTTTGTACCGCTGTGGCAGGGGTACGTACCCGCGCATCCTCCCACCCTTCATCACAGGCACCCGGCATATTTTGTACGACTGCCTTGTTTTTGGATCGATGACGTCCACCAATTCCGGCTCGCGGTAAGTGATCCGAGCGTCGTCGTTCGTCAGAGATTCGTCCATAAGAACTTCTGCGTGAACGATGGGGATTTCGAACGACCTCACTGGTTGCTGGAGTGAAACGACTATTGTTCTGCTCGTGCTAGCGATGTACAGAGGCTGCGACCCCTTGCTAGTGTCCTTTCTCCTGTCCTTCGCCGTGGACTGAGGGGCTGCTCTACCGACCTTGGCAGCTTTGCATTTGCTGGATCTAGTGCGTGACATTTCAATGTATAGATGAGAGCGGAAGAAGCTGCAGTTTAAGTAGGTGCTTGTATATATTGTCAATTTGTCACGTGTTCAACGCGTGACTCACTCGCTTCTTTCACGTTTGGTGACACTACAATCCCACATTAATCCCCGCTCAGTTGACAACTACCTGTCCGGAATCTGCAGTATCTTAGAGGAATTTTATCCTCATGCTCGCCAAAATCGATGTTCTCGGCTTGTCTCGCAAACTCTGCGCGGGGTAAAACGGCGTCATGGAGTCCCTATTTGGCGAAAACTACCTTTTGCACGGTCAGACTTGCAAGCCACATTCACGTCGTTACCCTCTCCTCCTAGCCACGATGATCTTCTCTTCGTGGCTCAACTCTTTGACGGTTTGATAGCCTCCTCAGACTTGGGGAGCTAGTATGGCCGGACAACAAATCCGTGCAGTCCCTCGACAAAGTCACCTTGCGCACTTTGGTAGTGGTCGAGGATTCGTATCACTCATGTGTGCTTCGCCTTCACAAATCGGATGTCCAGTTCGAAGGGAGTACTATCGTCATCCAACGTGCTGAATCTGCAGATCCACATCACGTATTTATGGTCTACATTGCGTCCCGTCATACTCGGTTTCCTTTCAACAGTTTTCTATGGCTACGCACTGATGGGTCTATTCCCACGCGCGCGTGTTTCATCGCTCGGCGGCGAACCTTGTTTCCTGATTCAATATCGGGACACTCTTTGCGGGCCGGGGGAGCTACATCTCTGGCGGCTGCTGGAGTCTCAGCAGACTGCATTCAAGCTATGGGTCGTTGGTCTAGTGACTCTTTTCGAATTTATGTACGAAAAAATCCCGCGCTGCTTCACGCCCTCATTTTGAACGGCCCGTCGATTCATGATTCTGTTTCGCCATTTCATTGTAATTATCAGCACCGTTATTCTTATTTCTTACTTTATTTCCAATGCTGACACTCCAACCACTTCCAACCACTTCCCAGCGCTATATATACAGTAGGTACAACTGAGTTTGGAGCTGTTTGCCCCTCGAATCCCATGGGGACCCTTTGCTCCTGTATCGCGGTCCTCGATTTGCTGGCTAAATCCCCATCGTCTGCGTTCCACGAGACTTGAGCGAGGACAATTGGAACATGTTCATAGCATGGTTTGAATCGCAAAGCTCTCTGCATGAAAATGTGTCACTGACCTGAAGCCACCGGCATCCACTGTCTCAAGCCTCACATGTCACCTTCAGCACTAGCCTCGTTTTCTACGACTGTGTTGGCGTTCTATCCCGAAGCGAGGCACGGGCGTAGGGTTAGATAAGGACTTTGTGCCAGCGTCAGTGCAGCATGTGACTGCCCTTGTCTCCGTGCCACGCCAGGCTCGGCCACGCTCCAGAAGGCTGCTGCACTCTGCTTTCTTTTCTTGCTATTTTCTTTTATTTCTTATTATCTGCTTCTTGCTGGTGTTTCCTTCTCGCACTTTCAACAGTCTTTCTCGGATCTCAAACCTCGGCCTTGAACTTCGGACTACCACCCTAAACACCAACGAACGAACGGCTAATACGTCGTACACCGTCACTATCTCATCCACTCTCACCATATCCCTAACAAATATAACTGCTAAACCCTGATGCATCAACATTTGGTGTACACCGTTGCTTATCGCCCTAAATCCTAACTAACGAACCGCTAACACATCAACATGTTTGTCAAAATGTCACCACCACATCCACACCCGTACGCCATCACCTGTCACCCTAAATCTTAACTAAAAAACTGCTTGTTGGAATCCAAGAGCTCCGAGACGAGGAAGGCCGATGGATCCAACTTAGGCACGACAATGTGTGAGAGGTACAAGCACAAGCCAAAATGCACAAGGGCGAGCGACACAGTGATTATTACTATCTATAAATTCTCGCCAACAGGTTGACATGTCTGTCACACTGTTGCCTATCACCCCAACTTTAAACTGCAAATGCATTGGCCTTGAAGAAGTCGACAGTCCACGGTAATGAAGAAGTCGACAAACATGCAAAGCTAGCTTCGGAAAGCAGATTAAACAACAGTTCTAACGCCCGACTACCACGTTATTTACGCCACCGTCCGCTACCACTGAGCGTATCAGCGCTCCGAGAAGCCCAATCCAAGTCCATAGAAGTACGCTGGAGTCATTCCTGGCGTCACTCCCCCCGCCACTACAGATTTGACCAAATAGACCCCCAAATCCTGAAGCGTTCATTCATCAAGCTTTCCGCCACCTTCTCCAAGCGTCTTACTAGCCTTTACATGTTCCCCCCGCACTGGCCACGCTCCACTCAACCTGCATCTATTTCGGATTCGAAAATCCGCCAGCCCCTACTGCGCACATTGCTCAGATGCAGAAGACACCGTGCATCATTACCTCCTAGTTTGCCCCTCCTACCAACGCGCACGCCTCTCCTTGATCAACGAACTAGGCCGCCGAGCATCGTCTATATCATTCATCCTCACCGACCCCTCCGCCACACCCCACCTCGTCAAATTCGTCAACGCCACTCGACGAATGAAAGCAATCCTCGGTGAAATTCCACTCCCCCGCACACCTGCTAGCTGACACCCATTGTAGACACACCATCGCCCACATCCAAGCTAGAACCCGAACCCCAAACCACCTACAATAAACACCACCATAATAACATCACCATAATACACTCGTCTACATGGAGCCACCGTCCCTCACATTGGTCTCAGTCAGCTGGCAGTAGAACACAACCATCCGTCAACCATGGTCACCATCTACTTCATTTACCCACCTGCAACCAACCACGACTCCTGTACCTGCCCGCGCAAGCGGCCGAGTACGCGTTTCTTTTTTTTATATCGATAGCCATTTATCACGTACGAACTTAGAGTCATCTCACCTCCAACGAGCAGCGCGTCTAAAACGGCCGGCGGGAACGGCGGACTGGTGGGGGCACGCTCCACACCAGGGCATTCGCGTGCTCAGAGTTGCGACAGGGACGCAGGGAGTCCCTTAGACTAGATAGTATTGTCCTCCATAGAGTATAACTCTCAATAGGACAGAAATTGGAAAGAAAAAAAAATCACCTATCGCCCAAACCCTAACGAACGAACTGCTAACACATCGACGTCGGTCATATACCACTTATCACCCTAAACCCTAACACGAACGAACTGCTAACGCATTGACATCGGTCGTACCACCCTAATCCCTAATGAACGAACTACTAACACATCAACGTGGGTCATATACCACGTATCACCCTAAACCCTAACGAACGACCTGCCAACGCATCAATGGTGGTATCACCTAAATTAACGAACGAGCTGCCATAGCGTCGCTTGCAAATTCTAGAATAGCAAATAAAATAAGCTCACAGCATGGCGGTCAGGTGACATTGGCCTTCAATACAATTCGCCAACGAGAATCAACCTCGAACAACGCTCGATCGAGATTCTAGATTCTAGATTCGAGATAAGTTCAAAGTAGCTCGCATGCAGAGTCAAAGAACAGCTGCAAACGGAGAGTGATATTGCCGCTGTGCCAACCTTTGCAACAAGCCCGGCGCCCCCGCAGCTGCGTAGTATATCGCCGAGCTGTGAGGAGAGGTGCTTCAAACTGGATTCAAAGAATGACTTCTTGCCATCGGTGAAAAACCTGCCTGAAAGATGTGATTTCAGTTTTCAAGCTGCATGAAACAAATGAGATGTCGACTTGGCGTGCTAGTGCCATTGAAAGAGAAACTCTGTGATGTTCGGCTGAGTACGTATAGTTGTGTGCAAAATGAACGCAGCTTGACATAAACGTCGGCAATTCACGTGACTAGCTACTTACTTGTCCTCCAAGTCCGGCTTGAACGCAACGACAGTGCACGACAGTGATCGAGATCCTGGTACTCTGCAGAGGCATCAAAAGTCTTTCTCTATTGTCAGATGGCAACCGCATCCTTCATGACCTTACACCTCTACATCATGTGCTGGATGCCCTTCCCCTGACCGTGCTCTGTCTGAACGTCGGAGCCACCTTAACCAACTCTTCCATGCCTAACGTTAACATGTTCCATAGACTAACGCATCTTGAGATCGAAGATGCGGACATGCTTCGGCATGTTTTCTGCGTTAACTCACCTGGCGCCGTGGCCTCTCTTCTACAACCCAGGAGTAGACGTGCTGGTGTTGGTGAAGCGTCTTCTCAGACATGCAGGCCTGCGAGTCCTTGTATTCCGAGTTGAACGCCATCGCGAATGTGCAAGATTCCTGGAGCGACATGCGCTCAACGATCTTCGCATGGTCATCGCACCGCCAGAAATCTGTGTATGGGATGATTTCGGTCGTGGCGCCATGGTACTTTGGGAACTAGCTGATGAAATGATCAACATGCCTGTCCCTAACCACAGTCAGTTCTTCCAGGTGACCGTGATGCAGCGAGATCGACTGACAACATCACACAGAACAGCATCGCTGTTTCTCGACTAGCACTCTTGTCATCGATTGAGGGATTACATACGTGGATGTTGATAGGGTCCCTGAACAGGATGTGGACCATCGGTTGGTCCGGCGTATCGTCATTGGCAGTGCAGAGGATGGCGCGGTGGAATCTGCTTATTTCTGCATGATGCCTTTGAAGAGGGCTTGGGCGAGTAGCGTGCGGGAACATACTGTGGGTGTTGAAAGGCTTGGGTATAAGTCATTAAAGAGTCCAGATGAACAATGTGTCATACGATGCTTCTGCGCGCCCATGCTACAGCACGTTGACACTTCATAGGGCGTCCTTTCCACAGGATACTCCGATCTGTAAAGTGCAGGGTGGGTGCCGCCCCATCTATCACATTTCTGGCACAAGCCAGAGCGAAAATTGGACCTCACTTGTATCGACCTGAAACGTGGACGAGCCACGAACATAAAATTTCCGTAGAGAATGGGACGTATCGTGGATTTTCTAGCGATGGAAATCTCACGTTTTCGCGCTGATTCTCGCATGAGATTTCCATCGATTTCCGTATATCCCTAGCGGTAGTTGTAGTAAAACTACGCAAATTGTATGAAAAAAGCATTGCGGAAACAAACAAATGACAGTGCAAAACTGATGGTAGCTTCCTGCTGCCTACCTGCTCTTCCTCCCACTCTAATGCCAGAAACCGCAACCACGCCGGACGTCAAACAGTATATTATATCAGGCGCTGGACGAGGATTTGCTGACGATGTTGACCGTGTATAGTCCTAGTATATATAATCCGAGTCAGTCATTGTTGCTGGAGGTTATAGTCTTCCAGACGGACGCACCTTCCAGTGCACGGTCGCGGATGACGAGGACAGCGCTGAAAGTGGCATGATGGAACGGGGACGTTGGATGCTGTTGCCTTCTGGTCAGTACCACATTTTCATTCAGGAAGCCCTGCGCTGCGCGTACCAAGTCAGCACTAGCTCGCACTTAGACAGGAGATTCATGCACGTATATGCGCTATAATGAATATTTCAGCGAACGTTTGAAACGAGCTTGGTGTCGCCTACCGACTTTTGAGGCAGACGGTGCATAGGTTCCTGGAACAGGCATCGCCGTGTTTTGAGAGAGAGGGATGGCGGAAGTGAGAATGTCCGAGACTTGCTGAGCTGTACATAAGTCGTTCAACGCAGCTGTGCATTTGATAGCTTCGTCGTTGCATGCGATTGCTAGCAAAATATGTGTATGATAAGTTGATCGGTATAGCTGTAAATACGGTAAGGCATTGTCAAATGGGCATGCTTGCTCATGACAACGCACGACAACTCGTTCAGCGCAAATTTCCGGTTTGCATAGCTTTAATGATATATCCGTCGTGCTCCGTCGATACAGCGAGTGCCGGCCTTCACTGGGAGGCGTATGCTAGATGTTTGGGACTGCGGACGAGTGCAAGAAATAAGCATGGACTACCCCTTGGTAGAACACGCAAAGCTAAAGTCCTAAAACATGATGCAGTTCAAAACCAACGACGTCAATGCATTTGTTGATGCGGTCGCATGAACGCATGACAGAAGCATGGGATCAAGCTTATCAGTCCCAGCATTGACCAATCCTATTCCCTGTACAGGGAAGAATGGCTTGCAGCTCCCTCCGCCCAGCATGACTCCAGCATACTCTGGATTTGCCTCCCAACACGGGTAGGGCTATTGCTAGGCGATTGGGGAAAATGGAGACAAGGAGCTAGTAAAATGGGTCGCCAGGGACGCGCCTCCCACTACGGGGAAGCGTATGCTAGGCAGATACAGTAGGCAAGGTTACAAGGCAGAAAGAGGCGGCGCACCTTGTCTGCAAAAGGAGTCGCCAGAGCAGAGCAAGGCGAAAATGAGCGGGAGTTCCGCCCTACGAGGTAAGAAATAAGTTAGCAGGACGGAAAAGACACATAAAACTGTACAAAGAACGTGCCACAGAAAAAGAATACCCTCACCTAGTATGTGAGAGGGCGCCAGAGCAGGAGGTGAATTCAATCCCAGCAGCAACCCCCCTCCCAGGCATTACAGCCCAAGAATATTCTGCCTGTAACTGAAAGGACAAAGGGAGCGCCACCCCACCTAGCGCGACTCTTGAATAGACAAGAAGCACCAAAAGGCGCGCGCTAGGCAGTTGGGATAGATGAAGAGAAAGAGAGAAAAGAGAATCGAAGAAAATCAACAGTGACAAAACAAAAGCAAATACAAGCACCAACAAACTTTAGTAAACAATACGGCGAGTCTGGTTTATAGAGCAAGGTCACTTCAATGCGGCGTTTTCTGCAAATTCAAAATAAAAACAAACATGCGTTCAAGGAAGACGAGGCTACCCGACACACGTACTATTCCTTACCATTCTTCAACTGCAATCGGCATCCACATAGGCCGGTTTCAAAGTCAACTCAAATTGTGTGGGATTTTCTGCCAATAGTAAACAATGATAAACCGTGCACTGCTCTTTTCCTACAGTAACATTCAAATCATAACGGCGCGAGCGCCAGTCCCCGACTCTTTTTCGGGTCACGTGTCGAAATGTTCCATGTTTGTATCTTTCCATCAAACGTACAACAGTACATAGTACTTACGATGTGACCATACCATTGCACCAGCAGCTGCGTGGATGTTATTTCAGATCTATGTGAAAGTATGTCGTCCATAAAAATCCGTACTGACCCTGCAACAGGTGAATCCTCGAAATGTTCCTTGGTTGTATCTGTCCATCAAACGGACAACAGTACTTAGTACTCACGATGTGACCGTACCGTTGCACGAGCAGCTGTGTGGAAGAAGGGCCTCAGCAACCTCGGCTCCGTACAGGGAAATAAATTGAGCAGACAAGAGAGGTACAACTCGGCGTTCACAGCCTGAAGGTAGTACAACGGCCGAAAGGGTCTCGTCAATAGCGGAACGCGGCAAGTTAGCAAACACTGAACGGATGCGAAGAAAGTGCCGTACGATCACATTCACATGATCGAGCTTTTTCCGCCGCTTAAGATGGGTGGCCGGGAGCGAGCGGGTTGATTGGGAAAGCACAGGGAGCAAACTTCAGTAAACAATACGGCGAGTCTGGTTTATGGAGCAAGGCCACTTCAATGCGGCGTTTTCTGCAAATTCAAACATGCGTTCAAGGAAGACGAGGCTACCCGACACACGTACTATTCCCTACTATCCTTCAACTGCAATCGGCACCCACATAGGCCGGTTTCAAAGTCAACTTAAAGTGTGTGGGATTTTCTGCCAATAATAAATAATGATAAACATCAGTAAACCGTGTACTGCTCTTTTCCTACAGTAACATTCAAATACCATCTGCTATGTCGCAAAAGCTCAATTATGCGCTAGACAACTTAACAATGAAGGAGATAATAACTGCAACAGGTGACGACAGACTGAATCGAGCAGAAAAACGAAAGCGCAGTGGCTTAGTGGCTAGCGTGCAGCACCTTCCCGATGCTCATATATCTATTCTGTTTGCAGCGGATAATAAGGCCCCACATATCGAAGATCCTTGTCACTCTTTGCCTGCCAAATTCGAAAACGCGTTCCAACAGCTCACTTTGAAGGAAATTCGGTCTGCTGTTGATAAATTCAGACTTCCATACGCGGAAGAGCGAACTCGAAGTACTCTGCTGGAATCTAACCCATGCCCTTCAGTTCTTCAATCTGCAGTGCTATCAGCAGCAGAGATGGAGGCCATACATCGACAAGATGATGAAGAAAAACGTTTGTTTGCAACGAGAGCAGCCGATTTCATCTAAATCATTATTCCTGGAGGAGGTGGGAGACTCTGTGCGGAACGAATGCTTAACCCGTTTCATTGATCGTACCGGCAATGCATCTTGTCGTCTTACAATAAGCGTCGTCTGCACTGGCGAGTTTTTTGCGTCCGAGACAACCGAACTTGCTTTGCATTGGATTCAGCACAAAGACGTTCTTCAACCATATGTTCCACATCACAGCCAACGACTCGTCAACGGCATGCACGCGGCGGTTACAATGCAAGATAACAATCTACACGGTTTTTGGCAGTCAAACTATAGGTGTGGGACATTAGGTCCTAACCGGAGTTTGAAACCTAACCTAACGCGGGCCGGGACGGACCACTCAGCACAAAGGCATCTGGCCTTCAACATCCAGTTCCTCTTACGAGCGTCTCATCATACTTCTTTCCCAGGACGTCACGCGGATCATATTCGCATGAAGCCGACAGCACCACCCATCAAACGAGGGCGTGGAAGACCGAGAGGAAGCAAGAATCAACCAGGTGCAGGACATGTTGGCAGGCCACGCAATGATGGACAGCCCCCTCGAAAACGGCATAATGGACACGACCATGCGGAGAGTACTACTCCAGGTGGGAATTTTTTCGTATTGTTCCTTGAGCATCTTGACTAATGAAGAAAATCAGTACCAAACACCTCGCATAGCGCCATGCAAACACCGCGCAATGACGAGGTTCAACATTGTGGCAAAGGTGAGTCATAAAATCTATAAACTAATGATGACCTCTCATTCATGCCACCCTGCTTCTCAGAATACACTCCAACACCACGCAGAGCCCTCGCAATTGATGTGGATCTGGACTCGGAAGTGTTCGAAAACCTCGATCCTCCTGCGAGGGTTCACACCATCCCTCCCGCACTTCCAATTGCGCCTCGTTCTGCAGCCTGCAGCGAGGTGCCTTTGAAGCAGACAACCCTTGCATTTCGAACAGCCATGGAGGGTGCCAACCCAGGTGAGTATCTAATGTCTACTAACCGTTATCTCCGGTGCTCTACTATCATGCTAATATTTGCCTTCCAAAGTGTTGGAGGCACCTACTGCCTCAGCCGTCATGCGAACACCGCACATTTCGCCCATCAGTACTGATGCCCGAGAACAGCAATCCGAGCCTGCTGCTAGCATTTCGCCTCAAACCTCAACCCACCAGCCACGGGACTTCTCTGAGTCTGGACCGGCCACTACCATACACGAGGCTGATCCACCTGCAGAGTCGGTAGCTACGAGCAGCGGGATGCCTCAGCGGCAGCCGTGGAGGCACGATGCAAATGCACCTGCACTGCCACCATCACCAAAACGGTTGAGCCGCAGAGTGCGACGGGTCTTATTGACGGTATGTCTTTGCTGTAGCTGCTTCTGTGGTGTCCGTGCTCACACATTATTTGAACTTCAGTTCCTGAGAACCCGTATGGCTCTGATCTCGAAGCGCCTGCCCCTCGTGATGACACCGAAAGTGATCGGGATGAGGAAGCATCCCTGGAAGACGAGTTTCGCCCCGTTCCTGATGATGGAGGGGAGGATGAAGACACGGAGCATGGAAGGGGGACTTCGACATTTGGGTCTGTAGGCAGATCTTCATCGAGGTCAACAATGCCACTTTGGCTTAGCGAGTCCTATAAAGTTGTAGAGACGATGTTGAAAAAAGAAATCAAGCAGAGTACCCGAACACCAGCCATGCCCAAGTGCTATGAGCAGCAGCGACTCTGGGTCGGGGATGCTTCACCCTTTCTGACGTTGCTGACACAACCCAGCATTGCCGTCGAGCCCTCAATATTCCATCAACCAGCCTTCTTTGTTTGGCTCCCACACTGTTTGCTGGGTGACCGCATTCCCTGCCCTCAATGCAAAGCAAGCAATGAGCTGACGAAACAAGGAAAGCCAGTTTTTCTTCAGCGGCTTGGATGGATTGGAAAGCCTCGACGTGCGGTTGATGTAGCTCGGAATGTCTACATCATTGGGTACCGCTATAGCTGTGTCCATCCTGGATGCCGCAAGACATATCGAAGCTGGAGCTCCGCAATTCTCAATGTTCTTCCTGCACCAGTGGCCATGCAATTCCCCTTCCAATTGACTTACCGCAGTGTCCTCTCAAATAGCCTTGTTTTGCTTTTGCACTCCTCGATCAGGGCAGGGATAGGACCAGTGCCATTCATGCAGATGTTGCAGTCATTCCACTACGAAAACTTCGACAATCTTCGCCTTCAATACCTGGAGCTCGTGCACGACCGCTACAAAAGTTGTCCGAAACAGCTTTGGGTTCGCAAGCAAGCATTTGGCTCGTTGGGTGACCGAAATGGCTATGCTGGATTTGTACCAAGTGCAGGATACCTCCGTCGTTTTTATGACACGATTATCGAACGGCGATCGACGGAGATGAAACAGTGTATTGCCATGCTCCCGGCGAGAGTGCTCGCAATTGACCATAGCTTTAAGGTGCCTAGTTTTATCATACAGTATCTGCCCTGTCTCTGACATGTATCGAGCGAGCAGATTATCAAACGGCTCGGTAGGGTGGGCAGTGCTCCCCTATTCACTGCACTTCATACTGTGGTGAACGAGTACTCCGAGATTCGGTCCTGCTCTTCACGATGACGAAGGGACATGATAATACATGCCCAATCTGCACGAAATCAGTGAGTTACTGGCGAAGTTTGGACATCCAGAGGTCCAGTCTGTTTCCACCGATAACGTCCGCGCAGACAAAAATGAACTCGAGCGAGTGTTCCCGTCCCTCTTGAAAGATGTTGTCCCCGTCCTCCCACATAGTTCCCTTCCCCTGCTTGAATTTCCTCATGGATCATGGACCATTGTCGAGCTGAGCAACACCCATCAAGTCAATCACCGCTTTGATGTCATCATGAACCACCGAACGATGACAAATCCGAACGTTACGGTTGCATTCGACATGCAATGGCCGGTCAATTTGGAGACCGGAATCCACGGTCCAGTTGCCTTGATTCAAGCGACATATCAAAATACTGTCTATCTAATTAAGGTCAGTGGCGATTTTTCCTATTTTCCTATGATGTCTGGTTCTTTACATGTTTGCACGCACATCCAGACTGCTCCGTTTCTTGAAATGGTGTCATCAAGCTCCCACACTCCCTCCTCGTGTTTTTGCGTTCGCCACTGTTCAAGAAAGTTGGTGTTTCAGTTGGAGCTGGCTTCAAGCGGCTGCAGAGCAATGGCTAAGGAGCGCGGTGCTACTGTGAAGAGGGCTGTGGGGCTTGCTGAACTCGTTGGAATACCTCTCGGCAGGCACCTACCAAAGGACCCCCAAGCCCGTGTTAGCCCTCGGTGGGCTGATGCAGTGCTCCCCCAGGAGTACATCAACTATACTGTGCTCGATGTCTATGCAGTCTCCCAGGTGCATTTACAGCTTGCGGGGATGGACATTGCTCAGCCTGTTGTGGCAACCACCCCTAGTGGGACTGCAATTGCACTCCTGGCACCTGACGGACAGGCGGTGGCTCACGGAATTGTGGCCCTTGAACGTCCTCCTGCCCTCAATGGTGTTGACGTGTCACCGAAACGAGTCGTGATGACAGTTTCTAAAGTGCTCGTGCCATCTTTCCTGCTTCCTGCTCGCCTACAGAAAGCAAAGCAGGCAAAATCACTCGCGTCATTCAGCAGTACTCCATTTTCTATTGTTGCCGATATCCGAAACCTTCGCATCTGCCCCTCAACTCACGACGAAGGCTCTGATGGTCCATCATCTGGTTCATGCATGGAAACCCTTGGCGACCACCAGGTTCCCAAGTCTGGAGTCTTGGATACAGGATATATTGATAGCAGCAGCACTCTGACGAGCACTCTTGTCCTGAATGAGGATGAGTGTGATGGTGATTCGGAGACCAGCCCTGAACAGACTATCGAGGGCTCCTTGCGAGATCCAGCTGCAGAAGCTGCACTTGTGGGGGTCATGGAGCCCTATGTGAATGTTGCAGCGAGGAACGACTCTATCATTCGTTCACGTGTTCTATACCGTAATTTTCACTGCTACAATCAATTCCAGATTGCTCGCCACCATGGGCTCAGACAGCCGTTTGCACGAGCACTCAGTGCAGCATTTTTCATACCGGTCGCGGAGGACAAGTCTGCCATGGAAGCAGTACTGAAGGGCTTCGGGACGACATACAATGCCCAGCTTTTGTCAAAACCTGAGTGGGTGCTGTCACGTGTCCAGCGTCATGTACCTCCACCTGAAATTCTCCTGCCCCGTGTTGCGGAGTTTGTCACAATATGACGGTCTGTCATTCGTTCATTTAATTCAAAACGCACACTCACATGTACAGTTGCAGGTTGGCAACATAAACCGCACTGGCAAAGCATACGTCGGACACTTTAATGTCCCGCTAAAGAATCATATTTTTCGACTGCTGACCTTAACAATGGATGCACTAGTTCCTGCAAGCAGTAACTTTCGGTGTGGTTGGGTGAACGGCAATGACTACGAGCTCGCACACGAGACTTTCGGCATGATCCAGTTTTTGCCCGTGTTTTTCAAGCCACTCGGAATGTTGGAGTTCAATGAAGTCTTTGCACGGGAGCAGAACATTCGGCACAAGTTCATTGCAGAGTCCCAGGGCACGCTCATGGCAATTTTGCCTGTCCACACACGTGACCTTTTCCAGCTCCTCGTCCAGTCGTCCCCATTATTTTCGGATTCCAACCGGCAACCAAACTGGTCAGCTCTCGCAGTCGTTTGTGCTGGACATGCTGATGGTCGTAATATTTTCTATAAGGTATGGTTTTTGTGTTGTGTTTGCACAATTTGCAATGATGACCTGCTGACATTCGAAAAGCTCCCAGAACACCTCAAGACATACTACAAGACATGGACAGATTTTTGCAACGAGCAAAACACGATTTCGCTCAATGCTGAAGCGAGTCGGCGCATCCGTGCTCTCATCCGCTCTGCCTCAACCAATGTCACCATCAAAGCACCCACAGCACTCCCCACAACCCTGCGCGACTCGCTGGCAGCCAGCACATGTGTTGACATCAACGAGGTCAACCCGAGGCAGATTGGCAAGCTACTCGCTGACCATGCCCTGCAGCGGTCAGCAGTCCACTATCTTTATGGTGACACTATGCACGTGCATCCCTCAGTTGCAGGATCCTTGCGCGAGCGCAAACGGAAGGCAGACAACCACCCTACTACAACAGGAAGTTCAGAAGGTGTTAATAGACCTGGCAAGCGCACGAACAAGCCACGAAAGTGCCGCAACTGTCAAAGTACTCAGTGCGCAGGAAGATGGGCTGTCAAGAAATGCACATTACCTCTCGAACCGCTATGTTTTGTGACGAGTCTTCACAAATTGTTTCATGTTGATTCATTTTGGACTTAGGGCATTCAATAAATGACTTGGTTAGATTGCTTCGCTGCTCTCATTTAGCTTTTGCCATTGTAGCTATTGCGAACCGGCATCTTTTTATCATAGCGATGGTTTAACGTTTCGCGTGTCTAAGGAATGTTTTCCCTCTCCTCCCTCTCCTTATTTAATTTAATTAATTTAAATTAATATTCTGTCGATACCCACACCTATAGTTTGACTGCCCGGTTTTTATATACTAGGGGCCGGCGTTGCCGACTAATAACCTTGCTCCGGTCGTTCCCGCGTCTTCGTTTTCCCTTCTCATCCCCGATTTTATTCTGTACTACATGCTTGTTGTTTAGTGTTACATGTATCAAAGGAACGCTATCAACACAACATCGAAATACAATAACAATCATGGTAGATTTGTCACAACCATCCCTCTGATTAAGTGATTCATTTCGTCGATGAAGTGCTCCTGTGCGCAAGAGATGTAACTCGCTTGATGAGTGCGGTAGTTTCCCGTACGATCAATAAACCTTGCCAGTGCCTGTTCCTTAACGGTCTCGTCTGGATTGTTAAGAAAATCAGAACCGGTAGTACTCATCGTCATGCGCAGCAAACTCTAAGCGAGCGCGTTTGAATCGACGCTGTCTTTCATCCTGCTGCCTTTCTTTCTTTCGATTAAATGCCCGTATGACCACCTTTTGCATTCCAGCTGAACCTTGTACAACTTCCAGAACATCGGCTCGTCGACGTTTTGCGGAGTACGAAAAGCTATTGGGACCACCTTCGGTGATTATGTCCTTGATGGTAAGGTGTTCCGCGAACTCCATGATTTCTTCAATGGTCAGAGCGTGTGTGATCGTATCCGCATGTGTGGCACTGGATGAGGTGTCGTTTTCCTCGATAAGAGAGCTGTTTACTGGAAAAATGTCAGGCTTTCTCCTACAGTGATCTCGCGCATGGTTCTCACCACTTGCTTTGGCCGCTATATTTGATACTTGAGACGAAGGACCAGGAACTAAAGCCCCAAGCTTGGTCATCTTTACTATCTCTTTGATGATCAATTCATATTGGCCTTCACTTTGCGTTTCTGTACTTCGGTGAGCAAATGAACCTGAATAAGTAATCCGAATCATACTTTTGCGACCTTTTGCAGCTGTACGCGGGTGAGCTGGCGAAGGGTAGGTTCATCGGTGTCGGTTGACGATGGAGAAGACATTTCGTCGTTGGATGTATCTGACGTTGGCTGATTATAGGCTCGTGACCAGCCTGGCGTATACTACCACGGATACTCGAGTGGTGTAGCCAGGCTGGTCAATCTCGGAGTGGCGTGGCAGGGCGAAGCGAGGAGTTTGAAGTTTAGTAGGTGCCGGTCGTGCCGGTGGTACTCGATCGTATGTAGGACAACTTATGCGTCTACCGTCGTTCAACGTTCAGACTGTATGATATGTTAAGTTTCAACGATGAGTCCCTTACGACCTTTATCGCTCGCTGCTCGAGATGCGATTGAAGATCTCCCGACGGACCTGAACATCCTTTATTTAATGACATTTGTGTATATTTGGTTACTCTATCAGTTAAGTTGTGGAGGGCCGGCCTTGATATCAAATACCCTATGTTGAGGTCGATGCACGATTAAGGTTTTGCACTCATCTTGTAATGGTACGCACCACACTCAAAGCGCGCAGTGTGGGTCGAGTCAGTAGGCCTAAATCCAAAGGCAAACGCACAGGAAAGGTCACAATTAGCTTACCAGCCATGAATGCCACAAGGCGCAACTCGACAACCGTGCCACTCCGCCAGCCCATTACTTCATTTGCAATCCCACTCGTTCACGCCGAGGTTGTCATGGACGACTGGCTAAAGAACGACGATACCCGGATCACATACGGGGAACCGCAAGAGAACGAGGTTGAGACTACAGAGTCATACAAAATGTGCCGGGTGCCAGTGTTTGAGGGTGGGCGGAAGCGAGGATTTGTACCCCTGCCCCTGAGGTACAGGGATGTATGGCTGGAGCTTTCCTACAACATCGTACTATGCTCCAACCTCTGGGAGCTTTGGCTGGAAGAGGGTATGAAGAAGTTGAAAGGAAAGAAGGTCGACATGGTTGTGACTTGCCGACAGAACACGGGGGCAATGCTTGTCCAGCACATGCTCACCAGGCGTTTGGTGGTGGAGCAGTTGCTGAAGTTGGATTATCTCACAGAGCCTGGAAAAGAGAGCGTCCCGCTTCTGGACGAATGGAAAATTCGCATGTGTCGTGATTGGTTGAACAAGGATTACGACGAGGCTTTCGTTGAAGGACGCGAATTCCTGGTAGCGGATCCAGTCACAGCTGCAAACAAGGTGTTCTTCGGTAAGCTTGTTGCATCTGTGCGTGCTCACCCACCGCCTAACATGCAGCTAGAAAAAGGATGGAATATTAATGACCAAGGGAAGGATTCATTGTCCCCACCGCCGGACCCTGCCACGTGGATCAATGGACGTGTTGAGGAAATTCGTGAAACCTTTGAGCGCGTCATCAAGCCACAAGCCCTGAACGAGTTGAAGAAGCCAGGCGCGTTTCACGAGACTCGGCATTTGAAAGATGGAGACCTGCCAGGCCGTTGGCACGAGGGACACAATCCTCGTCCTTTGTTCTGGAGTGAAGCGCAATGGGAGTGGTACAGCCAAGGTTGATGAGTTCATTCCGCATCGTCTCTTCTAAGTTACTTACTGATAACGCTACATGATGCAGGCCACGATTTTGCGGGCACCCCAATCGCCTTCTTCAATTTTGTCCTCAGGAAAGAACCGAGCTATACAAATGTCAAAGAGTTTGAGGATGACGTTAAGAGCATCGCCAACATCATTGTCGCTAATGGCGATGGCAATGACCGTGATGATATCCAGGAGATTGTGGGTGGACTCTGGCTAGGAGAGATGACCTGGAGGGAATTCGTGGATCACCTGAGGCAGAAATGGGATCTGGATGATGATGCCTGCAAGCCTTGGGAAAAAAAGGGTATTGACCTCTTCCTTTTCATGCTACACCTCAGGTTCAACGGCCTTCTATCCTAGACGAAGGCAACCCCTTTGATAACTTGGAAGCTCAGTTGATCTTCCAGGGATTCATGCGCCGGGGCTCCGAGAACAGAGTTTGGAATCCTGAAGACCAGATCCTGTGGGAATCCTTGTTGAGAATGAGCCCAAAAGAATATGAGCCTGTATGGAAGAGGGTCGTGAAGACAATTTTGGAGGAAGAGAAGTCTGTACAGGAGGTGTTGAAGGATGCAAGGAATTGGTCGCACCATTGTGAGTGTCGGTTTCATTTTCTGCACCCGCTATGTCGCATTGCCAGTCAAACGATGCTAATGGTGAAGCTTGTGTCTCAGCTCAATCCATGGAGGATACGGAAATGGGTCAGGTAGACCGCCAAACTCGGGCTCAAGTTGGCCTTGAACATGTTGATCGCGCAGGGGCCTCTGTAAATTCCAACTCTCCTCCACCGTCGCAGCCCACCACATCCGAGAAACAGTCCACAATATCTCACCAATTGCTACCCATCTATGAATGGATGCTTGCATATGTTCAGAAAACCATCACCTCGGAAATATTTGAAAAGAAACTCACGGGCTACTTGTCGAAAGAGCATGAGAAAGGCATCAAACAGTTCATCAATGGCCTTCGTGCAATTCCTCCCGGGCATAACGAAGTTGTCTCAAAGGATGCCCTGGACTTGTTCCTCAACCGTGTCAAAGCAATAGAGGCTAAGAGAGAGGCTGGACGTTTGGAAAACAGCTTCCTCTGACGTTGACCTTGGGCTAGTGATAAAATTTTCCCATAGCATTTATCGACCTTCTTACTGATGTATCAGACATCCAGGACCTAGAAAAGGCAGCTGGAGGTAATAATTGCACATGCGATAACCACTACAACGTAGAGACAGGTGGAGAAAACATACGTCTCAACATGGCCATCACGTCCCTCTTCGCTGCCATGTAGCAACAGGCTCAGTTTGCTACCATGCCATCTGTAGATCTCACCACTTTCTCCGTTGTACCAGCCAATGTTCTTAACTGCAATGTCAAGATATTCATCAACATCATATATGTTGCCAAAGGTAACTACAATGGTGGCTAGTAAGAAGTAAAGTGAAATGTATGGTGCAAAAGGTTGTAAGCACGGGCCATGTCTGCTTTGCAAGGCGCGCAGACAAGAGCAGAATGAGCACAGATAACGCCCTTGCATTGTTGCGTGCTCGAAGGCTGCGTCAAGGAGGGCGACGGCATGGCGAGGGTAGTACTGCTAGAGGAGACGATCTGTTGAGAGCTGGGGGTCTTCGTGACGCTGTGGACATAGGAATTAATGACACGATGTATGGGAAGGCGAATGGCTGTGGATACCAGCGGTAAAATGTGCATGATGGATGCTGACGATTTGATTCAACATGCAGCGACGACAGGCAGCGCATACCCTTGCCATTTTTTGCTGCCATCTCCATTGCTATCAGTCAGACAGATTGACAGGGAGACTGCACCGCCACAACTGGCGCAATCGGTGACGAAGCCAGTGGGAGACAGGCGGAGGAAAAGCTGTACAAGAAACACGACGTCAACATGAGAAGATGGGGTAGAGTTAGGGGGAGCAGGATGATGTATTATCGGGAGGACACAGGCAGGTAGAAAGAGGGGGAAGGAGGACGATGTGAACAAGGTAATATATGAGAAGATATGTGCGGGAAGGCAAATGAGGACTGTTGAAGAGGAATGGAATCTGGATGTAACGACAGGCGGGTGGGGTGGGTATTCAGCAACTCAGACGCGGTTCAAGCGGCGTCTAATTTGCGGAGCTTGCCTAGAGGTACCCAGACGCATACCTAGAGTCTGCACAGACTCAGAAAGTCCAGAGGTAAAGCCGAAGACCCGTACTGCCCCCACTGTCCAAATGTAGAAGAGTCAGTCCACCACCTCTTGCTAGAATGCCCCCATTATCGGAGACAAAGACACACCGTTCAAAGTACACTCCTGACGAAATTCCTGACCTCAATACAGGTATGATTGGTATACAATACTAAGTCAGCATGAGTGAGACAACTATGAATGAATGGACATACCCTCAGTGTCAAATAGAAGACTGAGGGAAAATGATGAGGAGCGTCCAAGCATTAAGTGAGCGTTTCGGGAGTAATCGGGATACTATATACTGTTAGTGAGAGTTGAGTTGCAGCCTGTGGCTTCAATATCCAACAACTACAGCTCGCCGCTCTCGAAAATTTTGTTGTAATACTAGTATACCGCTGATGTAGCTAGTGATCCACATGCATTCCATGCCTTGCCCAAAGGGTGTGTAAATGACTTGATGTACACAACGCTTGTAGAACAAGCTTGCTGCCGTTATTTTGTAATGTTTGGCTTGGTTCAATTTCATTTCAGCCATTCTTTTCTCACCCATGTTTTATATCAAATGCCGCCTAGCAGATATCCGCCTGTAATGGGGATAGTACTCTGGTGTATTCTGGAAATAGTACGCAGGGTAGGGTAAGTCTATCCCATGTACTGGAGAGGCGTCCAGGCCGCATGGTCTGGCGGAGAGGATAGCAACGGTGCTTTGCGCTGCCTACTTGTCAAACAGAACCCACCTTGTAAGAGGCAGGGAGCTTTAGATTACTCTTAAGGTCTGCTTGGCAGCTGTGGCCATGCCTTGTGAACAGCACAATTCTCAGTTTGACTGGGATACCCTCACTCCCTTGCAGATCTTCCGCTGGGCCTCGCCAGGCACTACGATGTGAAGCAAGGGTCACTGGGTGACTTTACTGTGCGACATCCTCTACATATTTTTTTCACCGAGTTCCATATTGAACCATCTTACATCAATTTCGCCAACTTATGGACGTGACCGTTGCAACCTCTATGGATGCTGTTCGCTTCCAGTGCGGCTGTTCTCTGTGAGGGATGCACTAGAGAGCAACAGCCAGAAAGACAAATCAGGAATGCATCGAGGGATTGGCTCCTATCATTCAGAGATTTCATCATCAGGCATATAGGCTGATTGCTCACCAGTCACGGTTTGACCGCTGGAGCAATGGCTACCCTGTGCCAGCAAAGGTAGATGTTCAGAGCCTATCAAGATATGACTATCAACCTCACCCTGGTACACATTCATCCCTTTCTTTTACATACCCAATCACTCCTTGTTACAGTCCTAATACACATTCACCTTTGGCTATCCGCCTCAATCAGGGTGTTAATACCTCTCTCCCTGTCAAACATTCTCCCTCAGTCTTTTGATCCAAGACTGAGGTGAGCTCTGGTATTCACACCTCTACCAACATTTTCCTGACTATTACCCTACTTAGTCCCGCTCTCGTTCCTAGTTCGAGACTCTCGATTCTTCAGAGTTCCTTGCAGCTACAGATTCTAAAAAAAGACAAAGCTCGACGGAATGATGCAGTCCAAAAAGGAAAGAAAAACTCCCCGAACTTCTTCAGAATCTTCCGGATCACGCGCTCGGTCCAGACCCCCGCCCTCTTGCGCTGGTCTGGCAAAGCCAGACCTTCCCACACACAAACCGAGTCAATACTTGATGAAATCTGGTTTGATTCTTTTTACAAAGCTCTCATTGTATCACTACTTTATCTACTCATCCTCTTGTGGTATCACTACCTTGTCCACTCACCTCCCCGTCAATATTAGATATCTTGGTGATTCCACCTATATTCATTCTCTCATCTTCATCACTAACACACGGTAATACAAAGGTCCTGCCCTGCACAAAGGAGAATAGTCGTTTGTTGGTACTTGTATTTGGTTGTTTGGTCACTGTTGATTTTCTTCGATTGACTCTTGCTCTTTACTCTTTGTTCCATTCATCCCAACTGCCTAGCGCGCGCCTTTCGGTGCATCTTGTTTATTCAACAGCCGCGCTAGGTGGGGCGGCACTCCCTCTGTCCTTACAGTTACAGGCAGAGTATTCTTGGGCTGTAATGCCTGGGAGGGGTCGCTGCTGGGATTGGATTAACCTCTTGCGCCCTTTTGGCACAAACGGGGTGGCCTTGTTTATGTCTTATTTACAGGGTGCTAGTGTTGTTGGCAGAACTCGGGAGTTTTGCCAACCGGTTTTGCCGTTTTTTTGGTAGAACTCACGCGAAAGGGGGGTGACAGAACCTGGCAGAACTCCAGGGTATCCGAGGCTCGCGGAGATGTAATTTAGATCTCTGATAACAAAATTTGAATTCAAGAGAACATGAAAACCAACATCCTTAAAGTAAGATGGGAGGGCGCCACCTCGCATCACTGATCAACGTGGTGCGGGAATACTGAAACCAGTGTGAGATGACCGATGTATGAAATACTGTGGCATACGTCTGGAGGAGCTGCCGTGACTTGACAAAATCCCTGCTAGACACATGCGGACCCTTGCCCCAGTCTTTAAGAGACAATGAAATTAGCATTGCAGGAACTCCGAGTCGAAAAACACATACTCAATAGCGAGACGACGAACAAGTAGGTAATCAAATTTTATTTGGGGTTCGGGTATACATGATGGCATTGCTATAGGAGAGTAAGGAGACGTGAGAGAGCAAATGGACGGATGAGGACGAGCAAGCGAGGATGGCAGATGGACAGACGATAGAAGGGTGCACGTTTCTGCAGGTAATGGGACGGACAACAAAAGATAGTGATGTTGCGATACTAAACCAGCACTCAACGGCTAATACATGAATTTATTCAGCTAGAACGCGGAGTCCAATCTGTGAAACTAAGTCAAGGATAAGGATAGTGTCAAACTGATCGTATGATTCGGCTATGTTTGGTGATTGAGGACTCCCAGGTGGACTTGACGGAAAGCGACATGTAACTGCGCGCCTTAAGCCAGTGCGAGACGAGCTGGATTGCACTCCAGTCCTCTGGTGTCAACTCGTAGTGGCGAAGATCCCGTGTCTTTGCAACGAAGCCATGGATGACTTTGCGATAATCAAGCTCGCGGCCTTGGAGATATAAGTTAATAAAATGAAATGGGTGTGAAGGTAAGACTACGTAAGAGGCATTTGGTGAGTTGAAGACCACCTAGTCCTGACGTCGAGAATCAGCATTAGAGCTGTTCATCTTCAACTTACCCAACCCGAGCTCGCTTAGACAGCTGAGGTCTGTTGGCAGCTGAAGAATTTCTGATAGTAGTCTTGCGCTTAGATTTCGAGCTGGTTTTCTTGCGGAGATGACGAGCATCGTGATCGGTGTTGCCACCACAAGGTGGGACAGTCTTCATAGGTAATATCATTGCAAGCTGCAGAGCATTAGTAATAATTACAAGTGAGGAAGACAAACTCACCTCCGCATTGGAGATCTCATGGTCCTGGATGTTGTTGTCTGAGTCTGAGGTTGACGAAGATGACTCAGAGCCCTGAGTGAAATCAGCATCATCAACGTCGGAGGCCTCCTCAACTGGAAGACATGAAAAATAATTGTCGTTGTCGACACTGGGAATAGTTTTCTTTCGGGGGACACGACAGGGACGGCAGGGACAGCGGGGACGGCGCGAGGGTTGATCCTTGTCTTCGCCTTCAGCTTGGATAAGAGCATTCATGAGCTCAACATTCTTCGGTCGTTTCCCGCGCCCAAGAACTTCTTGAAAGTCTTGATCCATGGTAGGATTAGAACGGCTCGATGAGGCCATTGAGTGAAGGAATGTTGTCCAAAAGTAGGGAAACACGAACAGCGGGTGGGGGAAGGGAGCAGCGCCAGGACCTAGCACTAGAGTCTTCAAAGAATGCAATGGCCCGGGGTGAGTACCCCCCGGATCCGGTACGAGAATCAGGAGGGCCGTGACTTCAGAGATTAGAAGGGACACCGGGGGTCCCATAGATTAGAAAGTACTGTCCTACATAGGGTATCATCCTCAATGGACACAAATTGGATTTTTTTTTTTTAAAAAAAGGAGGGCGTTCTGGACATAATAAGCATTAGAACTAGATAGATTGTAGATTGTGAGAGAAAACATACCAGTAAGTTGATGATTTGCATCCTATTGAAGCACTGGCTGCCAGTGAGGAAACCAAATGACAGAATGTGCAGCATTGGGGTTGTTTCTAGGCCTTGGTCCCCGTCTTGAACATCGAAAGAAGGCATGTGGCTGCCACACCAAGTCACACGATGCAAGAAAATCCCTCGTGGTACCAAAAGCTAAGTACTAAGTTAGGCATTCGTTGATCATTTTAGTCTATGCTACATAGCTATCATAAAGTAGAACCGTATGCCCCGTATGACGGTACATACAGCCGTAAACTTACGGCGTCATACGGTACTTGCATGACCGTACACCGTAGCCATCAATGAGAGCTCTAAAGCCCCGACGGTACGGGTACGGCACACGTATGATGTCACCGTACATGCCCGTAATACGGGCTACGGTGGCCAGCCCTAGTGAGCTATCGAAAGTTGCGATTCCGAGGGTTCCGACGCCCGAGTTATGTCTGTGCCAGTCTTCTGGGGTCATCACTCAAAGGGAATATAATGGGTTCTGCCCAAGGGTACAAATGAGGTTGACCTTCGCGTTATACAGTGGATAAGGCTAATATAGCGCGTATGTATCACGCGAATCTATCCAATGAGTCTCGATGATATCGGAGCCTGCATCAGGCAGGGCTCATAGCCTAAAAAACTGCAAGCTTCTAAATAGAATGAACTCAAGTGAATTCTATGGTACATCGGTAGGGAATGTTATGGATTACCCCCAGTCGAGTGTAAGAGACTGGGGGAAAACGAAGAATGAGTGTGGCGTACATAGAACCACCTAATATGGTAAATCTGCTGGCGTTGAGCGGGCGTCTGAGTTAAATGAAAAAGATACTATGATGTACTATCATGTTGGCAGGTTGATTTCCAACAACCGAGTTCTTGAGAGAAGGAGGGGAAGGAACCATGGCCCTTGGGGTCGACAACCAGGCAGCTATCGCGGAAAGTCTCCAAGCCCGGACACTACAAATTCCACCACGACCTGCGCGAACTTCTACCCGCGCATGACGAGCGCAAGCTGACAGTACACTGGAAACCGGGTCAGCAAGGAATACCAGGCAATGAAGAGGCTGATGAGCAAGCGAAATTAGCTGCGGGAGGAAACAGCAGTGCACCCAACGTACTCCGAAATTCTTGACCACCAGAAACAACACACTAGTCGCCTTCCAGGTCAGCAAATCAGACTTGAAGCAGCAGTTCAACCAAAAAATCAAACGCGAAGTGTCAAAAGTGATAAAAAACTCACCGAGGTACAAACGCCTTCATGATATCGACGCGTCAACCCCATCAAAACATTTCTCCGACCTAATAAAAAATCTCCCACATTGTCACTCCTCCAACTCTGTACCGGACACGTGCCTATGGACAAGCACCTTCACCATATCACAAAAATCCCCAGTCCTACCTGCCAACAATACCATCAGCGCAAAGAGACCGCCTATCACCTCCTTATTGCATGCTCAGCGTACGCCAGACAATGCCCCGCACTTCAGAACGAACTAGGTCCCCAAGCTAGTCGTACCAAGAACCTCCTGAACAGCCGAAAACGTATCAAACCCTCACTCCGCTTCATAGCGAGCGCGCACAGATTTTTTGAGACGTCACCCCACCCGTAGAAGACGACGAGCCAGAATGAACATCATGTACACACCCCCAATACCCTATCGCCTTTAGCTGGCCTTACCCGCCCTCGCATATCGCCTGGGACAGTCGTGAAGTCGCGCCAGGAGTTGTTATAGGTCTTAAGTGTGAATACAGCCCTGAATAGATAGAGAAGATATGGACGGAATAAGTCAGCACATCATATAAACTGATCCCATCGGGTCCTGGGGCCTTGTATGGGCTTAGCTTCAAAATACTGCGTTGGAGTTGGTCAGTGGTCACGGAGGCTGGAGTGTTGGCCACTTCTTGAGTGGGGCTAATATTGAAGCTTAAGGATAACTCGGCATTTCCAATCTGTTCGCCTTTTCGAAAGGTAGCCACACTTCGGGACAGATTTGTACATGCTAATTACACACGTAGAATTGATGTAAGGCTCGTCGAGCATGTCTGACTCACCCGCCGAGCTTACCGGATGAGTTTGTCATGGGTCATACAAGATTCATTGAGCACATCCGACTCGCACACAAAAGCTGGATGAGTCTCTGTCGTTGGTAATATAAGACTCACTGAGCTCCCCCAACTCGAGCGCAAAAGTTTACGGGACGTTGGTCCTGCAGTGACCGTGGTAAAGAGTATCCAAGACCCATTGAGCACATCCTGCAACATTTTAATATGTCCAAATGATAGAGATTCTATACTATATAGCTTTCTCACTGCACCATGCATCGAACACCTCCCAGAAATGCTTCTTGGCATCAGAGAGCGTGCAGAAGTAGTATACAGTTGTGCCAGCAGCACGAAGTTTGCGGGCAGCGTAGCTTATTATGTATCATCAGACATGGCACGGATTAATTTTTTTCTTTCAAACGTACATGTCTCTAAACAGCCCAACTCCAGAATAGCCCACACTGACAAACCAATTAAACTGAATGGCAGGGTCTATGTCAATAAGTGTTTCAACACTGGTATTGTCATCAACAGCCTGATCTTCTAGCTCGTGTTCTTCCCCATCACTGGAGAGAGAGTCGGGCTGGGAACTGGTAAAACCGTCCTCAGTGATATCGTCTGTGGGGTTAATCAAGATGCCATCGATAGAGACTTCAGGGTCATCCTCCACAACATTCGTGAGGCTGTCATCGTCTAACACGCTCGGCTGCTGAGGGTCTGCACAATATGTAGGTAGCATCAGTGGGAAAAAAAGTTGTAGTTAAGTTCAGCGTACCAGGTCGTGCATGAAGTGTGCAGTCTTCGCCTTCCGGCCAACAAGGCCAACAAAATGGCTGTGGAGCTGAAGGGGGAACTTTGCAAAAGTTGTCAGTGAGTGCTACGGAGAACTGAAGCAAACGATTTACCGTGTCCGCACTGAACCATCCGAATGTCCTCGATAAACTGCTCAGGTGTGAAGCAGGGATGAGGTAGCATCTGAACACGATGATTGTAGCAGCACCTGACATCTGAGCGGGGCATGTTCGTGAAGCTGAATGAAGGCAGTAAGATCCATCAAACATCGACGTAAAGGGATGCTCAATTCTAAGACGTCGAGTTCAGTTCGTTTCATTTGACGTTATTTATGTAGTAACAACACTGATTACCGACGCTTGCTGCCAGTTGTTACGGCATTCCCAGGGCCAGAGGCCGGCCGTCACTCCCAGTGAACATCGGACAGTGCGAGACTTCCGGAGAGTGCCGCATCGTGCACCGCCAGCTGAAACCGCCCTCGCACGATCTCGACAGGAAATCCGGACGAATACACGATGGAAAAGGAATCAATATCGTGCGTCGTCGTGCCAGAGTTGTTTAAGCTGCTGCAACACGATGCGGCACTCCCTTGCATTTCCTACGAGCGATTTATATTGTGCGAGAACGGTTCATATCATATTGCTTGTAACTACTAGTATAAAATATGATACAATGCATGGAATGGTATGGAACAAAAGCGGGCGAAACACAGCACGAAAATCAGTCGAAACAGAGCACAAAAGCAATGGAACGAAGGCAGTAAAGTAGTCAAACAGCACGCAATGCTTACGCTCAATGTAAGGTAGAGCCTACGACTACTCTGATGGCAGTATTCTTGATCTAGACGTTCGAGGAAAACTGTGTAAATATATGGCAAATACAGCTTGAAGCAATACTCACCAATTGAACAGCTTCGGACTCGTAAGACTAGCAGAAGAGTAAGCTCAGCGTGGTGCTAGCGGCGAAAAAAAGCGACGACGTACATTGCACTGTTGGGTATCGAGTGCATCCCAGTAGAGACGGAACTCCACCGTAGTCCCGTCTTTCTTGACCTGCTTGAGCCAACGAAGGATACAAAGGTTCCTATATCTATGTCAGTAATGATGGCATATAGGCAGGAACAATACAAGGTACCGTCGACGACAGCTTGGATGGTGTTCTTGACCCAAATGCTAAAGGAACCCTGAGCGAATGTTTGATTCAGTGCTGCTGCTGGTGCAAATACAAGACGCTCACGAATTGTGTCGCTTTCGACTCCTAAGATGCGCATATATGCACTCGGCCCTGTAGTATTCAACAATTCAAGCATGTATCAGCCTGAGTGTACAAAACTTACATTGAGAGGGTATTCGAGTTGTTCCGAGGAATCAGCTAAAGGCAAAGACTCCGAGTCAGGGTGCTGCTATTGAGGAAACTTAGGTGTTTAGGGCCAGAGCTCGAGTGGGTACTAGCTGGCTGCGGCGTCGTTGTACCAGAGGAACATGACGGTAAGGGAACAAGAGAGGTGTTGATGACATGAAGACGGAGTTTAGACTTGCGAAGCTTTTGTTACTTGCGCACTACACAATGCACATGCAAGCAGCAGATGGCAAATGTAAATGTTGCGGAATCCATGCAGTTGCGAAATGAGTGCAAGGAATGCAAAAGTTTGCGCAAAGTGCATGCGTTGCGCTCAGAGGAAGATGCTCATCATTTGCTATGAACTAGATCTACATGATCTGGCACTTTGCGTAATATTCTCACACGTTCTGACAGGCTCCTGCAATGTCCGATGTTCACTCCCAGTGAAAATCGGACATGGCCATTTCCACGCGCAGCCACGCATATCTACTGTGGCTATGGCACTTCGTATTCCGTAGATACACGTCGGTATCTGCGCTTTCCGTAGCTGCGAAAACGATGCACATCGGCGCTGGTGTACGCTTTTCGATGCATTGACTACTAGATAGAATTCCGTAGATCTGAATATAACTGTGTGTCCCTTTGATATCTTACTTGCTTCGACGCAAATATACGGAAATCAATGCATTTCAACATAGCGTACAATACGAAACATGCCAATAAAAACCACCTGCGCTCATTCACACCAGCTTCTCCGTCCAGGACTGACCTACCCCGGTGCCTAGCTAATGTAACATGCCGCTGGAGAACTTCGTAAGAGCTTCAACCGTATTTGCGGTCCACGTGCAGTCGGAAACCTAGATAGAATGCACAAATGAGTGTACGATAGGAAGAGGATCAGTACTCACCAGACTCGAAGCCTCGATGTCGTAGTTCTGTAGTAATAAGTATTGCAATATGAATAGAACGCAACAGAACATTACACTCACTTGTTGTTTTGGGTTGGCGTTCATGGCAGTAATTGGTGCCCATACCGAGTAGAGTCGTCAGACTCGTCACGATGTCACGAAGCTCCGAGTCGTTAACGGAGAACATCATCCAAAACTTAGGACGACAACATATCAGTGAATCAGAGTAGCAGTACTGAAAACAGATGCACTGGAGTGGCACGAGACCCATCAGCTGTTCATTGTCAGTTACTGGAGCATTGAGTTGAATGAGTGATTATATGCGCTCTGTTTCGAATGTATTCATAATTATAGAGTATGACACAACCAAAGCAACAAACTCACATCGTTTGACGAGGAAAATCTGTGTTTGCCCAGGAGTTCTGCGGCTGTGGCGTAGTAGAAAGAGTGACATTTTGCTGAGATGACTGTTTGATTGTGATGGCGGTGGTACAAGAAAGGGATGCAAGAATTCAAGTTAGGCGCGTGCACGACAAGTGAACCAGTCAACAGCAGCAGTAATTTACAGGAGTAATGCACTGATGATGGTGAGAGGAGAGTTCATTGAAACTCCGAGTCTCCGAGTTGCAGGTAAGTGGAACTGTTGAAATGTTGAAGTTGGATCGAGTGGGGCGAAGTACGGAATACTTGAGCAACGAGATATGCATTACGCACGGACCTTGCGCAGACCAGTTGAATGAACACATGGACTGTTGAGCTGCACAAGCCTTGCATGTCGGGTTCTTGCAGTATTGAACATGCTGTACTGCTCAAATCGTAGACAAATTGTTCAACAAGTGTTTGCACAACTTCGATTTCCATCGATATGAGTCTACTGACTACTCGGAACTTACAAATCCGTCGAAATGGCCATGTCCGATTTTCACTGGGGTTCACTGGGCGTCACTCGGCAAGTTGCGAACCACGCATTATCATTGTTGATCAATGTTCAACGTTTCGAAACGACTGTGATCAACATGCAGCGATGACGACAGGACAACTATCATTGAGCTGGCCTGATCGTGATTTTCGATCTTAAACTTGTCCTACTGATTGGCATTATACCAGTAAGTATTCCCATAGTTTTCTCCGTGTCGCTGTTGCTGATGCGAGTGTGTTGCTACAGGTGGTCTGACTCCCCTTGCATCACTTTCTGATATGTGGCTGTATGGCGTGTTGCGTTGTTGATGCTGGACTTGGTTCTAGAACCGGCAGGGAAGGTGTTGTCTGTCACTGTCAGCGTGGTTGTTCATTGCCGACTCTGAGAATGTTAACCAGTATGTTTGACCCGGAGACAGGTCTCCGTCCGGCCTTTTTTCCAGCCTCGGAACTAATTTAAAGAGCCGAAATGAAACTGTTTACTACATAGATAACGTCAAATGAAACGAACTGAACTCGACGTTTTAGAATTGAGTAGATGAGAAATGACCACCAGAGGCTAGCGCCTCATGCAAGTATAGCGCTCAAGATAAGAAGCTATCTCCTGCTCGAGCTTGCGCTATTCCTTTCGACCGCATATTTTCATCCAGCAAAGGGACCTGCGTCGCAGCAACTTAAACCACCTGTGACTCCCAGAGCAGTTGACGAGTTGATGACTGCTGGGAATCTTCGCCAGCTTCACGAGTTGCTCCACAATGCAAGGGACGTTGATTATAATTTGCTATAACTGCTAGTCGTGACTTGCGAATGGTCGTCGTCATCAGCATATAGAATCCCTAGCTTCTCATGGGCTGAACTATCTGCATCACTCTGAACTTGTTTACAGATCGCGAGGTGAATGACAGACGTACAATTCGCTTCAACTCCTTAGTCCGAGCTGTCGATTTACCAGAAATTTACAACTCAATTTGTTTTGATTCGCCTCCGCGGCAACACTACGGTGCGCATGAGCGCATCTGTTTGGTGTCGCTCTAATAAGAAATGAAAGCGGCTGAGTGAATTTTTCAATTTCTGGTCAATTAACATGAACACAGCTGCGAGTGGAGCATCGTGTATGATCAACAGATTCGCAACTGTCCACACGCATAGAAAGGTCTACTATTTCAATCCCACACCGGTTTTACAGCTCAAATCTCCCATTTCGATCCCTTTAGAGTGTTGGAGGAAGGGAAATATTCTTCCAACGTGCAAAGCATTTCCTCCACAGCATCCAAGTACTCTTCAATATCTGAAGCCAGGTTTTCCTCAGACACTGGTGAAGGAAATTTCTCTCCAAAGTCCTGCAAGAATGCGTCCTCCTCTTCTGTGCTCAACCTACAGAGGGCTGTTAATCTCTATCATGAATGCAGTGGACGGCGACCTACGTCACACCCATCTGTTTTTGTCTGTGCCCTTGCTCTTCCTCCCATTTGGCGAGTTCTAGTATCAACCCCTTGCATTCTTCATATGTTTTTTCCATTATCTCCTTCTCGCTGTCAGAGAGTCCGCTAGAAAACAGCAGCTTAGATGGTATGCTTTGGCCCATGTTGCATCCTGGAAAATAGTCATTCAGACATTCCGCGAGCATACATGACTCTTGCGATGTCGCAAGGTAATAAACGTGCTGTATGGAATGAAGCTACGATGGACTCGACGTTGAAACCTGAGAAACATACCAAGATACACAGATTCTTGACCAGCGACATATAATGCATCCTGCCGCTTTCTTTGCTCCCAACGTAACCTTCAATCTTCTTCAGCTCCTTTGCCGTGAGCAGTGTCGCGTGAGAGCTAGGTTCCTTTGCGTAGTATTCCTGCCGTAATAGCGCAACTGAAGATCCCTCGACTGCATGGCTTCTGAAGGCGTCAGCCGTGGCTATGAGGTCCAGCAAATCAGGAATCTGCTCGAGAATGAAAGAAGGGCGAATGATGCTCCGGATCATGTACAACACAAGCGTATGCGGCACTTGTTCATCTCCAGATGTCGGCTCATTCTCTATGATCAGCGAGATGCGGTCTGTAGCTAGGTGTGAGACGTGCCCGAGCAACATATGTTGAAAGAGAAGTACCATATATTTCCCAGTGTTTGCTTAATGCGAATTCAATGGACGATGCCATCATGGATCTTGTGTGATGAGTACTGTGTATGGGTGGATGGTCCAAAGGATTAGCAGAGGAGCCGTAAGGGCAACCGTTATATAGGCGTTTTAAACTGCGACCGCCCTGGCTTACTCAACACTCTCTCGCATCTACAATGGAAGACACATCACAAGACTCGTTGAAGGAAATGAAGCCGGAAAGACAAGCGAATCTGACTCGATTTTGCTCTACCGCGCGTACATAATCATGAGGACTGACGCATAATTTGATAATACCCACAGATAACGCTGTGTCTCTCTGCCGACCGTGCATCTCCAAATCATTAGTTTGCCCACCTTGGACTTCCTTGGACCAAAAGATCAATCCCTGTTAAAACCCACAAGAGGCAGGTCGACAGAGATAAAGTTGGATAGTGAGACTCTTGGGAAATCAAGAGCTGTAGATAGCGTATCGTTACATAAACAACGCAATGCACAACTCGCATTTGATTTTCGTCCGCTGAACTTTGGACATGTCCAGAACGGTTAGAATCGCGCGAAATATGATGAATTTGGAAGCAACATATTTCACAACAGGACACTCACTCCTGCATCAGGAAATCATGAGTTTACTTTGCCCAACTTATATCAAACTTTTTTACACAAAGTGTACGTGGGTAGCGGGGGAAGCGACACAACAGCAGGCACAAAATTGAGACAAGGAAGGCAAGCAGACTGGAATGTCCGGTGGCAGTGCCTTGAGACATTGTCCTAGTTGATCTTTATCTTTGAGGTGTTGCTGCATGAAAGTTTTGTGGATCACGAATTACGAAGCTTGGCTGGGGGGATGAATGACTTAAGTTGAAGTTCACACTATTCCATTCAATTTTCACGTCGATGTTCGACCAAACAAACATTGCTTGACATTCCACCAACTAAATAGGCTTGTAGATTCGCAGTGTTCGATCATTAAGCTTTTTAAGAGTATTTAGTACTATTTAGCGTAACCCTGCGCTTGTATACTGTTGTTTGAGTTATTCACATAACCCACCCTATCAATTTTGACCTCGAGTTATCCACCTAGTTATTCACGTGAATAACTAGGTGGATATCCACGCAGGTGGATAACTCGGTGGATTTCCACGGTACACTAAAGCAGAGGGTGTGCAAGACAAGAGGATCCGACGATGAAAGAAAATGATGAACAACAATGAGATGACGAGGAGAGTGACAGTACAGGAGATGAGCATGAGGGGAAGCTAGTGCTGTAGACAGCCCTTCTCGTTTCTATACATTCGTTAGACTAGACAACACAATGAACAGCTCCACTTACTTTGAGGAATACGTCAAAACTGCCAAGATTGTTGTATTAGGTTTGCCGTCCGAGAGGGAGCCTTGTCTCACGGCTAATGATGGCGTCAGCTGCAGATATCAAGCAGACTGCTGATGAGCAGGTAAATGAATATCCCACTAATTTTCATATTGATCGCACATGACACGACAATACGTGGGAGCTTACAGTGTGTTGCATATCAAACTGCAGTGAGAATGTTTGAAAAATTCGGCCTCGCTGCCTTCACCGGGACTTTTGTATCTAAATGTGGTCAAGCGCAAGTCAAGCGCGCGGAAAGTATGACGCTACTTTGCCTAATTTGGATGCAAAAGCCCCAGTAAAGGCAGCGAGGCCGAATTTTTCAAAAATTCGCACTGCAGTTTCATATGTAACACACTGTAAAACAAACGACAGTCATTCAAACTTGACAGTAAACACGGTTCCTGCTGACAAAGTCCAGCCCTTTCCTCTAGTGTACCCGGGGCCCAAAAACCATTTGAGATTTCAATTTGGGTAGTCTCGATACCAGCCACCTTGTCACCGTGGGAAAAGGGAAGTAATATCCAAGTCAGCACCGCCAGTCACCCACTGGCGCCCTTCGTTCTCCTTCTTTTTTAAAAAATCCAGTTTCTGTCCTTTGCAGAGAAGTACTCTATGTAAGACATTACAATCTAGTCTAGGGGACTCCCAGTGTCCCTATCGCATCTCGAGTGCCCAAATGCCCTGCTGTGAGGCGTACCCCCAGCAGTCCGCCGTTCCCACCAGCCGTTTTAGATGGACCACCCGGTGTTGATGAGATGACTCTATGTATGCGTGCGTTTATATGTATAACTATGGTGGCATTTATTGAACGTGTACTCCGTCGCATATATTGATCAGGTACAGGAATCGGTGGGTGGGTAAACGAGGGTTTGGATGAATGGTCAGATGAACATTAATGACCATTACAGGGACGTTGACTTGCACCGCTTCAGGAGATTCCGTGTAGACGAGTAGAGGTTGTACAGTTTTCGAATGAATAGAGGAGAGGAGAGAAGGTTGGTGTTACAGGTGATATGTTCATGCGTTTGATACAGCGTTCGGGGGTTATGTTCATGGCCGTTCTATCTAGGGGAAAGGAAGTATTGTGTCAGTCCGGGGGCTTGCGAGGGAGCGGGATTTCACCGCCTTCGTTCTCCTTTTTGCGGTCACCTACCCTTCTCTCTCAGCCTCTCGCCCTTCACTCCTGCAGCTGCATGTGACCTATCCTCCCTGGCTCACAGCATGTGGAGCCACCCTGTCCTATGTTTACACAGCTATTCCTAGCCTTAGCCATTCCCCCCGCCTTCTATTCACTTCAGTTCATATTACTCCCTTTCACAGCAGTCGCCCCTTCCCCAGGCTCTCCTTGACTATAGCCCACGTCTGTGAAGGTAGAGAACAACACATCGCACGTTATCCCTACATCATGGCTGATGACCCTGTGGCTGCTGGGTGCTTGTTCCTGCACACTCCACAGTTTGCCTTATCAGAGTGTGTGGCTGAGAACCAGGTGTATAAGCAGCCTGTCACAGCGCCGCTGCCAATGCCCCTGTCCGTCTTATATACTCATCTGAAGTAAAGAAATTTCAACTGTTGTATCCTCCACCACAGCCCCAGGACACAGATCCTTCAGCAGTACAGCAGCAGCTTGCTCTCCTCATATCCCCAAGGCTCATCTCACCCATCCTATAGGGAGCAATGCACGTTCTTACCCACTGCGAATCAGCCAAGTTCATGGTGACATTCCCTTACGTAATGGCATTTGGTTTGTGCGTGTTGTACTTGCCCCTGTTTGTTTGGTTGATTTATTGTTTGATCTTCTTTTTCCACCCACCCATCCATCCATCCATCCACCTATCCATCCAACAGATGCTCAGGACTTGAAGCCCATTTTATGGTACGTCACTCTACTTATCCCAACGCCTAACATACGCCTTCCTTTACTATCCTGTCCCCTGCAATCTGCACCTCCAGAAGTCAATGGCTTGATCACAGGGCAGCACTTGATGTACTGTGACCGATTTGTCACGTTTTCCCATGGGATGTGTGACCTGCTGACTTCTGTGGGGTGGTGATTGTAGAGGGCCGGAGGTGCAGTGCTCCCTCTGCCTTGTACAAGGCAGGATGCTCTGGGGCTATAATGCCTTGGGGGGGATTAGCTGCCAGGGCTACTACGGCTATAATCACCTTGGTAATAGGCATGCATTGCATCACGACGAAGGTATTGCGCACTCTGAATTTGCAGACAAGGTCAGGCTCACCTTTTTGGTTGCATAATTATGTTGCCAACTGCTCCTCCCTGTAGAATATGATGCCCTGTACTCTTGGGCTTAGTACCAGCTGTGATCCATGATATCAATGTACTTCGCCTATCTATGTAGTATGTTTGTTGTGTTTTGTCCCTGTTCCCAACCACCTAGCATACGCCTCTTGGAATTCGGAGGTGCATCTGGCTTATGCTGGACTGATGCCAGGTGGGGTGCGCCCAACATCCTGTACAGGGGAGGGTAAAATTCTGAGACGAGCTGTATTTCCTGGGAGGGTACACCTTTGGCTACTGAACCTGCAGTTGTTCGCGCAGAAAAACAGGTTTTGTTAGGCCTGTATAGTAAGCAAGAGTGATCCTGACAGAGCCCTGTGCAGCCAACTCGCGTTCTGGACCCTAACCCCAACTTCTTATTCTATTATGTGTGGGTGTATGGATGGTTGATGTTGGCCGAGTGCCACATCACTTAGGGCAGCCAATTTCTTGCTTGACAGACCGCAGTGCTAGCTGATTTTCTCATACATTACAAATTTGTGACAGTGAACAATTGTCTGAGTCCGGTCAAGTCTGACCCCCAGTGAAAATCGACAAGAATCAGGCCGATACGTGAAGATAGACGTCTAAGCACAAATTGAGGTAGATACAGATCTAAGAAATTCGAGACGGCAAAACTCAAATTTTGTGCAAAACGCAAAGAATCTTTGCTAAGGTCAAAAATGTAAGAATGGTATTGTAATTTGCACAGTGCATTTGGCAAACTTCGCATTTGCGCGACATTTGCGACATTGCTACGTGTTTGCGTCGTGCATACATATGCTTATCTTAAATCACGCCTTGCACTTACTGATCGAAATTTCTCTAAGTCACCACATACCATACCATGGACAATCTCCAGGCTGTTATATACCGGCCACAAGACACTGCCGTCGTTTACATCTGCGATTGTGATATATGTCTTTGAAAGAACTGCGGAAAACCTAAGCAGGTCAAACGCACAGCATACTACAAGCATCGGCCTGGCAGACTTGCCAACTTACAGAATCCTCTTCCTCCCTCTATTGTCCCACTGCTGCCACCCATACCTCCAAGTCTTGTAGCATCTGATCTGTTGGCAGCGCCTCTATCGTGGTCAAGCAAGCGTCCGAGTCCATCTGAGACAGAAGAACAATCCAGATCGAGTGGCAGCAACTTGAAGAAATCACGCACTGAGGAGAGTTTCCAGCTCCGAATAGATCCAAGGTTAGTTTGTGCCACTTTATCATAGATTGCAGCACTCACCGTAGTACTAATCGCTGGTTACTAGGATGATATTGTACCCCCGCTGGAGCCACCAGACTCTCAGACTGAAGTCAGCAGTACCGGATTTAGTCATACACCTCGTGTCGAGGATGATGGGATGGCCGACGACTCACGTCAAATAGATCATCACAACGATACACTTGATGCAGCCGGTGACGACTTCGGAGGGGATGACTTTGGGCAAGGTAACACGACCATACCTGTCTGATCGTGACCGAGACTCTGATCACAATCACACTCAGATTTTCAGGTCGATAATAATGACAATGGTGAGCTTAGATATGGGCGACAGGAGGAGCACCGGGAAGAAGTCAGTGAAGAGCATGATCGTGACGAAGAGCGTGGCGATGAACACGACGAAGAGCAGGAGGGAGTTGGAGACATGGGCGGAGATGTCAACAACCCAGAGGATGAAGTCCGTCCTCAAACAATGGGCTGGACAGACGAGGACCTCGAGGAGCTCCGCCGTATGGCAAGACTCGATGATGCTCAAGACGCCATGGCATTCATCACAGCTCTACGAAAGGCATCACTCGACGACCCAGACTCTCGTTTACCTGACGACGCAATCCATAGACTTCGACACCCTCCTCGAGAACTTCCTGATGCTACCAACCCTGACCTTATACAATCGTTAAAGTACTATTTCGCTGACACTACAATCAAAGCCTACAATGCTATCCGTGATGCAACAATGGAACGGCATCCTGAGGACGACATTTACACCCATTATCGCATTTAACGAGCCGTCGCAGAGTTCAGCGGAGTTGTCCCGATTGTGCGTGATATGTGCATCAATACCTGTCTTGCTTTCACAGGTCCCTTTGCCCACCTTGACCAATGTCCTAGATGCGGAGAGGACCGCTGGGACATGAAAAAGAGCACCGGTCGCAAAAAGGTTGCACGTCAACGATATGACACGTTTCCAATTGGCCCCCAGCTCCAAGCGCTCTGGCGCCATCCTGACCAGGCACAGAAGATGCGCTGGCGCGAAGACCAAACCAAGAAGATTTTTGAGGAGTTGAAGATGACAGGCGGTGTTCCAAGCGTATACGAAGATATTCTCCACGGCAAGGAATACCTCGATGCTTGTCGGTCCGGAAAGATCAAGGACGGCGATTCTGTGTTGATGCTGTCGATTGATGGTGCGCAACTCTTCGAGTCGAAACAGAGTGATTGTTGGATATATATCTGGGTCATATTTGATCATGCTCCGGAGGAGAGGTACAAGAAGAAGTACGTCCTGCCAGGTGGTATCATTCCAGGTCCGAAAAAGCCCAAGAATCTGGACTCGTTCATGTTCCCTGGCCTGCATCATCTTCGTGTGATCCAGACGGAAGGCTTACTGATCTGGGATGGTGCGAAGGACATCCTATTTCGATCTAATCCATTTCTTTTCATTGCGACGGCGGATGGTCCCGGCATGGCTTTTCTTACGGGCCTCGTTGGCCACCACGGAAAATGGGATGTCGGCTGTATTGTGGACTACCTGGGAGACATAAACCTGGCGCTCCAACATACTATCCAGCCCTCCTTCAGCCTGATCTTCACCGTCAACTACGCTGTGACCATCCCGATATACCAATTGATCATCTTCCTGCAGCTGGATCATACAATTACCATGACAACATGGAACGACTGATTCGCTGCCAAACGATGGCACAATACGAGGCTGCACGACTTGAGACAGGTATTACGAAGCCCAGTATTTTCTGTGGCTTCGACGGTCAACGTATCCTGCTTGTACCTCATTGTTTTGGCTCCGACATCATGCATATTGCCGCAATTAATGCCGGCGACACTCTCATTCCACTTTGGCGCGGGACTTTTCGAGCTGATCCTGACCACAACAAACCTATGTGGCCTTGGGCTGTGTTGACGAAGGAAACGTGGAAAAAGCATGGGGGGTCACAAGACCTCGGAAATGGCTACGTCTTGCTACGTCGAAGAGAACGGTATGCCCACCCTGTGCGTCTGTGCGAAGCAGGTGCCATTCTCGATTACTTGTCAACCTGCGGGATTGATGTTACTGCAGCTCCGTCTGTAACACGATGGGCTCGCCTTCGTGTTCCAAATGGTCAAGTGGCTCGCTCGGCTTGGAAAGAGAATGCCATGTCATGGCAACCTCGCATAGCACCCAATGTCAAGGTGAATGTTTATTTTATATGCTCACCAGCTAGCGTTCTCATTCATTTTAGCTATCAATTGACGGAGAGATGAGCATTGCTGAAGTGTTGTTCTATTTCAATATGACGATCCACGATGAATCAAAGACCTTCGCACTTGTTTCACAGTTTAGTCCCCCACATGCCGAACTCTTACGTCGCTCGTTTCAAACTGTTGTTGCATGTCACTATGGTGGTGACGCCTTATTAAAGCTCGTCGAAGTTTCTGCTATACAGTCTGTTGTAGCAATGGTTCCACATAATTTTCCCGGCATTGACAACATGCTTTTCTACCTCATTGAACGGCCAGGGTTGGATATTATTCAGATGGGGGGTGTTGAGGACATAGTAGCTGATGAGGACTAGAAATTTGGACTACAACCTTGTATCTATCCCCCGCATTCAAAGCTGCTCAAGTTCCTGTTTCATCTGGCGAACAGCTCGAAAGCTATCATCTGTTCCTGTTCGATCGTACCATCTCGCATCCTCTTCACGTGAGACATGCTTCCAATAGATAGAGTTTGGGGGTGGTGGACTTGGTGTTGCGAAAAATGACTTCCTTTTGAGTGTAGCTGTCAAAGTTGATGAAGGTATGTCGATGTCACTGCTCTCGGGCTCCGTAATGCTGTCAGGATCATTCTCGAGGGGTTGGACAGGTTGGACGGGCTGGACAGGCTTGGGGGGCACATCAAGCTCACTCTCGGGCTCCGTAACACTGTCAGGATCGTCCTCATGTATCTGCTTGAGTGGTAGAGCTCTGTGGAGGAGCGGCATGTCTCTGGCTCTTCAGCAATAGGTGCAAGAGGTTCAGTTGTGCTCCTAGGACTGATTTATATGTAGGTGTGTGAGATCCGACAAAAAAACAGACATGGCTTCAAAAATACGTAGTCTCAACAGACGTTCTTTCTCTGGATTTGCAAGCCAGTATGGTGGATCTAGAAGCATATCATCAGATGGTGTCATTGTAGGTGTGTCAGACCGGGTGTCTGACACGCATATACTTCAAATGTCCGTTAGGAATTTCATTAGATAGTATATAGGTCATGTACCTGGTATCTGCCTCATAACCTTCGATGTCTGGCTCAAAATCGATATCAAAAAAATCCTGGAGGGGTTTGGTAGCATGGTATGTATATGTACTAGTATACGAGTCGAACTCACAAGGTACTTAGTGGGTTTCCTTTTTCAACTTCAAACAACTACACACCTTACCTCTATACCATCATGTCGTCCATCGACATGACTACAGCGATACCCTCCACATCATTTAACACCAACTCACCGGCAGTTACAGTCCCTTCTAACTAGTCAACACCTACGCCATCCTTAATGACCCCAACTAACCCTGACTCTGAAGCAGCATCGCTCTCGGTCAGGAAAGAGGTGCTTGTACCTGCGCCCGCTAAGAAGAAGGCTCGTCGACCAAGTGTGAAACCAATGTGTATTGGCACGAAAGTAACGCCTCGGTATGTCTCAGTTGATATTACTTAATAGTATTTTCTGATCTGTTTTTGTAGAAATCTGTGTGCTCTCGATTGGCAAGCAAATGGTCACCAGCGTGAACCGGCTAGTGCATTCGCACTCTACTGAAACAATCTGTCTACAAGTATCAAGGAGGTACGTGCTACATCGGGGAGAACCTCCCGCGCTAATGCAGTATGCCAGGAATACAAACGAAAGGCCACGGCGTAGGTGAGTGTCATCGTGCCTACTGGTTCTATAAGCCACTGTACTAGCTGGTTCTTCTACTACTACAGGTCAGCTCTTCTTCGACGCACCAAAACAAGGACGGCGAGAATGAGCACCATGGCTGGCGGCGGGATCCCGGTGGATGTGTGCCCGATAGCATTGGCGTCAGGATGGCGGGAGGAGCGACCCCACTATTATAATACCTCCCTAATACCAGCAATTCACAGTGATACCCATCTACCAATAGCATTAGGTCTGTATCGGTACCATTTTCCGAGCCAAATCGAACCATTTTGACCTATCTAAAGATACAAATTTCCTTTCGACTTCTATCTTTTCTCGTCTCGAAAAGTGCCGTTTTTTTTGAAAGACCTCAAAACGCGACGATAAAATCTATAGGCTTAATTTTCTTCCATATATATCTACACGTATCTACCTCTTTCTTGTCTATTTTCACTGGGTCTGACCTATCACTCTCTGCTGAAATCTTTGTAACCTGCACACCATCTGGACTCCAGCATACTGAGTCGACATCTTCACCGGGTTTCCCCCACCCCACCGTCCCATATGCAAGATAGTCGCTGGCAACAACACTTGACAATACGTGTTCTAATCTTAGAATACCAGAGCTCTCAGTTTAATGGATTTCCGAAGCGGTGTTCCTTCTAGAGTGTTCGGGTCTTGGAACCCAGCATGAGGCCTCACAACATTGTCATCCTGTATCGAATCAAAGCTGACACCCTTTTAGCACGACGGAAAGCTCCCCCAAGTTATCTCGCTCACCATTTGATAAGAACAAACTCTTCCGGGTTCATTGCTTTCATATATTTTCACTGGTGGTTTGGTGTGTATTTGACTCACTCTCACAGTCAGCGTATATAAGAGCGACAGGCACCGAGTCTTTCTCGAAATCGACACTGCGGGAGTTGCATAGTGCAATCGGCCAATTTACAGCTGCATGTAATAGAGGACGCCATATGTTTATGATTTGGAAGCGTATGCGAAGGAGGGAAGGAGGCTTCTGTTGGCAGGAGGAGCCTATGAACACGAGCGATGAACGATGCAGTCGGAGGAGCTGGTGCGAACGAGCCATTGGCATGTTTCATATTGCACTTTAGTTCTGATTACAATTTGACGTTGTTTCATCTCCCGTTTGACCGCATAGCCGGTCGTATGACCGTACAGTGACCCGTACCGTACCGTTGAACATTTCGAATACATTGTACGACGTATGGTATGGTACGGGTAGAGTCTAAAGGTCACTGGCAGTGCATCAGTTGCTGGTGTACTAGATCTGACAGAGCGCTTGCTTGAACTCCCCTTTGACCTACGGGGCCAACCAAAGAATGACCAAATGGTCCGGAAGTGACACTTCGTTGACCACGGTGCATGGCCGCATGAGATAGGCGACGATCATTGGTAGACTGCATGGCTGCCACATTGTAGCAGGCGGCTGCGAGCAGCACTGTGGTTGTTCATGACGAAGTAGTTGGGACTAGCCTCTGCTGATACGAGGAATGAGAGTATGCACTACTAGGGCATTATATGCTTGATGGAGGCAAGCACATTCTCTGGAACAACGCGACTGAAAAAAACTCAAAACAACCCTGAGATCTGAGATCTGAGAGCGGGAAATGTCATTAATGTTGGCTAAAACATGAAGTTCGCATTACTGTTAAGTAGGCACAAGTACTAGACCAGCGCTGCCTGCGGCCGAGGCAGAAGTGGTGGTCGGTACTGGGTAGCGTTTCCAGCTTCGTCTGACTCGAGAGTCGCTGACACGATCTACTAGGTTGGGTTGAACCGAGCGTTAGCCTGGGTTGGGACGCAAGCAGGTAGAACGTCACCTGCTTATGAATTACGACCTCGACGTCGTGGCGGAGAGAAAAACGAACGAATCTAACCGGGATAATCCGGCAGGCTGCACTTGGACATTGCAATTGTGAAGTGAAAACAATTTAGCTAGAAACGATTGGTTTTCAGTCGAAAATTTTGATTTTCACCGTGCAACTATTTGTTTAATTTTGTCCAGTGGTGCCCCTCATAGTTTAAGCATGAAGTGTGGCTGATCAAAAATTACAGAGTTCAGATATGAGCCCTACATATCCGGTATGGAGCTTTCTTATTGGTCAGTTATCGGACAAATTTAGAATAAACTGTAGCGGGAGTTAATAGAGACCATGGCGTAATCTTTTTCGGAGTTGACAGGAAAAATGGCAAATCTCGAAAAATTACTCATTTTTGCTTGTTTCCCTATAGAGTTTTCATTGAGCAAGCCATAAAGGCCCTGCATCCATCTGATGAACCTGTCGAAGAACAATTTATCCCAATACTCTCCACGACCTCCACTGACATGTCGAAAGACGATTCAGCCATTGCAGGCTTTTCAACATTCGATGTCGCGACCAACCCCACCAAGAAAAACAAGCACACGAACGGACGGAAGAACAAGGGAGGGAAAGGAAAAGAGAAAGTGGACTGACCGCCTCCGTTTCGCGACTCGTCTGATTGTATTAATACTTGTGGCATTCGAGGACCAGCAGAAAAAAGACAGAAATCGCTTCAATTTCACTGTCTGGTTGTATTTGTAGCCCTCGCCTCCATCTCGCGACTCGTCTGGGTTGATCTTTACGATATTTGTATCTGTGACACCAATCGATTCACATGAATGATGACTCGAAAAAGCGACCGTAGCCGCGAGCGTCCTTTCGCGTTATAAATAAGGCAATGTGCAATTGGCGATGGATGTGGCTGCTGAGAGGTGGTTGTCTCTCTCCTCCCCTCCGCGACTCCACCCTTCACCCCCTTGTCTCCTCCTTCTGGTTCGCGTGGCTCGAGTTTGATGAAAAACTGTTGAAGTTCTTTTGAGGGGGGGAAACGGTGCCAGAATATCTGAGGCGCAGTGAGTGCGTTCACCCTCTTGAAGTGTTCGTTGTCCTCATCGGTCCTTACCCATGGAGACCTCCAGTGGCACAAGGTACACCGAAGCCGGACTTTCTCCCTCTGGCTGTAGACCTGCATGCCTTTTAGCCCTGGATCGCATCCAGCTGTTCCGCACAGCTTGAACTCGTAGCCAAATGCATGCGATGCAGGGATGTCCTTCCCAATCTGACGACATTCGATTTGGCGGGAGACACCGGTGTCGGTCGCGTACAACACCACAACAGTTGTGTAGTCTAAGACTTGGTGGTTCGACGCGAGGATGTCCCTCAATGCAGACCATGGATTGGTTTGTCCGAACACTCCAGTCTCCACAATGAGGGAGCGCACGGTATGAGATATTTGAGATGTGGAGCTACCAGAACCGCCAAAACCAAGAACGAAGACTGTCACTGAAGCGTTGTGAGTGAGGGCTATTCGTGTATTATAGGAGAGTGGCTTACTTCTTCACCAACGCCACAAGTGATTCAAAGTGATGACGGAGCCTGATAGCAGGATGGCTGCCGACCAGGAGGAGAGCCCTCCGTCCTCCTCTGGACTTGGCAGTGAGATCGCACCACGGCTTGTTCCCGGTTGCCGTGACATTGACAGCTGTGTCACCCCTTGCAGCAGAAGAGGCTGCTCCCATGCACTCCATGAATTCTTTACCAAGGGATTTTGCGACAACGTCTGAGCCTACGGCGTTTCCTTTGGCAAACTCATCCGAGTCCGTGTCAATCACGACAAAATAATTCGGGGGACATCCAGCCTTTATGGCCTTATGCATAAGCTCGATCCCACCCCCAAGGTTCTTGGACTCGGACGCGCACACACCCTGAGCTATCGGCAAGGTGTGAATGAACAGCTGGAAGGGATCTTCAGTATTACACACAAAAAGAAGGTAGGTTCTACCTACGTTTGATGCGTGTGTCCTGTAATGATTGATTAGTTCAACCTTGGGGCAAAGGGGAATCTTTCTTCTGTCCAGTCCTTGCACAAATTGGGCACAGGAACTCCTCCTTGCTGCACACTACAGAACAATGCAACCGCTGCTCCGAGGAACGGATTGTTCGCAAATGAGAGCGCTGCAGTTGATGCACTGGTGTTGGAATCCAGGTTGTATCCCATCACAGCACAAGTGGCAATACATCCCAAGCATATTGGATAAGGTAGTGGATGGATATTGAAGTAGCTCCTCGTGGTTTCTAGAGTGGTTGGATGGATCCTGTGGCACCATGCTTCCGATGTCTGCCTCCCCTGGGCCAGCACGTGAGATGCCGCTCAGGATCGCACCTGCTTTTGCTTGTCTGGGTCTTTTGGGAGGCATTCTAGAGAAGGAAGGAATGAAGGCAGAGTATTGGCTATGGTACACTATATACTTGATGTGCGCTTCTCCAGAAGCACCATTTTCAAGAGGCGTGCATTCGGAGAATCCCGAACACTAACACCTTTTGGCACCCCTGGTGCATGGGATCCCGATCAGACACACCTTTGCGAAGATGCAGGCTGAACGGAGTTTTTGTATATGGCCAGTTCAAACCTCACTAAAATTTTAGGCTGTCTATAGCAATGGGGAGGCGCAGCGCCACCAAACAAAGTGCGATATTATGTAATCAAGTATCGGCGAAATACGTGGTCAATAAAGTACGAGATGGTGTAGACATGTAACCAAACACCTACACGACAAGAATTTAGGTCGCCGAGCCATCAGCAAGAACTATAGATGAGGTGGATTATACGAGCTTATCAAATTTTAAGAGGAGTGGCTGTCTACGAGTCATTTTCTTCATCGGAGTCCCCTAAGAGAGCCCCAACATTGGTGGTGTCATGTCCCTCAATTTCCTGCATCGTCGCAGCCTCGTCGGTGTTGGGTCCTACTTCCCCACTAGAAAGCCGCTCTGCTGCAGCTGCCAGAATGGCCCTTTTCTCCGGTGCTTTCTTGCCTTTAAGGTCCTTCGCTGCGGGCATTTGTGAGTCGAATTGGCGATGCCAGCGGATCTGCAGGTCCAGCTCAGAGACGCGCATCTTGTTGATGTCCTCCTGCATAAGACGAGGCACAACGGCAGCAAGTTTCGCAGCTGCAGCCTCACGACGTTCCTTTTTCTTCTGATCTTTCTCGCGGTTCCGCTGGACTACATATTTGTCATACTCTACCTGTGCAATCCTTCGTTTCCTCTCCATTCCTGCAGTATCGTTGATGCGGGCCCTCTTCCGCAAGTATTTTCGTGCAGTTGGGCCCAGAGAAGTCTTCACGTAAGTCCCAGTCTGATTTTTCTTGTATTTCAGACGAGCGTTGAAATGGGTGAGGGACATCCGAGGAGCGTGTCGCATCGAAACTCGCAGGGTTCCTAACGCACCCTCGTTCGCGTCATTGGTGCTATTCATCCGTGCGAGCTCCCGTTTTCCTGGTGACAGCTGGGCAATTGTGCCATCAGGGGCAAACTCACGGCAGAATCGAAGGAGAGTTTCCAGTGCGCCTTCAAGGAATGCAGTGAAGAGGGGGCGGAGGTAAGGATATTATTTGGTGTCCTGGGCAACCCGCTGAATGGCGTAAAACGCCTCTGGCCGCTCAAATTGCTTTCTGTCCAGTGTGGCTGTTTCGTACGTGGCGTCCGCACCAAAAACAAGCTCAATGTTACCAATGAGTGTCCGGACATGGGCAATAAGCCTATCGTGAAGGGGTCCGAGGTCGAGAATGTTGTCGGAGGAGTTACGAACTGAGCGAAAGTTGCAGCACACGACCAATGCTGTGAGTACTAACATCTCCTTCGACAGCAATACCGAGGCAATCTGCAATAACACCGAAGACACCTCGAACACTCGATACTGGTACGTCGTGTGTTGCTACGAGCTCGCAGATTGTGTCGCGGACAGTATCAGTGATTATATTCTTGTTTGTCAGGGCAAATGTTGTATGTTTTGTGGTTTGTGCTATAGTGCGAGCAGTGGCCTTCTTGACAGCGTGTGCTTTCTGGAGAGGTGCGCGAGAAACACGCATACCGAGAGCATGGTTACGTTTGGTGAGGATCTCGTTGCGCTCTCGCAAGTGTTTGGCCTCACTCTTTGCAGCTGTGAGTGACGTTTGTGCAGCTGCGAGTGATTGTTGATCTGCCCGAGTCTGCGAGGCAGCCCTGACAACAGCCGATTGTGCTTCTTGTAAGCTTGCCTCCAGCCTTTCAACATGACTCCTGGTCCGCTTGTGGCATCGGCGCTCATTTCTGTAGCGGACGTGAAAATTCTTTGATGTTGGGAGGATTGCATCAGGTAGGGTTAATTCGGTGGACGAAACTGTAGCTGCAGGAGGGATGTTTTCCTTCAGGAGACCTTTTGTGTGAGTGCTCTGAGCTTTCATGCGTGATGTGACTTGCTGTTGAGCTATTGTCCGTTTTCTGGAAGGTTTCCAACGGTCGTGCTTTGTGTATCGTGCTGGCATTTGGGTCTGCAGAGTGTCAGGATGTTCCATGTGACGCGACGCGATGCGTTTATTATGCTTATTCAGCAGCGAATCTTCACAATCATTGACCTACCGCTCGCACCCCACTACGTTGCGCTGGTGTGTAAATGACCATCTAGAATACACAAGATTTACTCGTTCATTGTATTCTTGGTGGAATTTAATAAAAATTTGCTTGTCTGCCTCCTGTGCTGGAATGCATCCCCTTCTAAACCGTGTTTTTCTGAAAAGTGGCACCAAGAATACAATTGGATTCGGAATTCACGCCATTGTCCCCCTTCAAGTTTTAGCAACCGGCGATGTGTTTGAGCTGTAGCGGTAGATACATTACGCGACCATCCATTAACGCCTAACTAGTGGTAATCCCTTTTAGACTAGTCACTGTCGGAGATTGAAATTGGCAGGGTGTTGCCCCTCCCCAATACCAAGTTGTATCAAATTCACTGTAAGCACACTCTGAGACATTCACATTAAAAAAATACCTTTCGCTAGTGTGAAAGAAGTACATCCTGATATCGAAAATTAGTAACCAATACGTTCATGCTCGTTGCAATATACCGTCCAGCAAGCCTAATACCAGAAGTCATTTGGGGATCCTGTCCATCAACTACGAACGGCAATGGGCAAGCCCATCGCAGTGCAAAATCGTGATGGTGTTAATCTTACCCTTCTTGGTGGTGTCATGCGGGGTCGTGACTTTGATGAGCGCGCTGCACAAAGCATGGAAATCCATAATTTGTTAGGCATCAATACTCGTGATCAAGATTCGCCGCGCGACGAGATCCATCGCTCGACAAGGTAATATTATATTATTGGTTGCGGTTCTATTCAAATCTGACATGCTGTTAGCTCTTATTAGACCCAGCAACAATACGAATTCTGTCTCGACGTCGGAGAACCATGATATAGTGCCACCGTCATTGCTCGTCCGATATCCTCCATGTCCGACACACACGCTCAAATGGTTGGATTTCTCGAGGGCGAGGGAGGGAGGTGAGTAGATTAGGGTGGGGAGACACGATGCACGGATGGATTCGGACTTGACGATGGTTGCTTGTCGTCTCGTTGCTGATGGTATGAAGTACATCAAATCGATTGTAAATCTCGAACCCAACGAGTTGAAACAATTTTGGTTGTTTTCGAACCGAATCGATTTCGCATCGAGTTTAACTCGCCTCGACGGCAACACTATCCAGACGGTTGTGGGCGAGACACACGTAACATATTTGTACCAAAAACACGACCAAACATATCGTTGGTTGTACGGAACATTATGCCAAGGACTGTAAATTAATCTCTCGGTGCAATCGCTTCATCTTGCAGCAGGTATGGCAAATGACAGTCTTGGATCACCCGGGGTCTTGGATCAGGACGTACGGCATTGTCTCTATTTCATCATTCAAATAGACACTCATCACCATACTGCAGGTCCGTGCCAGCATCCAGCCGTCTGTAAATATAACAACCGTCCAACTGTGCACCGAGGGGGGACATAATACCGCTCATCCATAGGGCTTTGAATGATGAAGATGCACAGGTTGCCGACCCGTCAAGAGGGTGGGAGGGAGGGAAAGTAATTGCCGTTCCCATCGGTGGAGGGTCTGCAGGTGTGCCAGACGAGCAAGACATGCTGGATGGGCACAGTCAAGAGCACTTGAGTGGTGCGACACATATGGATCAGGGGAACGCGCAGAACAACACCGGCAGCCACAAACAGAAAGGGAAACGAGAGCGTCGTCGCCGTAAGAAGCTCGCTAAGGACGCGAGTATGTGTCAGACAAAGGCCAAGCTTGCCATCAAACATCTTCCAACGTCGATTGCTACTACTCTCTCAGTAGACCAGTTACATATCGCCCAGGGAGCTTATGTTGGGAAGCGTGTTCAAGCTAACAATAAAGGCGCTCAGGAGCTTGACAGCCTGCTCCAGAAGGGATTTAAACTCGTGAAATGGGATGGATGGTAGGTTATTTTTGCGTATTCAAACCAGAGACCTTATGTAGGGATATGTCAGCACACCTCATGTTTTGTTGGACAACGGCAAACGCATCATCGGCGTATTGGCAGGACGGCCTAAAGATGATTCTTGGAAAGATACTGCAGAGGCAGCCTGCGACGCAATGGAGGAGGCAAGAGGACGGTGCGTCTTCAGAGATGTTGACAAGGAACACCGGAGAGGACGCTATCCATGCCTTGCAGTGGGAGTTTCATATGGTGGCGGACAACAGGTAATGCCAAACATCCATTGAGCTTTCAATGACTGTGAGCTGAACAAGAGTAGATTCCAGGAAACCTTTTACATTCCAAGAGCAACCGAACGGCCGTCCAATCCCTCCTCGGAAACAAGGCCATCCAAAGACTTGCCGGATTTGGAAGCAGTACGCACTTCATTTCGAGATCAGTCCATGCGATGACTGAATTCCAAAGGTATATTGCACCACTACTCGCCAAAAGTACACCAGCTGTATGTCAACGCCAGAACTTCTCTTTTGGAAAAGCATCCCAGTTTGAAATGGAACTTTCGAAACAGTGCGTTCGCCGCAGCAACGTTCAACTTCGGCCCTGCCACAGTGACCTATGGCCACACGGACAATGGAAATTTCGCCAGTGGTATGTGCAGCATCACTGCTCTAGGAAACTATGACCCAACCCAGGGTGGACATTTGGTTCTTTTTGACCTAGGGCTGGTCATTGAGTTTCCCCCTGGTTCAACCATCCTCATACCTTCAGCAATTCTACGACATGGCAATGTGTCGATCTCATCCAGGGAAAAACGCCTTTCCTTCACTCAATATTTTGCGGGAGGATTGATAAGGTGGGTTAGATATGGCTTCCGGACTGCAGATGATTTGAGGAAAGAAAGTCCTGAAGACTGGCAGGCAGCAAAAGCCGAACGTGAAATTCGGGTTCAGGAGGCAGCATTATATTTCTCCACTTTGTAGACTAGAGTAGAGTCTCAGCGAGATGTGGAACAACGCTGATATTAGTGAGCACCTAGAGTAGAGTCTAGGTACGAGTCAGTGAATGTAACTACTATGAACTGTACTAACATACCTCAGCGAGATGTAGAACAACGCTGAGGTAGGTACGAGGACGAGACGCACGCCATGTATCGTACATTATGTAACGATCAGTGGCTTGATGCGAGACGAGTAGGTACTGTATAGTACAAGATGCCAATTAGGTGAGGAAGGTGCAAGATATGGATATAGTAGCCAACACACTTCTGGAGACTTGTATAAGGGTGTCAACACAAATACAGAGTAGAACGCGTTAGTAGTTGAGAAATACAAAACTACCCTCGCCTTTGGTAGCCACGGACCGCTCATCTAGGTGCTGTCATAGGTGAGAAGCTCTCCTTTTCGCAGAAGAGAGCTTTTGAAACGTTCACGTCAGCAATGTGCGATGAAGGGAAAGCTAGAATTCTTGACGAAGTGGAATTCGGACAGTATATGGCGGTCCAAACGCAACAAGTGCACGCACACAGAAAAAATCGCCCACACACTCAACCACTGTTTCGAGATGCTTCTTTATCATACCCTAATTGCCAATTATGTAGCATTGTAGCTGTAGCAGAAGAGGGGTTTCGGGTGGAGCGCGCACATGGCGTCGACGCCAATTGGAAATCGCTCCGTTCTTACAACATGTAGATTAGTAGTATTGGCAACTTGCTTGCAAGGTCATATACCGAACCGATAATTCTGCGATTTGTTTACACAGATAAATGACGGGAAATCCTTCTGAATAGCCTTGCCGACTCACGAGACAATTTTCCTAGAGTTCCTCTGCCTTAATTTTAATTTACCTCCCAGTATCCCGCCTGCATCAGCTTACTGTGATGACCCAAGGTCAACCATAACTCGTTCTATTGCCTGACCTTGGGATTTCAAATTGGTGAAAGCATATGCTGGAGTTAAGGTGAATTGATGCCATTGCACCTCTGCACAGGTAGAAGTGCGGATGGTGAAGGAACCTGGATCTGGAAACATGGTAACTAAGCCTCTGGATAATCTTTGTATATCAGGCATGACAGATACAGCAGGAGGAAACATAAGAGAAATGCTACCTTGGTTCGTGGTTGCCTCAAACCATGTCTCCCTTTTGTCTAACATGATTCCGGCAATCGTTCCTCTTGATCCATTCGCCACGCCTGCACAGGTATAAATATTCTTCGTCACCATAGCTTTCATTAGAAGGGAGACTGTCAGTTGTGTCAAGAGTCTATCCGTGTCATCAAAAGATAATGAAGCCACTGCGAATCGTTTGACTGTTGACAGCTGTCTGTGATGGACATAATCTTCCGCACAAAATAAGTATTTAATATTCCCAGACGAACGACCATGTTTAGTAGATGCCGCTTCATCCCAGTAGGTTTGAACGCTATTCTGTGGAGTGATCAGAATAGCGTCGTCCCATGGCACGCATGGAAAATCAGGAAGAACACAGTTTGGATCTGTGAGCACAAGATACTGAACAGCAGTCCCGACTGTGCTCTGCGCAAAATATCCGTCTAAGAGTGGTTGACGATTCGCATTTGGAGGACGACCGTCTGAAATTGCAAGTACAAGCTCCATCCCATCCCGCAACGACGATCGAATGGAAATGACATGTATAGCGCTTTCTTGCATTGTCCAACAGGGGGAAATCCTGAGACTCCGAAAGGAACTGTTGAGTCAAGCCAGCCTTCTCCTGCGCAAGTGATACTCATAATCTAAACATATCATCAGTTTGTGACGTATAATGATGAACTGCAGGTTGATCTACCTCGGAAAGCATGGCATAAACATAATAGCAGAACACAGCCGTCTGAAAAATCCTGAATCATTATACGGAGGACCTGCAGGAACAGGGAAGTCAAGAGCCATCAACACCTTAAAAGATTTTTTCGTCAGAAGGAACCAAGCACGACGGTTCAGACTCGCCTCATACATGGGAGTAGCAGCTCGAAATATCTCGGGTATGGCCTTACATGCATCACTTCTGTTAAATCAAAGGCGCTCATCAGCTGCAAATACCCAGACACAGCGGGACCTCACTGCAATGTGGGAAGGGATCGACCACTTGTTCATAGACGAAGTGTCCATGCAAATAGGCTTTGCTTTAACTTTCAAGAACAAAGCACAAATGCCTAATTCTGTGTGTCCAATATCCCAGATCACTAGTATTGCTTAAAATGCAATGCCATTCAAACACCTTTCAGTATCAATTTGCAAAGAACATTGAGCTCAATTGGTGTGTAAGCAATTGAAGGCAGTGTGATTGGTAAGTTCAACTCATGGCCACGCGGGTAACCGTGTCAGGGTGGCCGAAATAAACGCAGACACGTCTGCTGTCTTCTTTTCCTCTCATGGCAACTCCTGTAATGGTCGGTGTTAGGTTTATTACTAAGAGAATCCATACAGAGGCAGAGGAGTGCAAGCACAAGGGGAAGATATAAATACAAAGAAAGTATCCAGGAAATGTCAGTACTAGTGTCATTGTATCACACTGAACGTTTATGTTTATATCATGAGTCATAGATTTCAATATTTGTACAAGCAAGCAAGGTCAAAATCGGCAACGCCGATCCCTAGTAACAAAGATACAAATCAAAGGATTTTGGTGGTGAAACGAATCGTCTAATTGTCCCAGCTCAGGTCTCGTGGTGACGCAGCCGGCGAGGAATTGGCCAGAAAAAAAGGACCCTACTGCAAGGGCGGGTGGACCCCATAGATTGGGAAACCAAACAGCTCCAAACTCGCTCCAAGTACATGTTGCACAACGCCTATACAACTGGAGGGTACAGAAAATTGGATGGGCGAGCAAAATAAGTGTGCTATCGAGATCAGTGATTCGAGTGAGGGTTATCGATAAGAAAGTAAACACGGATGGTCTACCTAGTGAGATGAGTGATTTGAGTGAGAAGAAGCAAAGAGACCGTTCTCACCGAGTCTCGCTAGACACAGGCCATTGGCTCCACTAAAGGAGGTGGCAACAAGGATTGCGTGAGACACAATCGTCATGCCGCGCGACGCGCGGGGCGGTGGTAAAGGGACAGGCCCGAGTAAGAGAGGAGATGCGGGAAGGCCTGAGGAACGAGTCTGCTAAGCCTTGAGCACGCTTGTCCAATCACCCTGGTATAAATAAAGTTAAACTTGAATGGACTCCAGAGCCGATTCGACAATTCAAGACTCCGCCTGATTCTGACGCTCGAAAATCGACATCAGAATCGATGTCCGAATCGGCACGTGAATCGACGTGTTTGACATCCTCTATTCCTACCTTTACATGATACTTCACGTACAAATTGATTTGTAGGTTGTGTTTCATACATCCGTGATCTCGCACTGGCTTCAGTATTCCCGCACCACATCCACCATATTTTTTCGCTCAACCCCCACATCCGAGTCACTTCACAATCAACCAATGTATCAATACCCACATCCACATGCTACATTCCATCAGCAAATTTTACACAGCGTTAATGATTTGCATCTACTAGCTCTATATAATTCTCCGTACTCACAGTTTTCCTAGCAGCGTCCTAACCAATCGTGCCGAAGTTCATCTGCCGGGCGGACTGTAAATTCGGCCAGTGTGTCTATCCGTTACTATTGGTGACATGAGTGTAACTCACGAAGTATTTGTTGAATCTGTAATGTATGAACGAGCGCCAGTTCGCATTCACTTGCACGCAAGCGTGTTGTGTGAGATCGCTGCAAATCTGAGGGAGACATGCCGTCGTGTTTGCACATATCTTGGTGGTGTAACATTGCCAAAAAAAATCAAGATTTTGTGAGTAGGTTGCTTCTAGCTACAATTTGCGCTAATTTTTAAAGTTCTATGCGTTGTGGTTGAGCCGTGAAACACTCGTGCAAATCAATTTGCATCATTGGGCCATCAATAGTAACAGGTTTGTGCTTTTGAATTGAAATGACTTATATGGCTAAATTACATGATCGGTCACGCTGTCACGGTAGGAAGTTCCGCGTCTTGAACTTCTCTTGTGATCACCCAGTGTTATTATTTGGCAACCAAGAAAATACAAAATGATTTAGAGTCCCATTCAATATGACACCTCTGATCACTCCTGAAATGCGCGAGAACATCGTAACATCGACTCACAAGAAGCAGGCGAATCAAGCCAGCGAAAGGAATGATTAAGGACAACATGGCAAGTACGTAGGTAGATATATTACTTTGTCGAGTGTAGACGACAAATGCTAATCATCGAGTTGCACCAACTCGTTCTGTGCAAGGCCTACTAGTATCGACGGAGGGAATGCCTTGAAGATATGAGTGTCAGAGTGATTGATCCTGCATGAGGCAAAGGAGAACGTGACGGCTTGAATACCCTCGATTCATTGATGTGACCGAAAGTTACGTATGGTTTGTTCTCTCGAATTATCGTACAAACACCGAGCTCGCAAAGAGACTCTTGTGCACCTCTAAAGTCATTTACAACATACCGCATGGCTCTCACAAGATGTGACGAGGCACATGACAAGCGTGAGAATATGAATGTGTTGACACATATAAACATCAGATATGATGGCCTCTCCCTTATCTCCACTATTATGTATCGACAACCAGGACCGGACCCGAACAGCAGATTTGACGCCCCCACGCTTGATTGGCCCCTAGAGCCGGTATCCCGAACCAATCGCAACTTCCTACCGACACCACCCAGAAGCAACCGCACGTCGCTCGAGGAGTCCCAGGGTCCACCAGAACCTTCGCGCGCTATCCAAACTCTTGCACCAGTCGTATCACCCACGAAAGTGGACATACCGCCTGGTCATTTGACTCCTCCAACGTCCCCATCCAGTCCAGGGCAAGAAACCCCCGACTCTATTTTGAAGTCTCTTAAGAACGTTGCAAACAGAGTAGTATCCAGCGTTGTATTGGAAAATGTGTCAGCCCCTATGTATGAAGCAGTTGTCGCAGAAGCCACAAAAAATGGGGATTGGCAAGATGTAAGGTAGGTTCCACAATGTGATCGGTTTGAACTCAGTGTTGAGGAAGATGCAGAGTTGATTACAACGGGAGTTTGCTCATTGTACACTGCCCAAGCCTCGGCCACGAATTTCCTGGGGATCTCTTTGATTTGATGGGTCGTACAGGGAGGTCCTACCCAAGGAAATATCATAGCAGCCGCATTACCCAGGGCGGGTCAACCACCATTGATCTGGTGGTCGGATCAAAGTCACCGGACTTTAGCCTTTATGAAGTGAAAGAAGGAAGTGGGCTGGATCAGAAAGGTGGGAATGTAATGCCTACAGTTGCCTTGGAGGTAGGATATTACGGGGAAAAGGAAAGGAAATTGACCCTGGATGCTGGCCGACTTATATGCCTGTCCAAAGGCATGATACAGTTGGTGGCAACTATCGACATAGATCACGAGGTGGAAAAGAAAAACAATGGAAAACGCAAACTGAAATCCGTCATCTGGACCCATTGGGAGATGGATCCAGAGTATCCGAAGTTGGTTGAAGAGCATGAAAGGTATGAGCTGAATGAGCTCATTCCTGAAACAGACGGCGAGCTTCTGAAGAACAAAGAGACCGTCCAGCCAATCCCTGACGCCTATCGAGCGGTAGTGACATTTGCTGGAACTTCCCATTGGGTTAGAGCCTACAAGTCCAACGTTTATAAGGTACGTAACCTTGTTCTTTTCAGACTTCAATTGCTTGAACTTGGGAATCTTTAGCTCTTTCCACCCACAGGGATCAACTCTATCCCAATTCTTTATCGTCATTTGTTCCGTGACCCACAAGAGGGTGACCAGGAAAACCCTGCATTTACCATTCAGACAGCGGATATCATGGCTACCATTCACAGCTTTGAGGAAGTTCAGAGGGAGATCGATGGCACAAAGAAGAGGAAGCCAGAGGATGTAGACTTGATTGACAACGAGTTGCTTGCAAGATTCAAAAGGCGACGTGCCAACTAGTACTGGTTAGAAACATGATGTAACATAATCATGCTCAAGTGGTGCCACTCTAGCAGCAGTCTGTTTCCCGCGCAGGCAAGGCCTGGGGCAGAACCCTACCATACCACTTAGGAACCGAGAAAGAGCATACTGTGTTTGAAGTGAAAGAACTGGGTCTAACTCCCGCTGCAAAGCTGATAGCCACCGAACGCAATCTCTCATTTCCCCTGTCCATCTCGGTCAAAAATCAGGCCTCGATCTAAGCCGGTGAGCTTCCATTCACGTCCCGGTTCTTATCTGGCAGATCATTGTCGCAGGATGATGCAAAGCATCACAGAGGACTTCAACGCAACAGTGCGGTGGGTTCTGGGGCACTCTGATGTCCATGGTAACAAAGAAGCTGACAAGCATGCCAAGTTAGCGGCAGAAGGACATCACAATGACAACCCTATCACTCACCTACCTTGCTATCTTCGTCATCGACCCCTCCCTCTGAGCATCTCGGTACTGAAGTAAGCACAGCGCAAGGACACTACTGAGCGCTGAGGGCGCCTCTGGCGTCAATCTCTCCGTTTCTATCGCCTCAATCAAATAGACCCCCAGATTCTGAAACGCTAGTTCGCAAAGCTCACCGCCAACGTCCCGAAGCGTCTCACCAGTTTTTATATCTTCCCCCGTACTGAACACGCCCCGCTCAACACGCATACGCAAATTTGTCAGCACATCCTTTCCCCATTGGCCAGGTGTTGATGAAACTGTACACCACTACCTGCTAGAATGTCCATACTTCCAGCATGAACGCCACTCTCTCATCGGAGCCCTGGGCAGAAAAGCTACATACATACATTCAGACAGAGCCAGATGCCACACCCCAACTTGTCAGATACATCAATGCGACGGGTAGATTGAGAGCCACCCCCGGTGAAATACCAATCCCTCACTCCCCTCCAAACTGATAATTCCTTGTATAGATTATGCAGACCGTCCTCGCAAGCCCATCGACGTCCTATCACCTGTACACACCAGTGTACCATATCATACCACAGTGTACCACCACCCTCTACTCGCACACACATGGCTCCAGCATATGCCAGATGTGCCCCTATGACCATCGCGATGAGGTCACAGGGCTTTTCTGGGGGGATCCTTCAGTCTTTCTCAACATGCAGTTCAT